TCGACACAGACGTGGTGGTCAATCAGGCTACTGTGCTCTTTTAGCACAACTGCGGCATGAGTCAGACTTCCCTCGTCCAACAGTTCATCAACGAGTGCCGTTACACGAGCAGCCTTTTCTTTTCCAGCATCAGATGGCTGCAAAAGTGCAGTTACAAGCTCAGCTGGCGAGTTTCCATTCTTTGGTGGTCTTGCAAGGCTGTAGAAAGTTAGGTTGTTAATAATGACCAAAAACTGCTCAGGGGAGGGGTGGTCATTACATCCAAAGGATTGTCGCACAATCCCAAAGATGTTTTCTAGTTTATCTTGACTAAGGTTTGCAGTCAACAAGTACTTGTAGTGCACTGAGGTAATCAGATAGTCCAGAAGTGACAGTGTGCTCTGTAGAGTCACACGGAGTCCAAGGGCAGTCCCTGCGCTTAGGAATCCACCACCGTGTTGGGCAGCGTACTCTTCCCATTCACTTAAGAAGGCAATGAACTTTTTCAAAAACTGGGCACTTCCTGACTGGGCTCGAAGGCCCTTAGACGGGACCCTGGATGACATCACGAAAATCAACATCTCCATCAGCTTCACAAACTGCTCTGTTGGCTCCGTTGTTCTGAACCTTCTTTCCAAGTCACCTTTATAAAAGAAAAGCCCTTTCAACACCTCTTGACTGAACAGTTGAAAAGCCAAATTCACGCGCATTTTTTCAAACGCGTTCGGTTGTACATGTGCCTGTGTTATGTGTGGCATCACTTTCAGTGTCAATGCTTCCTTGTCCCTTTTCCATGCCTCTTTGATGACATCAACATGAGCATGACCACATGGAATCTGTACGCCTTTTGAGACAAAAGTATTCCGCACGCATTTGATCAGATGAGGAAAATCAGAGATGAAGTGTAGGCTCCTTGCTGTGTCGACAGGATGGGGAACCTTGCAGGTGATTTCCTTAGACGAAACTGCACAAGTAAGGAATATCTGTGAATAACAGGAGATAAGCAAGAAAAGCCTTTCACTGTGATTCTGGGACGGAAATTATCCACCTTTGATGCCGAGCAGCTTCCAGAGACAGCGATTCCAGGGAGCACCATCACTTGTCCAGAAATCGACGAAGAGGCCGGAATTTTCAGCCAGTATCGTAGCCTCCAGGAGAATCTTCGAGAGGACAGGCGCCTTTACATTGCCTCTGGAAGCAAAGACTCCGAGGATTTGTGTCCACTTTCCTGCAAAAATAAGATGTTTCACTGTGAGAAATATAAAAATGTAAATCACGGCTTAGGCATCACTGAAGTAAATATGTTGTAAATGACATCACAAACTTCACTAGGTGGACTAGGCTCTAGGATGTACAACAACCAAAAAAGACGTACAATTGTATTGCCGTCACGACATACTTATTTAAATTAACTTGCCTTTAAAGGGTTGAAATACTACAACGAGGCCGTGGTCACTCAGTGCTGTCTCGTTGCTATCCTCCATGAAAGGACCGAGGTCAACGAAGCCACTCAGTTCGCCAGATGCCGTCACATTGATGTTCTCGGAGAGCTTAATCTCGTCATACACAAGACCACCATGGCGGCTGAACTCGTCCATGTCTCGTGTTTTCTTTTCCAAAGCTGAAAACACACTAGTGTTGAAACCAAACGTGCTTTTAAATCCCTGCATGTGTTTGTCCAGGCATGATTTGCTCGGCAAGGCAAGAATCTTGTGTCTTCTAACATACTCGTAGAGTTGGGGGCTTCTCATGCGCATCAAAATGCACTCCAGGACCCACTGCATGTCGTACGCCATGCCTCGGCTTGATTTTCTGGATGCCGCCTCAAAACAGGTTCTTACAGCAAGACGCTGCTTTGGTGGGAGGCTCCTGATTTTCTCCTCCAAAACTGAGCTGGAAATTGTTTCTGTGACTGTTCGAAGCTTTGCAACACTTTCTTGGGCTTTTTCTAGCCTTTTTTTCGCCCGGAACAGCTGAAGGGACTTCCTGGCAATCCGTTGCTGAAATGTCATTCGACGTTTCTTCTTGAGCCTGTACGTCTGGTTTTGGATGAGCTTTTTTTGTGTATTTGCATCGTAAACAAGCTCTCCCGTCAGGTGTTGTCACACAGCAATTTTTTGCGAAGTGCATGGAACCAAACTGGACACACTGACCAGCTGCCACTGGCTCAATTTCACAGCCTGGGCAAAGAAGCAATTGCTCGGCCTTTTTCAATGCCCCAAGGGCGTCATCTCGTCTACTTACACAAATTTCTTCGACTTTGATGCCTCGGCAATATATGGCGCAAAGGTATGCGCTCCCCTGTGCAGCGGTGGCTTCGGCACATGCCGAGAACGTAACGTGCTTTATGACACGCACATCGTCTGATTCCATCCTGGCGTGCCATCCAAAGCACAATGCCGTTGGATCGTTCGATAAAATGATTCTGCTGCAATACATCGAGGGTGGCAGAATGTCGCTGAACGGGTGCGTCTCCGGCGCTGGTTCTGTACAGGCATTTCCAGGATCACAGTCATGCGTGGATCCGCTTGCAGCCCTGCGTTTCACTGGTGGGGTACCACGGTCAGCGAGGTTCCTTTCTTTCCTCTTTTTGGGGACAGGCCTTGTCAGATACGAGGGGGCGTCGGGGAATATCGTAGGGACGGCGTCGTCGGTGAGCACTGGCCGTTCGCGGTCCAGCTCGACGAGCTCGCCATTGATGACGTGCTTGAAAGTTTTTTCTATGTAGCGTTCATCAAAGTGACGGGAACACACGACACAGGTTTCGTCGAGAACTTTGTCTTCTCGCTTGATGTTCCTCGCCCATTCTTGCCGACGAAGGGGGTCGACTGGAGCCCGGAACAACGATACTTTTTCTGCAGCCGATTTGTAGCCGCCTTTGCACAACGGCACGAAGCAGGTCCTACCTTTCTTCGCCGGCATGATCAGATGCATCCAACACACTGACGCATGACACACCGTTGGTCTCTCGTTGTGCACCGCGATGTAATCCACAGATCCGCACAAACAACAAAGGAAGACCCTCGGACGGCTCGGTTCTGTCACACGGAAACATGTGCTTTCGCCATTTTCGCCCGGGCCGTCTACAGGGAGAATAGCGCTGATGATGATGATGATGCTGCGGCTATTTCCCTTTGAATCGGGAGGACTCAAACAAGGTTTGTGCCCAAGCCTGGGAGCGTAGGTGTCTTAATGCTCCCTGAGGTGGATCTTCTGCCACCAGTCCTCCAGTCTCCTTTTTGTGTCTGCAACAAGCCTTTTTGTGTCGTTGGAGGCTACCTTCAGCCCCGTAGCTGGGCAGACTTCTGTGGATTGTCCAATTTCTATGTCAGTGAAGCCCAACGCTTCAGCAGCGAGCGCGCCTGCTGGACGCAGCGCCACCTGCGCGCGTCATCCAAACCGGTTTCTCCGTGGCCGCTTGAAAGAGCGTACGCTCGGGACACTAGGAAACCCTTTCTAGCCTCTGTAGTTCTAGTACACCATAGCTGCACCGAGAAAATCGGGAGTGCGCCAAAATGCAATCCCGTCATGCCTCGCTCCGGCGGGGCCGGCGAGGAGCGGGAGCAGACGACGAGGGTTCGTCTGCTACGATGTGTCGCGGAACCGAACGGAAAAAAAAAGTAGATTTTCTGATAGAAATCGCGTCCCGCGGGAAACGAAATCAAACGCGAGCTTGAATTGTGAGCGCCTGCTATTTCACGGAGGAAGCAATTGACAACCCGTGATTTATTTGCAGGTTTTAAATCGCTCTGTTGCCGCACAAACGCTGTAATATACCAGTGTGTAAGGAAATGCTCAGAACAAACGCAACAGCGGCCCCCGAGATGTCGATCACCATCCGTGCGCGGGTGAAAAATTTAACATTTATCGATAAAACTCCCCCAGCAGAAACCTCTGACTGCCCAATAAGCATCAGAGAAAACTAAAGATGGTGACTTTACCTGAGGATTGGGCAACATCATTATGTTTAACATTTACCTACGCAGCTAACTTGCCCCGTCGTACTTTGTTCGAGAAAGCTCTCGTTCTCCACGCCCTCACCAAGGCTAATATCTAATCCACCTATAATGACGATCCAAATCGAAAGTCCCAGTTTTGCTGGATATTCCAACAGGCTAGTTTTAAGCCGTACCCTTTCAGTGGTTCACGCATAATACCATGCTTAAACGGATCAAGCTTTTGCTCGGACAGCAGCATCAGTTTTCTTCAATGTAAACGGTTATAATGATTGAAAGATCGCAACCAGCTGCTTTGTAGACAGCTGGTTGCGGAAATTTACGCCGTCTGTAACTATCTCTACGGCAGCCGAGCTGCTTGAAGACATCGCAACTATAAACTACAGGTTGCAGTTGCCAATGTTTGTAAATAAACGTTGGTAGCGACTGCATTCTCGCATTCCCACGCATCTCGGAACAGAAAGGCGCTAGTTTCGGTTTGAAGTCGGTACCTTTTCTACAACATAGATGGCGGCAGCATCAGTCTTCTGCACTCGGTGCATTTGGCGAGTTCGTTTGAGTCCAGTTTTCCGTGCAACACTCTGTGAGTGCGATGCATTCTGGGAGAGAACTCGAACGGTGCCAGTGCGTGTGAAACGAACTCGCTATTAGACTCCTCGTTTTTCCGCAGGCCCACGCAGGCACTGCTCTTCTTTATTTTCTCGGGTGTCCGCATTTTTCTTTTAATAACTACATTTTGGCGACGAGGATTTTCTTTTAATTACTACATTTTGGCCGACGAGGATTTTCTTTTAATTACTACAAAACCTGCCAGATCCAGCAATAAATCTGCTCTGTGGTATGCACACCGACACCAGAAAGAGGAAGGCTTTTTTGAGAAGAGAACCAGTCAGTCTGCTTTCTTGCAGCCCAAAGTTGCAACATGACATGGAACCCATTGCTTAGCTAGGATATTTATATTCCACGGTGCCTCAAAGTGGTAGCCAATGTTGCTACGAGGCTAGTAAGGCCCCGTTTTACACTGCAACCTGACGATCGCGCAGGAAGACGAACAATGACACCAAATCATGATCCAGACAGCTTTTATTATGTTTCAAGGCTCTGCCTTTAGCAGCCCTTTTGTAAAACAGCAGTTTGTGACAAACCCTGGAACATGGCAACAACTGTAGAACAAATGCAGCAGCCAAAAGGTCTAATTCTCGCGCCAGACAAGTGCAGCAGTTTTTACATGCAGCAGGTGCATAGGGAAGAAAGTCTCTTTATGCTGCCATTCTCCCTCTTCCTCAACTCCGAGCTGTTGCTACATTTGTGGTGTCAGATGTGTCACCACTGCAAGGCATCTTTTTATTGAATAGCCAAAGTGATGAACGGCTTTACAAGTGCAATACTGTACCCCTCGCGCCCTTTAAGCTGCATTGGCAAGAGTATACTTTTATTATGAGCAGGGCAGACATTTTTTTTTTTTATCAAGTTCGTCAGGCAGACATTTTGTAGGGTATCTCAAAGTGCTGAACCGAGAACATAAAATTAAAAATGCAAATATAGTTTGATTAGGCCACACATTCTTCGAATCACATATTGGTCAATTCAACTTTTATCCCAACTACAAAAACACAATGCTCGAGAACGGCAAAGGCTTAGCCCTTGCGACTACACTGAAAGTCAAAATAGAGGAATAGTACTTGGACTGACAGAACCAAACAATAGAAAAGAAGCACACCTAGAGGGACACTAAAGTAATTTTGAAAACACATTCAACAAAGTACACTGTCGCTGAAAAATCTGACTTAAGTGAGGTTTACCAGCGACCTTTTCTTAATCAGTACTGTTATAATCCCCATCTTAAAGGTCAGCTTTCACTTCTGTTTCATTCTAATTTTGCCAGTCAGAATCCCAAACAGAAAAATAGGTTGCCTTTAAATCACACAAAACAATTTTCAATTGAGCTTAATTCTGGCTATCCAATAATGGGACGACCCTACCGAATGTATAGTACGCATTTCAGATTGTAAACAATTTGAAAGTGTCATTACTTCAGTGCATACCCAACGAAGATTCAAAGATAGCTAAAAAATATGGTAATTGATAAAAAAAAAAAATGTTTTCCGGACACAGATTACCAGCCACGGCAGACGACAGACATTGCGAAAAACATACTAATTATCTAAAGAATGACCTAAAATTTACCAATTATCTTTTTAATTAGTGAAAATAAAAACATGGCTCAAATGAAAAACTTTTTGAGCATCATAAAAAAAAAAAACATATAAACTAATTTTTAGAAAGATATAAGGCAGGTGCAGCATTTTACGGTGTTCCAAGAAAACGCTCAATTTGGACCCTTTTCTAGATTTCAGTTTCCTATTCGAGCGCATCTTTGCTCCGATAAGAAAGTTTGCTCCGAGGTGATAAGCCACCCCCTCGCCTCCCTCGTAGGATGGAAGGAAGGATGACACACTGACGCAGGTACAAAGATGCACTCCGATAGAAAGCCGAAACCTAGAAACGTGCCCAAATCAAGTGTTTTTTCAGAACGCCGTAAAATGCTGCACCTGTCTTATATCTTTCTAAAATGAGTTGATCTAGTGGTTTCCGACAATGATCAGTAGGTTCCTCATTGGAACCACATGTTTTCTTCATTAATTAAAAACTTGACTAGTGAACTTTAGTTAATGATTTAGTTAACTAGTATGTTCTCTGCAGTGTCCCCCCAGCTTCTCCACAATCTGACGGCCACTGAAGAAACTGCGCTCGCACAAACTGCTGCCGAGTGAAGAGACGCAGTCAGACTCCCCTTTATTCTGAGTGCGTCTTGCCGGCGCCATCGTGTGGCCAACCTGCGGGGGAAGACTGGCCCCAGGAGCCCCCAAAAGCGGCGGCGTTATCCGCAGAACAGGCAGGGGTAGGCGGAGCTTTGGGGTGGGCGGGGCTTCAGTTCTTGCGGGGCTGCGATTGGCCGCCTCGGTCCCTGCAAGGCAATTGGGCAGAGCCACGGCCCCAATCTCTCTGTGCCACTTTCCAATGCTGATTTCTGCCTCGCGCATTCAAGACTGGCACAATTTCTTGCCACGCCGTAAAGGTGGCGCCACCCTCATTGGCGAGTTCCTACGTGCGCCCGAGAACAGTTCCCGCTCAGCTACGAATTCAGACGCTCTAAGATGAACATTTTTGCGGAGGCAGAAAAAGCGCAAATAAAGTATTACAGTCATGTCTCGATAATATAGACCTCGTTAATATGAATACCCCCACTATACGAACAAAATTTTCAAGGACAAACTCGAAAAATACATGTATTCTTGTCTCATTAATATGGACAACTCACATTATGCACGATTTTTGCGGGGAACGGAGGTGTCCATATTAAGAAGAAATCACCGTATTACTCGAAACAAAATCGGCTGGAAAAGAACCAGCATTAATCCTAATGCTGAGCATGAAACAGACAATGATTTGTACCCCGAATATTTTTTAATTCTTGCATTATACATTATAAGAGGCATCAAGAAATAACAAAGTATACACCAACAAACACTTCCCAAAAGATAGCACACCCCCCACGTATGTCAAATGGGTTGTAAAAGGAGTGCGCGCCAACTTTTAATTTGTGACCCAAAGGAAAGCCAAGAACAAAATAATTGGTTTCACTTTTGGTTTCACTTTCAAAATTCTCCACAAGAGCTGCACTAGTTCATGCTACAGGATGTTGCTACATGTTCTTCGTTCTTGCATTCGCTGTACCCTCTCACAATGCGCTCTTGTAATAAAACAATGCGGTGCATTATTTTTTTTTTTTTTTTTCAGCATGCAATGCTGCATTGTTAGTTTTTTGTTGACTGTAACCTGGCAGAACCTGAAAGAGGTTCGCAATATTTCAGAATATCACTAAACATCATTAAGTATCATACTGTTGCATGTGTGGCAGAGTTGGCAGAACACCAGGCTGCCACGCAGAAGCCTACTGTTCCCTTCCAGTCACTGGTTGATCTACCTTCTCTTTCAATATGTTGGCTGGAAAGTTTCAAACGCAAAGTGCGCCGTTTTTCCCAACCTGGAATGTTCCCCACTAATGAGTGTGTAAAGAAACCCCATGTGACTGCAAGCAGTCACTCTTGCGAGCGACTTTGAAGTCCGACCCTGCCGTTTTGCCATCGACGACTTTGATCGAATTTGACTTAAAAGGTCTTTCGTGGGCACGAGTTTGCCAAATTAAGCAGTTCTTTGTGGGCAGAAGTTCCCCGTAATAGACAGTTTGTCGCCTTAATATTCACGCTTCGTCGGGGACAACAACAGTCGAAGAGAGAAAAGTATCTCGTTTACTTAACCGACTTCTAAACTGCCCAAGGGACAGATGCTATAGATCTCAAAATTCATATTGCCCATGCCATTGCACAACCCCCACTGACATAATGCAATTCCCTGTTGTGAGTCATCTTTTTGAACATTACGGTGGCCGGTTCTTGCTTTATGATAACAAATCAGAACAAAAAATGTGTTACATGTCTGGCAGGTTTTTGGTTCTCACTCCAGTTCCCTCCGGCAGCGAAACGCTGAGGCAGAACACGTCTCCTGACTCAATGGACGCGAGTACCGGCTGCGTATCTCACTCTAATCAATAGTGTCGGGAACTGCTTAAAGCATTACTTAGAGTAGGTTTAGAAAGCTTGTACTTTACTTGAAACACAATCTCCGAGTATGTCTTTCTACTTGACTTAAAGACCGACAACCAGTATGCGCTCTCCACTTTTCCACCGCTTCCTCCTCTCCCCCCTTCTACCCTGTCCACCGTTGCCTGTTTCCTCCTCCCCCATGGTGAGGAGGATCTTCTGCCTTGCAGAATCTCGGGTCTGGTCGTCGGCCTTTGAAGTTTTTTTTTTTTTTTCTGGTACTTTCCGAAGGAAGTGTGACTCCCGACTCTAAAGTACATTCTCCAAATTTGATCTTGTTAATTTGATATCACAAAATGATGCTTCGTCAACAAGTGCCTTATAAGTTGATTGTGTTAAATAGTCACTCGACTTCATCCAATGTTTGCAGGTATTTTTTAAAATAACTGATGCACCCCCGATTACACCTAGAGCAATGTATACCGCTTAAAAAAAAAAAAAGAACAAACAGTGCATAGGGGAATGAAAGGGCATCATATTGTGTTAAAAAGTACTTGTACTTCAATTTGAAAGCGGCCGTAACACCATACCGGCAGCGCTGCGATCGCATCCAACTCAACGCTGCATCACATTCCGAGTTGCCACCACCCTTGCCACGATAATGAGGGAAATGGGAATATTTTGTTTTTCATCCCACTTGCTAGCGATTTGTGTGCGAGACACTGGTTCCCAAGTGCACACCTCTTCGTCCCCTGACGGCACGTAAGATGTGGCAGCAATCCATACGTGGGCGCAACTGCAGTAATTGAATGACTGTAGTTTGATCACACCCCACATAGTTTGCAAATTAAATTATTTCCGGTTAAATGTAATTTAGTGGTTGCAATTCAACGACTTTCAACCCCAGTAATAGGGTCGCCAGCTGGCGTGTTTCGGGTCGGCACAGCGGGTTCTTTGGACATGCAGCCAGTTGTTGATTCACGATTCACCTGCGGGCATTTGCCGGTTTAGGCCTTGGCGGATGCCTAAAGAACCCATATGTTGGCCAATCTTCAAAATGTTTTCGAAGCAATAAAAAGGAATGCCGCTCCCTTGGGCGCCTCGGCGGGCACTGCCGAGCCCATTACTTCGACAACGCCTCGGTCCCGCGACTGATACACGCCCTCCCCCCAGTTCCGTCCCAGAGCGCCCCAGAGCACCAAAGAGCTGCCCAAAGCATCCCAGACCCAACTCGGGCTCCACAGAGCTTTGTCCCCTGCAAACCTTTCCCTGGGCCGCGATCGGTCCGCCCTCGCTTCCGGCGCCGGCCCACTGCCAGACTGCCTCGACGACGAGTCCCTCGACGCCGACCTGCAGACGGGAAACGGCGACGTGCTTTGGTCTCTTACCACGTTAAATCTGCTGCTTAAAGGGCAACTCCACTTCATTTTCATTTTGAAAGAACAATCCAGTCCTCTTCAGTATCATCTAGGAAGACCACAAGTAAAATATTACGAGCTAGTTCTATCTAAATGCTTCTTGAACGTTCCGGCAAACACTGAAACACGCCAAGTTTCCGGAATCATCCGACTCTAGCGGGCAAACTGAAGCGCAATCAACAGCGCGGCCGAGGCTACGGCGTTGGCGTAGCCAACATTGAGCTAAGTGTCATCAACGTTGCTACTTTTTATTTGGTTCAGACAAAAAAAGTAATTTGATTATGAATGTCAAATACACTTTATATTCAGAGTTTTATAACAAAAATTGGCATGTGAAAGATAAATCCACTACTCCTACTAATTCAGTTCCAATTTACTCACACCTACATGAATGTAAAAAATAAAGAGAAAAGTCGGCATAAAAAATGAACCTACAAAAAATCCAGAAAGATCTTGCAATATCGAAGTATCCTTGCTAAATCTCGAACTGGAAAAATATACTGCCAGGATATCGCAGCCTATCATATATACGAGCCAAAGTTCTATTAAAAAATTGCCATGTCTTGCTCTGGAGGAGTGCATTACCCTTACCACGTGGGTACACTGCAGCAAAGCAAGACACGCAAAATCGCTATGCCTACTCCGCAGTTATTGCTTCTCTGTGGTACAGTCAAACCCGTTTATAACGAACAGCAGGAAACGCTACGATCAGTTCGATATCGCAAGTAGTTCGATATAGCAAAAACCATTTACAACGAACTACCACGATTCGTTCGTTGTAAGGCAAGAGCTTCTCTTTCTTTCCCATCTCTTCCCTTCCACCTTGTAACAAAGCGCTGGAATTTTCTATTTTTTTTTTTTTGCATGTATGCAGAGTTTTGTTTGTTTAGTTTATCTCCCCTTCTGAATCCCTTCTCTTCGTGGATAACCGCTTTGGGATGAAAGGTGTTTTTTTTCTGAGCGTGCATCGCTTCTCTTCGCTCAATTTTGTTCGTGGCTTCAGCTTTTGGAATTTTTCTTCTTTCCTACTATTCTTTTGGGGGAAAGAAGAAGCTAGGACACGATTGTTTGCGCGTTTTTGGAAGCCTTCCCGAGGGGGGGGGGGGGGGGGGGGGGTTGATATAGCCAATATGTTGTTCGTTATAAAACATACTTTTTACATGGATTCTTATTTAAATTTTCTGCGAGTTCAATATCGACAATATTTCGCTGTACGTAGGTTCGTTTTAAACGGGTCTGACTGTACACCAGTGCACGGTGGGAAGCACACTCAACAGAACTAACCCGCCAGAAAAAAACATGATACGAAATCAAATCAAATAGTATGTTATTTGAGGGATTATTAACAGTTCACAAATTGCTACGTCTTTGACGGGTAGCGAGGCCGGAGCTATTAAACTTTCCGTATTATTAAAATGAAACTAAGTTTTGGCCACAATGTTGGCATAAATTCCTCACAATTCAGTCAAATGTAGCAGGATGTCGCAGGATGTAGCAGAATGAAGCAGGGTAAGCACTATGGCACACTTTGGCGTAGCAATCGCATCACTGCACGTGGTAGCCGTGTTTTTGGTGGCCCGAGGCCAATGTTGCCCGAAAGAGCCGTAGTTTTGGTTTAGGTTTCTGCTCTAGTTTGAAGTAAGATTTCACAAAATATAACCCATTTTTCACGAAGCCAATGACGTAGTGCCTTTTATTAGTGCTTTTTTATGTGAAATCACTCATAATCCCGAAATTTTCGAAATTGAGCGGAGTTGCCCTTTCAACAGCCCTTTTGCATAACTAGAGCCACCGACACTATGCTCAGACTCGGAGCATGCATTCTCGAAAACAATCGCTGGGAACCTGGCGGTCCCCCAGGGTACACTCCCGAATTCCCCGAGCTCCCAAACTCCCTCAACTGCCCCTGTCCCCAAGTAGTGTGTTCTAGTGTAAGCACCATTTAAGAAGATCCGAGCCATTCTTGATGCATAACTACAATGTGCCAAAAAGTTCCCAACATTTGCAAGACCGTTTATAAGGTCTGTAAACCTCTGCATTGCTTCACTCCATCCAAGCTGAAATTAGAAGGCCTTCCTCGGCTGTCAGTCCAGAGAGATAGGCATTCCTCCAAGTCCGACAGTTTCAGAGCCCCTGGTTTAAGGCATCACCACCCAATTCTTTGACTGTTTTGTGGGCACCGCCACCTTGCTGTCTCGTGCAGAAATGGACAAAACATTGGCGATGATGATGGTTAGGAAATGCAATTCCCCTCGGCTTTAGACGTGGTGTGGGGAACCTCGGGCACTGCCATTTTACTCCGTCGTGGACCGTTTCCACATTTCCAGAGGAGTGAAAAACATTTCCTGGGTCTTAAGAGTAGAGCCTTGGGCACCTGGCAGCAACAACGCTAAGCAACGGGATGGTTGAAACTCGTTGACGAAAAGGTGTGAAAGTCGCGCCGCAAGTGAAGTATAAGCAAGTCTAGCTTTTGGGTTGGGTTGGCTTGGGTTGGGTTCCACGCTTTAGAAACTCGCGCACATGAACCAGACCGATAAAGGCGAGTGAAGCTGCAGACCGGGATCTTTAGAGTTCCCCTCCGTCCAACCGGCCCCCAGGGGAGACACGGTGAAGTCGGCTCACCTGGAGCGGGAGGAAGACCTGTCGTCGGACGAGGAGCGTGAGGAGCGCCTGGAGGAGGAGCTGGACGAGGAGCTGCCCCCGGAGGAGCCCTTGGAGTCGCCCTCCTCTTCCTCCCCCCAGCCGCTCAGGTCGTACTTGGACAGGTCACCGTCGTCCCCCTCCTCCTCCTCCTCATCCTCCTCTCCCGCCTCTTCTTCCTGGATACCAAGGACAGGGCAACGTCATGCCGCTGCAACTTGGGGGTCGTCACATACTAGTGCCATGGGATCTCTTTGAGGTGGTTGTGCGATTTAATCGCACAATGACAACGTGCCCAATACACCTGAATATAACGAAATTGATAAAAGTTTGCAATAATTCGTTATATGGAGGATTTCGTTACATGCAGTTTTCGCAGAAAAACTCGTAAAGGACACGTGGAAAGAAAGCGAAAAATAAAAATCCACGTGGGCTAACTCACCACGTCATCTATTTAGTGGAAAAGAAGCCTGTAAACTCGCGTTTCACCTTTGCGCGCGAGCGAAGGCAGCACGCAGCGCTCAAAGGACACCAAAGCGTTTAGAGCACTGTCGTCGTCCTGGGAGCCGGATATATATCGATGGCATCCAAGACCTTTCTCGCGGTAGACACCAAAAGCTGCTCGTTTTTGGTGGCAATTGGAGAAGAATATATCTCCATTTTAGGTACAGTCACTGACCGATTATTCGGACTTCGCAGGGACCGAAAAAACATCCGAAAAATAGAGCAGTCCGAAAAATGAGCAGATTGAAAAACTTGCCTTAATTACTTCCAAGCGGGCTCAAAAAAGCTGTAAATAACGCCTTGTTCGGGTTACGCCTCCGTTTCCGTTCGGCAACTTTCTGTTAGCGTGAAAATCGCTGCCTTCTTTTCTAGAGTTACGGTCGAATACTTTCTGCGCTTCTTAATGACACATTGCGGCGGCAGAAGAACAGATGGGGCTATGACGTCCAAGCCAGCGTTATGCGAATGAGACAAGAGGCACAAATCCACGAGCGCAAAATGGCGACTGGCGACGCGAAGGAACGAAAAACAAAGCAAAATGATCATGATGATGATGATGACGTGCAGCTAAATGGGAAAAAAAGGGGCTAGCATAGCGTCACCTAGCGGTAGGACTCAGGAGTGCTCAAGTAGCGCTGCCAAACCAAGCCAATCCATTGGCAGCCAACATAGAATTCAAAATGGCCGCTTCTCGATGGTTTTTTCCGCTGATCGCTCGCAACGATTTTGTCCGAATAATCAAACTTTAAGCTGTCCTAAACATTGGTCGTGAATATACACTATTTCAATGGGGTAAGTCACAGTTCCGCCTTTAGGTCCGAAATATCGAACAAGTTCAAATTATCGGAGTCCGAAAAGAAAAAAAATGGAGATTGCGGCGGAGTGAGTTTGTTAAATCAAGGTTATCCAGTGCGAGTGCTTCATTACATGGGGTTCAGAAATACAACCGCTTCTATGAAGATCGCGTCGGGGAATTGAAAAAGTTCGTTAAATAGAGGATTTCGTTGTATACAGGTTCGTTACATTCAGGTTTAACTGTAATACTTTCCGTACCATGCCCACAGGGCAGCGGTTCTCAACCACTGTTATTTCACAGACCCCTTGTGGTTCGGCGGAGATGATGGAGGACCCCGTTAGTGGTGAGGGGAAGGGAAAGGTATAAGTGAATTATGATGATTTAATAAATCGTGATAATAAACGGTAATAAACTAAGGGTCAGTGTAAAGTAGACTGCTTTCATTGACATACACACGAGAAAACTCACCCGGATATTGGAACGTTTCTTCTCAATCTGAAAAAAGACAACTTTTTTTGCCGGGCTTGACTGACGAGGCAGGGATTTGCAGACCCTTAGAATGCCTTTGCGAACCCCTATTTCAGAACCACTGCCACAGGGGATCAATCATCTGTGATCTGCCATTTCCACGCACCACCAAGATTCAAATTTTGCGTGCAGGAACACATTGCACGATCTCGTGGAAAGCCGAAGAACTACAGTTTCAGCTTCGATTTGGTTTTTGCCCTTTTTCGCAAGTTGCTGAGGTATGAGAAATTAATGTCTGCACAGCGGTGGCCGCACGATTGAGGCAAAGGTGTTCAGTGTACAAGAATATTTTGTACAACTTATGCACCCGGTATAGACTGTGACTCGAGTGCAGAAAAAATAACTAAGAAAAAAAACTCTTTGTCTTGCGTCAAAATTTGTTTCAGTGGACTATACGCCGAATGCAGAATATAGTCCCAAAAATGAGGTAAAAACATCTGCCGCTAGCCAAGTCTGGTCAGTACTATCGTAACCACAGATTTTCAAACCAACCAAAACCAGAGGATGAATCTGGCACACCTGTTAAAACTGTGGAAGCTTACACACAGTCCCCAGGAGGAAGGGCATACTCTAAACCTACCTTGGCGGGGGGCTGGCTGCTGGGTTTGGCCGCAGACTGTGGCGCCACCTCCCTTCGGGCTTTCTTCCTTCTTCTGCCAAACTGGAGCGGTCGAGAAACACCCTCAGACACTTCGAAACACCATTTTTGCCCCAAACATCCCGACTCATCTGGAAGGAAATTTCTAGAACGACCGGTGATGCCTCTACGTAACAAATTCCTCTCGCATAAAATAATGGGATTTGTGTGTGCAGCGTGCTCGCTCGCAAGCTGTGGCACTTCTTTTTAGCTAGCCAAACTAAAGACATTTTTGGAATACCCGGGCTTTACTCTTCCCCGCACGCTATTTATAATCTCTAAATTAAGATATCTATCGAGAAAACTTCAAATGGAGGTTATGCCAAAACCAACATTCCAGTTTTCAGTGTAGCCAGTAGAGCCTTTCTGCCTCTTGGACCAAATTTAAAAATTAAAAACTTTGCGAGAAAGGAATTATTGTGACTTGTTATGAGGGTTACTAGTTCAGACGTGTCCATTAATATGTCAAACCAATTAAGTGGAAAGCCAGTGACTAACAAAATATTGCCAGACCTTCCCTTTACTAAGAAATTTGGAGCCAACAGAAACTGCAGCGTGCTGCTTGGGAGTCAATGCGTATTGAAAGCTGCTCGTGCTCATGCGTTACCCTGCTAGCCAGAGACAGAGGCCAAAACGTAACAGACACAAACAAAACTATACGTGTGCTCATCGCCCATTTAAGTGTTGGTCTCGAATCATTACGAAGATGACAAAGCTCTAGATTCCTCACCGGTAAAAGCAAATGCAAAACCTCTCGAAAGCCCTGGCAGTGCGGTCTTTCAGAGACGCTACACACGACTATGTTTGCGCCGCAGATGCACCAAACACTTGCCACAATCATCTGTGCAACAGCACCACGAAGGAACACATAATACATTGTCTAACCACCGTTTTTGCCTCTTTCGAATTTTTCATTCTCATTACCCCAGTTTCCGGTTAATTTACATGATTCATGGCACAGTCACTATTGGATGCAAAAACTGAATCGTATAGATGCGACTAAAAAAAATTTAAAGTGTTAAAAAGAACTGCATGGGACTATCGTGGCTATCTGGGAATGTAGCGGCGCCTCTGATATCAAGGTACGGTTAGCACTTGTACGCTTGCCGAAGCGTTGGCTTGAATCCCTAAAATTTTGACAAAATGTAGCAGAGTAGACCTGATGTGGTTTGGCACTATTTGTGCCAAACATGCAGTGCCTAACAGTGACATGTGTTGCAGAGAGTCTTTTGAACAGCCAGACAAATGCAAAAAGATGCAAACATTTTGTTTTTCATTTTCCTCTTCCCTTTTGAGACTGTTACAGCAAATGAGCAAATGACACTTTGCCACAAAGTTCCCTTAAGAATACCTTCTTGCAATCGGGAAAGACAATGATAAAAACAATTGTCTCGAACGTCCCTTCAGGAAATAAGACTTTTGGAAAGTGGAAGACAGCGCAATCCGTGCCGAGTTTGGCCGGCTACTCACGTCGTCGTACTCTCCGTCAGACTCCTCCCTCTCCACGTATTCCACGTCTTCGCGTTCGTTGTAGCCACCGCCGAGACCTGAGAAGCCAGCAGACTTTGAGACTCGCAGAAACAAAACTCGGCAAACGTGGTAAACTTCGGTGCAAGCTCCCTATTTCTCAAAGTGTCCTATCACACCAAATGCCGGCACGATTCTCACCAAAACCGGTCCCTATAATAAAAAAAAATGAAAGACGTTTACATATCTCTGTAATGCGAAACTAGAGCGCAGCTCTTGAAGAGGAGGGGAAGGTATGCCCCTCCTCCTCTTCCTTTCCTCCTGCTGCTGCATTTGTTAATGGGTGACGTGACACGAAGTCGTAACGTTATTTTCCCCGCTGAATTTAGCAGGGAAATTAAATTGGTGCTGAGAGTCATTTTCCCCGCTAAATTTAGCAGGGAAATTGAATTGGTCCTGAGATTATATGACGTCAATTTCCCCGCTAAATTTAGCGGGGAAACTTAACCCACTAAAGTTAACACAGAAAGTTTTCCGCTAAACTTAGCGGAAAATTTTCCCGCTAAATTTAGCGGGGAAATTTTCCCCACAAACTTCAGCAGGGAAACATCCCATTATGCAACGCGCACGTGTATGTTGACGCCGATGCCGCTCAACCCAAAAACAGGCGCCTAAGAGCTGCGCTCTAAAACACCCAGGTCAACACCAAGCGACGACCTGCTCACTGCCTGAGAAATTCACAGACGCGGTTTCAGTGCAGGCTCTTTATTTTTCAACATGTTCTATCACATCAAAAGTTTGAACACATTATCCCATTGAGGTCACTTTTTCTTTTTTTCAAAATATATACCACAAAAGTTTATTTAAAACCAGCAATTTGCACAAAAAATGAAACATTCATTTGACCTCTAGGTGTCGTTTGTAACTCTCCCTATTATTTGCCGACAGTCTGATCTGTCCACTCAGTAGTTCTTCACTGTATGGTACTGCTAGAATGGTACAGGAGGGCGCGAGTGACATTCGTGATTAGTAGCCAAGGGGTTACACGTTTTATCAGATTACATTTGGTCCGATTCCCACCAAAACCATGCCAACGCAAATTGCCCAGGTCAAGCCAAAGCAACAGCCTACCCGAAGGCCGGGAGATTCACAGGTACGACGGGCCTCCAGCAAACTATGCAATCGCGTCCCTTTGTGTCCATCCTGCCACGCTCGCTCCAAACAGAATTTCTTCCACATTTCATTTCACACTGTTTCAGTTCTGTTAGCTTTAAATTGCTCATTTTAGGGCTTTACATAGTAAAGGGGGGCAGGAGAATACAATGTCAAGAGGAACACTTCTAAAAACAAGTTAGTTTGGCCAAGTCGTGTGCTTTGAGCACATCTTGGAAATCATCCGAGTCAGAAAAGGTAAGAATTAGGTACGTGCGAATAGAGGATTTTAGGTCCGAATCGAAATCGAAGCGAATAGTGATTTTGGCCGAATAATTTTGAATCGAATAGTTTGAATAGTACAAGCAACAAATACCACAAGATATGTTTAAACTATAGTTTCCTATTTGCCTTTATTTGGTATGAAAAGTACTGTAATTGTTAATTTCAAGTGTAACAAGCCAGAGTATTCGGAAAGGGCGAATAATTCGATATTGTCGAATATTTCGATGTTGTCGAATACTTCAATTCGGTTTGATGCGGATATCGAATAGAACAGAATTCGATGGGCTACTCTTAATAACCGAATATTTGCCCATCCCTAGTAAAAATGTTACAACGGCTAGCCAAATAAATTCCCCGTGGAAAACACGCTTCCCTTAAATCAATAAATATTTTTCAATCTGCAAAACGAGAGAGACACTCGTGAATTTGGGAAATTACATGGTGTGGAGCGAGTGTCGCCGAATGGACCATTTACATGAGTTTACAATTCGACCCATTCGAACGGCGCCGCATGAAGTAGGTACAGACCCCGGATCGTAGCGTATTTTGGCGGGTGCTCCGCAATGATGGCAGTCACTGCAACTGGTGATAACAACAATTGTATGTATTTTTGCCACCAAACATTGTTCGGCGCAGTTAACATGTAAATGCGATACAAAAATGTAATGCATTGCCGCACGACGAAGCAGCAACACGCGGTAGGATTAGCCTTGCCAGCTCTGTGTCTCCTACATGCTCGTGCCACATGCTCTCGAAGAAATCGAGAAGAGGAAGACGCCGCAGGAGCGATCTTCGCAGAAAACGCTACACGTCCCTAATGAGCGATGAAGCAAGCAGCGTTTAGTGACAAACAAACCGGTACGGGCTGCACTTGACATGCAACAGGCCTCCTTCAAATATTGTACACGTGCATGCCCATTGCAACGGGAGACCACCCGCCATGCTCACCCGTGCGCTCTTCCACTTCTCCGAACTTTGGGGCGTTGCACATGTTGCATGACTGCCGCCGGGCCCAGTTCACGTTCCCGCACCTGCGGACGGGAGAACACTGCTCTGAAGCCCTGGCGATTCTGTGCATCCTTTCGGCGTGTCCGAAAGTTGAGGAAGGATGATGCAACTATTTTTCTGTCTTCTGCCATGGATGCATACTTTTTCACGTGGCACTTTTAATCAGTGACGAGTTTTCCATGTGCAAGTTTCTACGTTTCTGGAAAACATATGACGTTTTACGACGACCTTGGCCTACGTTGTAAGTAAACTGACCCTAGCAACATTCTGGAAAGGATTTTTAGCATCCTTCACCTTCATGTGCACATCCTGTTGTGTGTGCACTACAAGCCTCCTGCATTGCCCGATGGATGCCTCGAAAAGCGACTAGCTAATGGGTCCAGAACTTGCACGTTTGAAGCGGTCCCGCACATAGCAGCGTGCCGGTCCTGGTGCCACAGATGATCACGAAAAACACACAAATAAAAAGCAAAGAACAAACGTCGCCCTAGCACAGATTAAAGCCAAGACAAGCTCGAGCCAGGAGACGCCTTTTCACACACACCGGAGCAAAATATTATACAGTTTTGATCATGCTGACAAAAACTACAGTGTCAGTGCTAGATTTTTCATTCATTTTTACTATCTACATTCTTTATTTTTTCACTCATATTTATTTTACTTTATTATCTTGTTCCTAATATTTGTTTTTCATTTTAACTCTATTATCTTGTTTGCAGTATTTTGTTTTATTATTTTAACTTTATTTTCTTTGCATTGTTTTATTTTATTATTTTTTATTTACTTAATTTTTACTGGTTCGTGAACACTCTCATCCAATATTTGCCACTTTCGCCGGCACTTTTGCATTCAAACATTTAGCCATCCACCCCTGCTACGCTCGTAGCACTATGGTTATGCACTGAGAAACTCAGGAAGTCTTAAAAAGACACTGACAGGGTAGTTATACTCGCCAAGGTTTTTATTTGTACATCACATTTGAGAGCCGAACTACAAAGAAAACAATTCGCGACTCGAAATTCATTTTCTTTCAGCCTGAAAACTGCCTATTGAGGACTGGACGGTTTGAGTCATGCTCACTCTCTTCTCCGTTGTCACGTGCCGTTTTCTATGGTTTAGATACAATCACCAAATATAATCAGTCGCAGGTCATCGAAAACACACACAGAATAATAAAAATAGAATAAAAACGATACCCATTTTTTGTGGCTTCTAAAAAGCTGCAAATATGTTCAGGGAAAATAAAGGTTGCACAGCCACGTGACTTTTGCCACCTCTCTCTTCCTCTATATTTCTTCTTCATCCCCAGTCCAGTTTCGGCTTCTACTTCAAGCAGTTGTGTTTTTTTGTTGTTTTTTTTTAAGTTAAAAATACCTGTGATGGCGCTGCAGCAAAATATTGATTGGGCAGACTTTTGGGGGGTGTCAGTGTCCCTTTAATGTCTGTGACACTCAAAGAGTGTCACTTGTTCATGATGCTCGTTATGACCCTCATTCATTACACTGTTTTCATAGAAAAGGCTGTATAACACACATTTTGCGTCAAAAAGAAAGAGAAGCGCCACGACGCCAGGTGGTTCTCAGGAGACATGCGCCCCAGTAGCGGTGGCGGGAATCACGCAGTTTTAAAGGGACACTAAACCAAAATTTGAATTTCGCAAAATAAGGTTGCTGAAGCATTGAATGGGACACTACGAACTACTAGATATCACTCATACATTGATATCTCAAACGGATGGCCGTACTTTGGAAAAGAAGGGCACGATCAAACAAGGTCTTTGACGTCATTGTCCTCCGGGAGAATTTGAGAATGAGGAGAAGCGGCCTCGCTTGTCTCCTCCTCGCTTCGATTCACCAGCTCGACGGGAAGTACCAGGAAGGAGGGGGAATGAGAATCATGACGTGACATGTCTCGTCGGCCGTGTTCAATCGCGCACTTCTTTTCCAAAAATACAACGATCCGTTAAAGATATTGCTGTATGAGTGATGTTTTGGGGTTTTGGAGCGTCCTGCCTATCTCTCCAACCTTGTTTTATGCGCTCAAAATTTCGGTTCAGCATCCCTTTATTGCAAAAACATTAATTGTCCCATAGAGCGAAGCTGGCGTTGTCTGTAGCAGTGAAAAACGGCACGTAAATTTCTATTAGCTGAGCGAAATGGCACCTAAATTCCCATAGGATGCGATGCGTCATGTGGCCCCATAGCAACGGCGTCATCGTTGCTGAGGAGCCAGCCCGACGTTAGGCCTAACGTTACTCTTTGAGGTCTCGTGTCGTCAGCCGGTACCCGCAGCTAGGGCGATGATAATGATGAGGGGAGACGTGATTTCAGCACACGCTGCGCCAAGCTTCGCACTCCCAGCGGCGCAGCAGTCACCAGCGAGCCAGGCCAGCGGCGCTGCGGCCACTTCTGCTCTTCTTGGTGCCAAGGAACATGGCAGCGCCTGAAGCATCTATATACCGTAGAATACCACGCATCCGCCCATTCCACATTAAGCACCCATCCCCAAATTTGTAAGATTTGAGAAAATACACACAGTACATTTATATGTAAAACTGATGACCAGACAAGCACCCATCCTCCATTTTTTGTGATTATCTGTGAAGTTTGAGTGGGCGCTTGCCCGGTATTCTACGGCAGTCCGTGGCCGCAACCTCGGCAGTAGCGAAACGTGGCTGTCCACGCCAGTACACCGCAGACGAACTAAGGAAGCAGAACAACATTAATGCTCTCGCATTCTTAACTCATAAGTGCTTAGGTGTCATCAGAATTTTTTAAACATGGCACTTTCTCTCTATTGTCTGATATTACCCGGTCATTTCGCACAATTTCGGTGATTCCTACGGGATCCAACCCACAACTTTTAATAGTTTCAAAAAAGTGTAGAGTCAGTTTTCATACAATCATTGAGCTTTTGGAAGTATTGGGCCTTTCACTTCTTACGTTCAGCTTGTATTCCTGCACTACCTCAGATAACCTTTGCAAATGCCTATCACTATTGCTTTTCTTGTATCTAATAAATGCTCGCCTTCTTTTTAAGGTTTTACGACGTTGAATCCAGCTGATTTCGGATGTGGAAGGGATTTTGTCTGTTCTTCAGCACTACAAAGGAAAAAAAAGCTAAGCGATGAAGTGGCTATGCAAAGCCCTTCCCCATTTGGAAATGCAGTACATGGGTTGGCCGGGGACACGTCTCTTACACTAGAGTGATGGGCCACTCACCTGCCGCACTGCCAGTCGTCGGCACTGAAGAGGCCCCGGCTCTTTTCGGCGGCAGCCTTGCCAATCTCGTGGCCCAGCTTGCGCTTGGACAGGAGTTCCGCTTTTTCTGCGCCCGCCACAACCCAAAGTTCAAGGTCAACTCATCAAGTGCAATTTTTTCTTTTTTTTTTTTTGCAGCATTTTGTACGCAAGTTTTGATCTTAGTAAAACTGTAGCATGCTCTGTGAAGAATATTTATCTATAAAATACGCACATTTTATTAACAAAAGTCAATGGACGTATGTGCACCTCCGACCTATGACATATTTCTCATATTGTACTTTTGAAGACACGATACTGTGTGGCGGTACCTCGACCTTGCACCCCAAAGTCACTCTTTTCGGCCGCCTTGCTTTAAACTCTGTTCATTCGGAACAGCAACTTCCTTGTTTTCACGGTCGTCGAATGTCAAGTTCATCAGTAATTTCTAGATCTCGGTGTTCGCAATAAGGCGCATGGTTGAACGACATAAATTGACCATATATCGGAGCAACATTTATACTCCGTTTCGAATTATGAATGACCGCATTCATTGCTGCATCATCGTCGTGTGACCTTGAAGTGGGGGCACGGCGATGTTCTGAAAGCGCAGTCACATGCTACGGTGATCGAGCTATATTGGCCGGGACGGCTCGTACCGTCCACCACAGTAAATCGCAAAGTGAAACGGAACGTGGGTCAAGAGACTCATCGTGAGTATTGCGACGTGCCGAAATAGAAGTGTGCTTCGGAATCGCTCCTCACTCAAATTATGTCTCCCAACATAAGTATTGTTGGCAAAAAATTAATTTTTGGTGAGAGTTTATTTTGTAACATACGTGCCCTATTCGGGCAATTAACAAAGAACGTTTTTTCTGAGTTCTGCGCCCTTTTAACCCCTTGCCTACTTGTTTTTTCTTCTAGGAAAGTGCAGCTAAACTTAATTTTAAATGGACACTTTGCATTAAAATGAGACAAAAGAATTTCCTAGACTTCCAGGTGTCATATCTTGCTCTAAGTTGGGACTTCTGGACATATGGCGGCTTGGGCAAGTTGGTTTTCCATGTCTCAAATATAACAGCGCAAGTAGGGAATCGACACAAACACGGCATAGCAACAACATAAGTAGAGCCAACTCAGGACATTTAGGCCTACATTGACGTGATTGCGGATGTGCGGCACATCTAGAGAGGTGTACAGTGCTGGGCAGAAGCGGTAGCCAACTGACTAGGGAGATAGTGGAAGCAGAAAATATTGCCAGGGATGACGACAAATGTGTAAGCACTCCATCGCTCACTTTATCAGGAAAAGAATTAGCTTATCTTATTAGCTCACATGAGTATCATTTAATGGGATGTAAAGAAAAAGAAGCCAACTTTCATGAATATATAGAAAAGGCGTAAAAGAAAAAGAAGTGCTAAAATAGAGATTGAGTTGTGAGTCAGCGCTGTGTGAGTGTCTTGTCTGATGTGAATGTGTCCCGAAGTGTGATTGTTTATTCTGGCCTGCGGTGATGTGTGTTTGTGTGGATTCCCTACTTGCGCTGTTATATTTGGGACGTCCGATCTGAGTCTCATTGACGTGCAGACACAGAAGTTCATGGCATGCTTGCAGGATTCACACTGTTTTCATCACACTGCCCGTCAAACTATCATCCGATTACTAACAATCGGAAAGGCCGAAGGATTCGTCAATACATATGCCTCAGCATTAATATCTTTCAAAAAGGTTTTGTATGTCTCTGTCGACTAAAGCGGACCTCCGCGCCAAAGCCAAGTAGTTTTAGCGTGAACGTTCACGAGCGACTTCTCTTTTTCCTTTGGCTACATGGAGCATTTTCTCTCTGTCAAACAGCAAAACAAGCGAGCAAACTGCCCAAGGTAAATGAAGCGACAGGGGTGGTTTTGCCACCTGCCAGAGAGCACACTAAACAAGTGCCAAAACCGAAACGCGAGTCGCACTCGTGTTTGGGCTTTAGGGTCAGTAAGGGATGGCACGAGTGACACTCGTAATTAGTAAGGAAGGGGTTAAGGCAAGTCCACGAGAAAACTGCTTCAAAACAAACCTGCCTTCTGAGCTCCGGGAATTAACCTGCGAAAACTCAATGCAGTTCCGGATTTGACGAGAAGCAGTTCCGTAGTGCAAAGTAAAAGCGACGAAAAACATTTATGTACGATCATTTTTTAATTATAGATCGCGCAATTGCGAGGAAACGCGTATGCGATTGAACTGGATTATCACCAGGGTTTTGTGCTTTCGGTAAATACCGAATAACCCAGAAAGATAACCCCTAAGCCGGTATCGTCGGAACCGGGGCACACCAAAAACCGAAGCTGCCTCTGAATAAAAAAAACCCAAGCTTTACGGGAAGAGATTTCCCTCAAGAAAGGAAGGACACCAATGCGCCGATTCCTCACACATTCCCCCGCAATATTTGGAAGATCACATGCAAGAAGGCGAAGCGTGCGAGTTCTAACACAATGAAGCCGAAAGTTTCGAGCACTGAACAGAGTATCGGCAACCAGGTTGTTTTAGCTTCGACTAAAATTACGGCAAATTTTCTCCATTTGCTCCAAAACCATTCTCGGCTTTTGGAAAGGTTCTCGCCGTACCAATGGCCGCGCTTCGAATTTCAACTGGAAAGGTGAGCTCAAACCCCTTTGAGAGTGTGAAGATGGGAATGCGAAATTAATGTTAGCTTTCTTGCATCCGGTACTTCGCCACTCCCCGGTTCGTAGTAAGTGGGAACCGTACACATTACTGAAAAGAAGAATTCGCTCGCGATACCTCCGCTCTGTAAAGCATCGTCGGGTAAACCGAGAAACGAGTCTAGCTCACCCTTTCCACAACGGTTGCAGCTGCTTCTTCGAGCAAAGTTCACATTTCCGCACCTGAAACAAGACGCCACGCAGAGACCTCCATCAGCATCTTCCACGCAGCAAACGGGCTTTCACACTTAGCTTGGGCCAATGCCACGTAAACAGTATCTGCCACAATTTTTTGCAAAATGAATCGGGACCTTTAAAATAAAATTGTAAAAACAAAGCAGTTCTTAGAGTACCCCAAGAAGTTAAACCATTAACTGGAAATTTTTGCCATCTATAGTGAGCGACGGCTAAAGAAATGGAAGACTTAGTGAATCTTGGGCACCTCATTATCGTTTCTGAACCAACGAGACTACAGCTGAAGTCGGAAAGAATGCCAAAGAACACACCACAAAGCAAGAAATGAAAATGTAGTAACCCACGCTCTTCCCTTCTTTTAAGCCGCCAGTGACTGTAGCAGAGACACCCGTTAAAGTGAACTTGAAAGCACACATATTCTGTATTTAAAAAATTGGGTCTCTTCCTCTGAAGAGAAAAGCTCTTGCTTAACATTCGCAGATCAAATCTGCCGAAGAAAGGAAAAGTTTAGTTTGCCATATTATCAGAACTCTCGCAACTTAGAAACATTGACAGAATCAGAACCGGGCGAAGAGAATGAAAACTAAGCCAAAACCTCGCCTCACACAGACGTTCCAGAAGGGAGACTGGGCTGCGTATTCGGCCTTGGCCACCCTTTAGAGCAAAACTGTCTCCCAGACGAGACGACGTACCGAGAGACGTTGTCTTGTCCCTTGGCACTGAGTACCTTGCGCTACTCAGTGCTGCTGTGGCCTGCAAGGGCCGAGCAGCCGAGCAAAGTACAGGAGCACTCCAGAACCCTAAAGCTCCTCTCAAAAGTTGCACACACTTTTAGGGGAAACAATTCAAGTTGTTTTCTCACTAAGCTCGGAGCCCGGGTGACGATGAGGTTGCGGATTCTGCACTCTCTTAATATTGGCAGTCAAAAGTGTAGAAGAAATAAGGCCCTGCCTCAGTTTCCTCTGTGCACAGGGTGTCTCTGGGAAAATGTTACCGTTTCTCTCACCATACACAAAAGACAAACAAAAGAACTATGTATCATTGAACGATTAGACTCCACCCAAAACGTCGCACTAGCGGTCTGGACCAAATGCCAAAGTGTCAGTGCTTGCCGTTATCTAATTCAAGAGTTATAAGCGATTTTCAAAAATTTTTATAAGGGAAATGGCGGCTGACGAGGCCCACGGGTGGATGGAGATGGATGGCGTCAGCTGCCGATAGTAACTTCTAACTATTAAATAATATAACCGTTAGTTCTGAAACCTTGGCATCCGGTTCTCACCACTAGCGCTAACTTTTGGGCGGAGACTGAGCGTTTTATCAACGCGTAGTTTATTTTTGCAGTGAAAAGAATGCGATGTGGTTAATTCTTATAGCTGTTGTGAATGCCACTGACGACCGCCACCTGTGCTCGGTGATCTGTGAAGTGGGTAAGCGCGGTGGAAGTTTCTAAAACCATCCAACATTGCGCATAGCAACTGGATGTCGCCAAAGTGGGATTTCGCATAATGCAAGGAATGTTTGGAAACAACTGTTTCAAGCACACGACAGGCACGTTCTCCCCTTGTCGCGCCATTCTTGGCGGGACGCCAAGGCTGCCCTCTTCGCTCTTTTCGCGCGGTAGGGCCGACGGGAAGTCCCGACTTCCCTTTCCTCGCACTAAAAGGGGAGAGAAGGGTTTTTCATAGCGTCGACGACAGCCCACGAGCTCTAAGTATCAGCAAAGTGTCGCCCGTAAAGCTATCGCCTTAAAACGCAATAATATTCTTGTCGGATAGGGGCAGCCTTTAGTTGTGGTAAGAGGACAGCGCGTGGCTCTCGGAAGGGCCGTGCGCGAGTGCGCGTTTTGAACCTCTCGCACCTCCGCAGCTGCGGTAGGCTTTGCCGCAGTATTCCTGAATGAGGCCACAACGTGCTTCACAGACAACCTGTCTCGGCCGCCAATGCCACGACACTGTAATGCTTTTTTTTCCGCCAAAGATCGGAGTCTTTGACGTAGACCGGCGAACTCAGAAGCAGCGCGGTAGGCCTAGCCGCGGCGACGTCGCCAAGCGGGTGCGGACATCGGCACTCACTGGGAATCGGCGCACAGCCAGTCGCCCTCGTTCATCCGGAACTTTTTGGAGTGGCTGGACGAGCGCGATCGGTCAGATCTGTCTGAGCCCGAGTGAAACTTGTCGTCTTCGTTCTTCATCTTGGCCAACCCCACTGCGAGCACTGCTTGCGCCGTCGGCTAGTCCGCACAGGGGAAGAACAGCTTCGGCGGGCACACCAGGGATCCAAGTTGTGTTCAGCTTCCTTCGCGGTTAACACCACGTAAAGTTTGCGAAGTGCACTCCACAAGTTCGAAATTTTCAACCTGCGTTGCGTGCGCCGGCGTGCGTCTTCAACAGTCACACACAGCACCTGCTGGCTTGCTTTGGCTCGTTTTAGGCATAACTGTGGATTTCAAACTGAATAACAATTAATAACAATATCTGTTTACAGTCAAAACATTTCCTAAAAATATATTTTTTTTTCAAAAGGCGGTAACTCGTGGTAGCAAACTGTACCGAGGGTACTAGTTAACTTCTTGAAAATATGTTCAATAATGTTTAGCTGGGAAGCAAACTTCAAATCGAAACCGAAACTAATAAATGTATACGGATGAAGATTAGTCGAACAGTTGTACTAGTTAGAAGTCTTCTTAATATCAACATAGCGCCTCTTCACAATCGCGGGTTGCGTAATGACCATACTCGGACCCGAAGCAAGGCCCACACCTCTCCGGGTACCCACATCCCGTGGAGTACACATGGGGGAAAATTCTGGCGCTCTGATTGGCCCATTTCAAGCACGTCACCACGTCACCTCCGCGCCCTTCTGCAAAGGGGCGACGGGCTTTCTTTCGTGACGTCGCAGCCTCCTCAATGCCCAGTTTAACGGGGAGAGAAGGGAGGGGACGAGGCTTAGGTTAACGCGCTTTGGTGGTTGCTATGCTTTCAAAATAGAAAACAAATTTCGTGTTTGTATTTAGACAGCCTAAGGCTAGCCTGCCTTTGAGGTTTGGCATGGCATTGGCTTACACCATAGAGCTCTAAATGAGAAATTCGCCTTTTGCCAAATATGTGCTGCCCCCTAGACACGCGACTGGGTTCGAGATCAAGTGGCTAGAAAGCAATGCACGCACAATGTCTCTCACTTGTTCCCCACCCAAAAGGCGACTCAGCGAAATCAATGCCGCATAGCGGCAACGCTAAGAAGCTCAAGAGAAGAGGTCGTTTTGACTCTGTCGTCTGCTATCGCGCCTTAGTTCTCGTAGACAGCGTAGAAACATTGTTTCCAGTAATTATTTTTACGCTTCTGCTGCATCATTCCTACGTACCAAAAAAAAACGTCAAAAAATTGCTTTGCTTTGATATGAAACACCGATTCTATGCTGCAGTTCAAGAAGTTTATGGTAATCAGCATGCTGAACGAAGAAAACGAGCTCCTTTTGTCCACCATTGTGCCTGACCAGCGCGCACCATGCATATAGTTTACTGGAGTCGCGAATTGAGTAGCTGTGACCTAGATACGGCTCCCCCAAATCCCCATCGTGGGTTATCTTCGGCCCCGAAGTTGACACAAAAAAATCATCTTCCCTCTGTTCAGCCAGAAGGGAGAGGGTATCAAATTTACTTAATCCCAAACCGATGTTTCTGCAAAAGGTCCATTTAGCAATTGTAGTAGAAATGCTAGCCTAGGGACTTGTATCATGCATAATGCAGTAGAGATACGTGACCACATGCCGATGCAGTGCTCATCCAGATCGAAACGGGCAGAGGTGGGGAGTGAACCCAGAGTCCCTGCATGGTTTCTACAATAAGCGCTTTCCCTCTAGATGCTGCAGAGCACCATCACTTGTTAAATCTTAATTAATTAGGTTCCGTGTGATGCCATTGTCATGGAACTTTCTTTAAGACATGCAGTTGTTTTTGCAATCCAATGTTGAATAGGCCTTTTCACACCTGGCGTCACTCTAGGTTAGACTACAGGGTGAAACAAGGAGACGCCAGGCTCTTTAAATTGACTGGAAAATTCGGTTTCTTCACCTATCGCACTACGACTTTGTGCAGCGTTGCCCACAGATGGTGAATTTTTTTTGTAAAATTTGCAAAGAGCGAGCTTACCTGAGGAAAAAGTAAAGAGAGAAAAAGGCTTAGCTCCTATGGAAACGCAGCGACGCCACCGGTCTGCAAACAACACGGCGCCGTTTCGCACGGGAGACAAGAGATGGCGCAAGCGGTCGCGACGCCAACTGCCACCAACGAACGAGCAGACGACGCCGAGAGCCGGCCCTTTTGCAGACAAGGAGCTGCAGTTCCTTGCTGTTACCGTGCCTGTCTTTTTTGTTTCTGCGACTGTCGCCGCCTGCGGAACACGCGCTGCTTTTGGGTCGAAAAGATTGTCTGCTAAAAAGGCCTGCTCTTGGCGCCGTATGCTCGTTCGTTAGCGGCGTTTGTTGTGCCATCTCTTGTCTCCCGTGCGAAACAGCACCGTGTTGTTCGCAGACCGGTAGTGTCGCTGCGCTTCCATAGGAGCTAAGCCTTTTTCTTTCTTTACTTCTCCTCAGGTAAGTTCGCTCTTCGCAAATTTTACAAAAAAAAATGCACCATCTGTGGGCAACGCTGCACAAAGTCGTAGCGCGATAAGTTAACAAAACCGAATTTTGCGGTCGATTTAGAGAGCCTGGCGTCTCCTTGTTTCACCCTGTAGAAATCGAAACCAACATTGTCGTACCATGTTGGAGGCATTCGTCGTCTTATTGCAGCAGCAGTAGTGCCATAGAGCCGTCTTTACGTAACCACTTTTCAGCATTAGTTCCAGCAAAAAGGTTCCTCACCCGACACAAAGCACAATCCACAAACCTTTCTGTCAAGATCATAGAGTTAATATAATAATCTAGAGAGAAAGGTCCCATGCATTTGGCCGCTTCCGAATGGCGTGGCATAGAAGCGGACATCGGCGGTCCCAGCTGGTAGTCCCGATGAGCCCATATTGCTGACGACGCCTTTATATGCACAAAGAAGCAGCAAAACATAACCTGCAAGGTTCGTAGCTTGTTATTTTCTCTTACTTCATAGAAAAACACCGGAATCGCGCATGAACAAAATTAAATAAAGTTGACAAGCGCTCGAGCAACTTCAACTTGTCGCAGCGAAACATAGCCTTCGTCTACTTTCTTTCTCAGTTTTTTTGTCGCTTTCTTTCTCGTTCCTTGCCCAGGATTTACCGCATTCTGCTGTCTACTACGCCGGCGAACAGATTGTTCGAGCATCGCCTCATCCAGGTTCCCGATTGCCAGAATTCTAGAAAAACCAATACTGGTCGCCTAAGTTCCGAAGTCGGCAACTTTTACAACTGGAACAATCAATTATGGCACAACTCACCAGGCACGTAGCCAGGATTTTGTTTTAGGGGCGGCCCGCCCATGACAAAATGTTGTATGGGGGGGGAGGGGGGAGAAGAGGTCCCAGCAAAATGGAAGATTTTGGGGGGGGGGGGGGGGGGGGGGGGGGGGGCCCGGGCCCCATGGCCCTCCCCCCTGGCTACGTGCCTGCAACTCACCATTTCAAACCTCAAGTGAGCAGACAAACTACTGTGCGAAGAGGGCCTTAAAGCATAGAAAACATAAGATAACAGCGACGAATGCCTCCAACATGAATTCCAGCGGGTTCCAGCGAGATTTAGAAACCGGTAGTAGAGTTGCATCATGGTCTCGTGAAAGAACCCTATTATCACCAATATCGCCAGTCACCATGCATTCATGCGACGCGCACGCATTACTCCTCGTGGTATATTTACTTAGCCATGTGCAATCCCTCGTTTTTAAGACCAACATGGCAACTTTCATCCTGCAATGGGTCGCCTTTTCTTTTTTTTTAATTTACCTCGGTCATCCGCACCGGTGCGCACAAACGCAAAATGTACGGTGTACTCTACTGTTAAATATAACGTGGGGGCGGTGGCCGGAGAGAGTGCATGCATCATCTACCGGCTCACTCTGGCAGCTTATGCCGCTGTTATTTTCTGGAGCTACACTCCCAGCTCCGAAACAATCACCAATGCGTGACTCGACCTAAAAGAAAAAAAAAAAGAAAAATTCACTCTTTGTTTTTGTTGCTTAAAGAAGTTGGCCTTTATAAGAGAAACTGCAAGATCACCGAGATATGGTAGCCTCGCATAATAAATCTGTAGGTGTCAAAAACAACAAAACAAACAAGTAAAAATTCAAAGCCTGGGTGATAAAGAAAGTAACGAGGAGGTCATGCGATAGCTGTATCGGGACGACGGAGGGAACGCACAAAAAGACGAAACAGAGCATGCCTCCTCCATGTTACCGGTGTGATCAGTTTGCACAGAGAGGAGGTGGTGTGCTAATAGCGGTAAAAAAAATGCATTTCTTTCTTTCATATTACTACCAGCTTCAATAACGAGGCTACTTTTGTTTGTGTTACATCGTACTGCACAGAAACTATTATTGGTGTCTGCTACCAACCTCCGAATTATAGCGGCATGTTTTGCTGCGAGCTTCATTCTCTGCTGCTTGAAATCAATGAGCGGTACCCAAGATCAAATGTCTTAGTCTTTGGCGACTTTAACTTCCCTAACATAGATTGGCTTAGTCTAACAACTAGTGGGTCCAGTGAAGCCGGGGATTTTCTCGATCTACGCTTAAACCATATTCTCACGCAAGTCGTCAACAAACCTACACGTGAAGACAACATCCTTGATCTTGTTCCAACGACGGCCCCAGACCTGGTGACATCCATTAACCAAACGAAAGGTTTTAGCGACCGCAATTTGCTGACCGTGGAGTTATCCTTACCCATCCATTATAGAAACCCATCCTCAAAAATGATCAAGGACTACTCCAAAGCCAATTTCGACGCAATGAACAGCAATCTTTCTGCATATCGACCGTTGTATACCGCCAGTTTTTACTCTAGGACCGTGGAACAGAACTGGTTATTTTTTAAAAACAGGTTAAATAATCTCGTTGACCTGTTTGTACCCTCTGTCCACATACAAAATGATGATTGCAACCCATGGTATAACAAAGCATTAAGGTCCCTCAATAAAAAAAAAAATTGTTTAGAAGAGCAAGGCGTCTAGACTGCGATGCTGCCTGGGATGACTACTTTTTGTGTCGTAAGACCTACACTCAGAACCTTCATCTGGCTAAACATAAGTTCTTTTTTGAGGACCTTTTTAGTATCCTGAGTAACAACCTTAAGAAATTCAGGAAGGTAATATCTCAGTACCTCCTAACTATCGCTCCTCCTCTGGGTCCCCAATATCTGAAATGGACTGTGCCACAGTATTAAACGACTATTTTTCATCTGTGTTCACATTAGAAGACGCCGACATCCCTATATTACCAGCACTACCATACAAGCCTATGGAACCTATTGACATCTCATCTGCTGGAATAGTGAAACTCCTTGAAAACTTGAAATCGACATCCTCTGGAGGACCCGACGACATCACCCCCGAAATTCTTCACTACACCAAAGCAATATCTAGCGAATTTTTCTACTTAACATTTTCACAGTCCTTATTGCAGGGATACCTCCCATCCGACTGGAAACTGGATAAGGTTGTTTCGGTCTTTAAAAATGGGAATCGTTCTTCGGCTTCGAATTACCACCTATATCTCTAACCTGCGTAGCTTCAAAACTTCTAGAGGATATTACGTACTCGAACGTATCTCATCTTGAGAGAATTAACTTCTTTTACAACAAGCAACACAAGTTATACACCAATTTTGAATCCAACCACCGAACTGATGCCCTATTTTTGGACTTTTCAAAGGCTTTCGACCGTGTTGCCCATTGTCACCTGCTTGCCAAACTTTCACGACATGGAATTGACCCTCTCATTCTCTCCTAGATCCGGGATTTCCTCTCTTCTCGCACTCAATTCACCACAATTAATAGTTCCCCATCCAGTCACGCTGAGGTTACCTCAGGAGTTCCCCAGGGGTCGGCTCTTGGTCCCCTACTTTTTCTGATCTTTATTAACGACATTCCAGGCAAAATTTCCTCTAACACCCGCCTCTTTGCTGACGACTGAGTTCTATATCGAAGGATAGTTCCCTTTGAAGACCATCTTCTGCTTCAAAGTGACCTGGACGAAATCCAGGCGTGGTGCACCAGATGGTTAATGACACTGAATGAATCAAGATGCAAGTTAGTCCAGTTTTTACGAAAACGACAAGGATCTCAGTTCTCGTACAAATTAGAAAAATACTTAGTCGAAGACGTCCTGTCCTATTAATACCTCGGTGCGACTCTAACTACAACGATCTCACCTGGAACGCTCACATCGAGCTTATATGCACCGAGGCGTCTCGCTGCCTCGGTTAGATAAGACGAAGCCTAAAATCGGCTCCCCCATTCATGCAAAAATTGGCTTATGAGACATACATTGGACCCAAACTGGAATATGCTGCGGCCATTTGAAGCCCTCACCAAAAACACTTATTAAATCATCTCGAGGCAGTCCAGAACCGCGCTGCCAGGTTTATTTTGAAGAAATACGATTGGTCAGTTAGTGTATCCACCCTAAAGAGCGAACTGAACCTTCCTTTACTAAACATCCGCCATAAGATAGCGCAACTCTGTCTCTTTCACAAAATTTAATACTACCTCCCTGCTCTCCGAGCCCCTCTCCTCCTAACCCCCAGGCGATCTTCATCGCAGCTAAATCACCCATGTCACGTTTCCCGCATCTCAGGCAACACAACCTATTTTAACTCCTCCTACTTCCCCGATACTATTGTAGGCTGGAACGACCTCCCCTCACTTACTGTAACTCCCGACGGATCCCACCGTATTTCGCAACACTCTTTGTTCTCATTTCTGTTAATCCCCATGACGGTGTATTTGTTTTTTCTTGTGCTTACTGGTTGCCATGTATCAATGTTTTCATCCCCTTATGCTCCCCATGTACTACCATGATTAATTTGTGTACTGCCGTTGCTCATGGCGATGCCACATTGTTTTGCAGCACCATGTATTCGCATATGTCGTTACTGTTTTATGCTCTCGTGTTATGTACCTCCCCCTTATGTAATGCCTTCAACGAGGGCCTTAAGGGAACTTGAATAAATGTTGCTGCCTATACGTGGCTTGCACCAATATCGTATCAGAGGCCGTTGTGATGGCATGCTGCTGCTGAATGCATACGTTCTGAAGTAATACCCATTTTGCACTACCTAATTTGTTCCCCTCGGCAAGAAGCAGTGGGAATGACCACCAGCAGGGGCGGTGACATCACGTGCGAGCCATCTACACCCAGTTTCACCTTACGTCCGGCCGCAGCGGATGTTATGAGCCATTCGAGCAAGAGCGAGGCCCTGTGAGTGTCCCGTGATATGGGATAAGGGGCAGAGCGATGCACAGAGAGCGTATCACGTGCTACGTTGATGAACATGGACTGATTGAGATGGCTCGTAACGTCTGCCGCAATCAGACGTAAGGTGAAATGGCGAACATAACGAAGGAGGTAGACACCTTGGGGGAGGTACAAACATAAAAAGCGCAAAGTCACAAAGGGCGACCCGGCAAGATGCTTTCTTTGCTTCACGTCGTCAACACACCCCACACAAAACCAGTTCGCAACCTGAGACACACGAGCAAAGCGGGGAGTCGCCACCTTTAGACGAATGCTTCCAAGGGTGCAGCGTTTCAGTCACACGCATGGCAATGGTCGAATGATGGGCCGACGCAGATAGTACGAAAGAACACTTCATTTCACAAAGGCCGACGGACGTTGAGTAAAAAGTACACGAGCACGCGGATCGGAAGAGGACCCGCGAGAAAGTCCTGGGGCGCACTCCCCCCCCGGTAACTCAGGCCACCTCCATGCTGTGGCTGCCCCCCGGTGAATCAGGCCACCTCCATGCTGTGGCTGCTGTCGTTGAGCAGTAACGGGGCCCTCAGCAGGGGACCGATGCTGTTGTCTTCGGCCACGGCGGCGGAGGAGGACGCGTCTGTGGCCACGCTGTCCACGCCGGGGTTGTCGTCCCAGTCGATCTTGAAGCGGGTCACCCGGGGGTTCGTGGCCAGGATGTTGCGCTGCAACTGCACGGCCAACCCCCCCCCCCCCCCGGGGACATTGACGGGGTACACGCAACTGGAACGCTTAAAGGGACCTCAACCGCAGAAACAATTCTGTCTGGATAGGACACATACAGGATGTATTTTTTCAAGTTTAAGAAATGCATTTAAAAAGAGCCATGAAAGCTACACTTACGGGGTTCGTGCAGGTGAGTTATACGGCCAGGTGGACTTACAATCAGTCGGCCAATTTAGTATCATGTTAATTAACTCTTTAATTAACGAAAATAGACATATGGCTCCAATTAGAACCTTGCTAAACATCATTGAAAACCACTAAATCAACTCTTTTTTGAAAGATAGAGGGCAGTGCAGCATCTTACGGCGTTCTAAAAAACCACACAGTTTGGATCAGTTTCGGTTTCTTATCACAGCGCATCTTTGTGCCCGCAGTCCTGCTCCATGGTGGTCGCAGCGTGAAGCCACTGCTTCGCCCCCCTCGAAGGATGGAGGAAAGTTTGGCACATGTGTGTCACGCGTCTCGGCCGCTGGAGTCAGGACAGCAGGCGCAGAAATGCACTCTGATAAGAAACCCAAACCAAGAAACGCATCCAAATTGAGAGTTTTTATGGAATGCCGTGAAGGGGTTTGTCGAAATTGACAAGTTTTAGACCATCTGCGACAAGGGCAGCTTTTGTTGTGGCTCTCGAGGCACACGTCGCCGCCCAAGGGGCACTCAGAACATCGGGGGAACAGGGAGGTGCCACATACCCGGTCAAAATGCGGGGAGGAGGGCGGGTTCTCCTTCAGGTCGGGGTCGGCGTACTCGTTGTTCACGTAGTACCCCACCCGGATGAACTCTCGGCCCCGGTAGGAGCAGGTGAGCAGCACCACCGTCACCCCCACCGCGTCCTGCACGGGGATCTTGCTCGGGTCCGGCGGGTCCGCCTGCATTGCCCCCCAACAGCCCTCTTCAGGAAAACGGGCTCTCCACTCTCACGGTGCCCGGAATGCGTCTACGAGCATGTGTCTACCACCCCCTATCCCAAACCAAATTTGGGGTGCTTGTATCCGAGCTAGTTGGCGATTCATGTATATGAAAGATCCCAACTGTTTGTAGGAAGATGGATAAAGAGAGAGAGAGAGAACAAGGACAAAATACCACTAGTTGCTAGTCCAACGGTTGCTTGTTCCTAGTCTAGTCCTAGCTTACTCCTTGCTAATCCAGCAGTGTTTGTCCTTTCTCTCTCTTCATCTATCTTACTACATTCAGCTGGCACCTTCCAGAAGCAAAGTTGGGGGTTTCACCTGCCACACCGACGATGGACATCTGCCGTGCCACCGAAATCTCGATTACGTGCCTTCGCCATGATGAGCCTACGTCGGATTGCGGGCACCTCGGCCGGGATTCAAACCCGCCGCATATGGATCCGTGGGGCGGCGCTTTGCCTAGGAGCCGCCAGCGCATCCAAATTGGCACACAAGTGCACAGGGGCAAGGGTGATGGCGATACGCATGATACAGGACACAAAGTACAATATACAAGAGAACGCAAATAATGTCTCCGTAACGCAGTTACGGAGACATTAAACAGGGAACTAAGAATGGCGATACAGGTGCTGACAATGTGCAATAAATATGGCGCATAATTGCCGGATAAGAGTCAGCACGGATACTCAGTGTTGGGCAAGCGTCGTGAAGCTGTTACCTTACACGCGCCTGTTTTTGCTCTAATAGGAGTGGCCACCTGCTGGAAACAGGTCGCGGGCCACTGCAAGGACTGCAGCCAGTTGCAGGCCGGATGTGGCACGCAGGCCGTTGTTTGGGAACCCCTGTTTTAGGACTGCGATGCAAAAGACAATGCGGAGCAGACGACGTGTGCCCACTGTAGTGTCGCCACGCGTCACCACGCCGTTGCATCTCTTGCAAGACCAACAGGCACTTAAACAATACTTGGAGGACGAAATCGGAGACCATTGCAATACTCTGCTTCACAAAAGGAACATATACAGTTACCCTAACTCCAACGAAGACGGTCGGCGAAGCTGTCGAACCGAAAATAAACCGAGAAGATATCAGAGCCGCTGTGCGTGCGGTTGAAGAAAGCGGAAATGCGTACATCGCATCTCCTATAGTTACACGTAACGAGTTCGATTGAAACTTAATTTCACTTCGGTTCCCGTCAAAAGTTAGGTTTTCGACTGCTGTCACTACCTCTCGGAAAAAGGGAAAAAGTGAAAAGGAAAGTGTGCTTCTAGAAGGTCCTTCAAATATCCTACATCAGCCAAGTGAGTGAGCTGCAGCAAGCAACTCAGACAACGAATGCAGATTGTCAAGGTCATACAAAATAAAAGACGAGACTCAAGTAAGTTTTCCGAACTTCGAAACCAAACTACGCAAGAATAGCAGTCATGGGCAGTCGCCCTCGATTGCTAGGTAAATTAATCGGCAAAGTATTGCTGAAAAAACTGTGAGTGCGCAGGCGAGCTGGTGGATGTTGATCATAATGTAGAAAACCCGAGACTGTGGTAAAAGCAGGGAAACGGTTCCCTGCTTTTACCACAGTCTCGGGTTTTCTACATTATGAAAGTATTGCTATTGGAGTGAATTTAGAGAGGAAAACGAAGAGGTGTATGAAATGGGCACATGAAAGAAAAAGAAGTGCCTTGAACGCTCTATGCGTGAGCAGAGACTCAAACCTAACAATATTATGATCCACTCTTCCCCCAAGTTCGAACCAGACAAAGAACTGGAGCTCATGTGAGCTAAAGGGCGAAGTATAAACCACCAGGAAACCAAAGATGGGCAAAATGAAAGGGACACCAAATCAAGGCAGTTCAGTGAAGCCTTAAAATTCCGAGCAAGCGCTCACTAAAAATTTGGAGATAATCATGTAAAACTGAGGAATGGGCACTCCCTAGGTCAACAATACGCAAAGATACATCCTTTGTACATTTTTCAAATGCTACGAGATTGAGGGGTAGGTACTTATTGTGGAATGGGCGGACGCTTGGTATTTCACGATATAGTCAGCGACAGGTTAAGGGATACACATGGGTCTGGCGCCAAAAAAATCCCTAAAATAACATTCCTTTGGACATGGCGATTGTGAAATCTAAAGCTACTGCTCTTCTGAATTCAAGAAGTTTCTAATTCTGTGGCTGAAGATTTGAGCTATATGTGGCTTGCACAGGACGTCATTTCCGTTGCCCTCTAGAGAAGAGGGGAAGAAAGAGCTCCCCTCTTATCAGGATCCTCCTTTGTGCCACCCGGATTTGCACAGGCGTCGCCATTCTCCTCCCAGAAGATTATAGAAGATTAACCTGTCACTCAAAATTCTTACAAAAGCAGCTTCTCTCTCCTCCTTTTACTTGGTGTTCAAATGTGTGCGATGTGACGTCAGTGCAAGGAGCCTATACAGTATCTACTCATTACAAGAGACCTTGATAGTGGTGAAGATTTTAATCTGTTGTAAAAGGAGTAGTTCGCAGAACGCCACTCTTACTACTGACTTGGATGTGGATTAGACTGGAGTGTGTTGAAGCTTCTGAGCTCTGAAAGGTAGTGCTTTCGGTCATACGAGGGATGAAAGGCGTCGAGCACATTGACAGGAGTTTGCAGTAATGGATGACATCGCTATCAAACCGAAGTTGTCTAATGTCTGAAATAATGACTGCTGTCGGGGAGTCTGCTATATTGAAATGGTAAAGTACTTAGAGACTCCCTAATATAGACCATTATATCCAAATGTATGTTATAAAGGAATCTGTAATAGGCAATGTTGGCTCAATGGCAAAGATAGCAAGACCAACCAAACTTTACAATAGACCCTTTCCGGAATTCAGTCTGGCCACTTTGATCACTATCATCATCTTCTGAAAACGGCATATGTGCTATACTAATGGCGGCCTTCTGCTTACTGATGAAGGAAGAAGTTGAAGATGCTCCTAAGCAGATGATTCGAGGCCTATATATTCTAGATGTTAGCGCGGCGTGAAGCAGGAATTGGACGCAAGAGCTGCATAAGCGTTCATTTCTAACTCAGTCCCAGTCAATCTGTTAGTAGCACTCACTCGGCTTCAAAGACCCTTGATGTATAGAAGTCTATCAAGGCGTCTATGTGGGTTGGCGCTTCATTCCGACTGGCTGCATTTGTTTTGCCATCGACACTAAAAGAGATTGAAAAATAATTGTAGTGAAGTGCACATTCTCGTTTACCGTTGACCTTTAAAAGTGACGGTGCCCCATAAAATACTGCAGACCACAAGTTCATTGCCACCATTAGTATAGTAAAAGATTTGAGTCACCAGTAGCAGGTTATCTTTTACCGAATATCTGCTGTAACCAGATTCGTTGTTAGACTGTATATAAACTTATAATATCTATGTCGGCGGAATTTGCGATGAAGTTGACTCTAAAATATTGGTTTCCCAAAGGCACAAGATTTAAACTCGTTGCCAAATTTCAAGAGATATCTCAGCACCCAAGGCACACAGAAATATAACTTTCTTTGCAACATGTAGCTTAATGAGAAAAGCACAAAATCTGCAGAGCAGACTTTTTAACATACAGGGTGATTCAAGGAGAGGCCAGGCTCTTTAAATCGACCACAAAATTCGGTTTCTCAACCTATCGCGCTACAACTTTGTGCAGCGTTGCCCACATATGGTGCATTTTTTTTTTGTAAAATTTGCAAAGAGCGAATTTACCCGAGGAAAAGTAAAGAAAGAAAAAGGCTTAGCTCCTATGGAAACGCAGCGACGCTACCGGTCTGCAAACAACACGGCGCCGTTTCGCACGGGAGACAAGAGATGGCGCAACGAACGAGCCTACGGCGCCGAGAGCAGACGTCTTTAAGCAGACAATCTTTTCGACTCAAAAGCGGCGCGCGTTCCACAGGCGGCAACAGTCGCAGGAACAAAAACAGGCGCGGTAACAACAAAGAACTGCAGTTTCTCGTCTGCTAAAGACGCCGGCTCTCGGCGTTGTATGGTCGTTCATTGGCGGCAATTGGCGTCGCGACCGCTTGCGCCATCTCGTCTCCCGTGCGAAACGGCGCCGTGTTGTTTGCAGACCGGTGGCTTCGCTGCGTTTCCATAGGAGCTAAGCCTTTTTCTTTCTTTACTTTTTCCTCAGGTAAGTTCGCTCTTTGCAAATTTTACAAAAAAAAGAAAGCACCAACTGTGGGCAACGCTGCACAAAGTCGTAGCGTGATAGGTTAAGAAACCGAATTTCACGGTCGATTTAAAGAGCCTGGCCTCTGAAGGTCTAGGAAAAAGTTTTCAATTTACCTATTCTTTTGTTACTTGGTAGCCACACACAGAACTCTGAACTTCAATAGGTTGTAAAATTCCACTAAGAATACTTCAATCTCAAAAGTACAGGTGCAATGGAAAAAGAGTAGCACAAGTGACCGACGTATGGAGCGGCAAAATCGCGACACGCGGCGCTATTGTTCCGGAGCCCGCCGATAGCGAGAGTGCCAGTCACGTTCCATGTCTAACGCGGGGGTGGCCGGCAGAAAGCAGCCAATCCCAAAACCCGCATTTCGAAAGCTATCTTATAGACGCTTTGCAGCAGCTGTGCATGGACGCCGCCATAACTGACCTTCAGTTTTTGTTTCCTCTTATTCCGTTCGCTTCACTTCACCATTGCCACAGCAGGCCAGGTTATTGTCACTTTAAGTGCTACTGTGTCCTTCTCCCCAGCATAGGCCCTTATGGAGACTCGTCAACGCCCGATTCAGTGGCTCGGCATCTCGGTAAGACAAGAGAAGGGTGGCTATGGAGGCTCAATGTGGCGCGTGTGTAAAGCGTCTATACCACAATTTTCTGCCGGCCACCCCCGCGTTGAAACATTCAACATGACTGGCACTCTCACTATCGGCGCGCTTGGGAACAATAGCGCCGCGTGTTGCGATTTTACCGCTCCGGTCATCGGTCACTTGTGCTATACTCTTTTTCCGTTGCAGCTGTGCTTCTAACATTGTATTCTTTATACTTTGTAGTCTTTACCCATGCAAACAAATTTTCTTTGTGAGCATTTTTTTTTTTCTTATTGTTTGAAAAACGAAGACTGGCAATTTTTGAATATTTTAAGGACTAATCTACTCATGACTGACAAAATGACCAAATATTTGAAATCAGCAAAAAAAAAAAAAAAAAAACGAGAAACATGGCTTGCGTCATTTTGTTAAGTTTAATCGAAAAGTAGAGAAAAAGACTCCATCACTGGTCTTCCCCCTTAAAGGCTGGCGTACACTTCGCGCTTCCCACTTTTGCCTGCCTCTCCCTTTTCTATATCCTCTCCACCTTCTACCTTGCCCCAACTTGGCTCCCGTAGCAGCTTAGGAGAGGAGTGTACTCGGAGGATTATCTTCCCTGCAGAAAACCGAGGCTGCACGTCGGCCTTTAAGAACCTAGCTCCGGCACAAGCTTTCTGCCTTTCATAACAGTTGGTCGCAAGCACAGCCGAAATCAGTCAGCAGCAAGAGCGCCATTGGCACCGTCGTTATACAACCAAGATTTAATTAATTTTTGTTACTTCACGTTTTGCTATCATTGGCCGCATTTATTTTTAAATCATTATGTTCATTTGAACAAACCACAGTCGTCGTGAGTGGTCTCGATAGGGAGGTAGCACCATGCATCAATACATATGCCAAATGTGCCCCGCCACTGATCGTCTGCGTCAATCTTTTTGGCCCTACATTTTCTACAAAGACAGCTACGCTTCGTAATCTTACAAAACAAAATCGACCCGTGAAATACACCATTGACGAAAGGTTTATATTGCCATATGCAGGCGCCAATTTTCAAGGCCCATTTTAGATCAAGCCTGGGAATTTCAGACACCCTATACTGTCAAGACCGGTTATAGCGAAGTCAACGGGAATCGGAAATCACTTCGATATATCCGCTATTTCCTTATAACCGACTTCGAGTAACGAAGTGCAAAAGGGAATGGGAAATCGTGATCGCTTCGCTGTAGCCGCTGTTTCGTTATAATCGACTTCGTTATAACCGGTCTCGACAGTATCTTACCACCAATATACAAAAGATGGGTTTTCAATAAATGTTAATCGCGAATGTGCCTTGTTTTTGTCCCCTTTCTTAATGTCCTCGTGTAGTTTTGGCGCTTCGAACGTGATGACGAACCAACCAGCATAAATAGCCATTTTAATGAAATCGCCTCATCTTGAAGCGGGCCGAATGCTAGAAGTCGGAGACAGTCAGCGTGAGCTCATGGCCTTTTCCATATGACGTAAATCCGCCATTTTGTTGCCATGTCAACGTCGGTTACTTCCAACGCTTACTTCTGAGCATTCATAGTTGATGGCATCATGTGAAATCTTGTTAACGCTTTCGACACGCGCGAGACATGACCATAACAAAATGGTGGACAAAATTACCCGGCTAAAAACGCGGCAGCGCGCGCCCAGAGCACTACTGCGCCCGCGGGAGCCGGCAGCGGCTCTCGGCGAAAAATATTTGCTCCCGTTCGTGCGTTCTCTATCCGGAACTGCGTAAGAAGGACAGCCAGAGACGAAGCACGCCGGGAGAGCCTGTCGTTCGCCGACGCCGGGTTGTAACCGCGAGACAGCGGCGTCAGACGCGGGGAAACGCACCTGGAAGACGAACATGTGCCTGCCCTCCGGCACCGGACCCACGTACACCGTATCCAGGATCTGGTCGTAGTCCTCGCTCTCCGCGGAGCCCACGTAGATGATCTTCCACTCGAGATCTGGGCAGGAGGGGAAGATGCAGCCGCCTTCAGGGCGAGCCGCGGGGCGCCGGACGCGGCGATTACCTACCCTCCTTTAAGTCCTCGATGCACTCGAAGGTGATCTCGAACTGAAACGGGTTGAGGAACAGCGACGGGTTGTCGAGAACGACCACGTTGCACACGTGCACTTTGGCCATCCTGAGCTCAGCGAGCAGGCACTGTCAGCCGGGCGGCTGCTACCGCGGCCAGAAGCGGACTCGCTTGCCCGAGACGACGAGTCAGCGGGGCATGCCCGGCGCACGCGTAGCCGTGCACCGAACAACCGTTGAAAGCAGCTCTAGCGACGCAGCAGCAAGCTCGAGTCCGCCGACGCGCGTACCTCGTGTCCAGCGCAGTTCTTAGAACAACGCAAATCACACCGAACTCAGCCGACGCAACCACCGTACACGAACCCCACGAGCCCTCGAAAACATTTGGCGGGAAACAAAATAAGCGGATCGGAGCTGTCGGAGCATCTATACTAAATAATTGCTTGTTTTATAGCTATTGAAGCTCAAAACGCTCTTAAATAAAATTTAATTAATTTTTAATTGATTAAATGTTTTTATTAGGAGGCTTTTAATTATATATGAATGTGCGTCGTGCTGCGGGACTGCCGTGAACGGCTGACGACGGACAAGGGGGTGGGTGCGCCCGGGGTTCTTGTGATGAGTGGGCTGATTTCTTCCTCGATCGGGCTTAACTTTGGGGCGAAAGAACGCATGACGTCGCCAGCCGTGAGGGTGCACTGACTGAGGACACGCCGCGACAATCCCCGCCTACTCCAGCATGGACGCCCAAGGCTGGCAGGTGACAAAGGTCTCTCTAGCCGCGCTCGCAATTTCCGCCTCACGGGTCCACTGGCCGTCCAGCCGACGGATGTTCCCGTGACGCGACCCTTGGTCCGACACATTAGTCACCAGCTGTCGACACGAAACGCGCGGCATTTCCGCGCACACACTGCCGGTGGCCGTTGCTCGACCGCTCGGAGGCGTCGATCACACGGCCCAACGGTCTCGGGCCGGTCCCTCGGTGAGCAGCTGCATTCTTGCCGTCGCTTTTGCAGGCTCGGGCCCTGTACGACTTCGAGCCCCAGGCGGCTGGCGAGATCACTATCTGGGCTAACGAGACGGTCACGGTCATCAACAAGGTGGGTCCACCCCTCCCAGCAGCGCGGCGGCTGTCCCCCCCTGCGCGACGCAATCGACGGCCACGCTTTCTTGCTTTTTACGTTCTTCAAGCGCGCTGTCCACGCATTGTGGCGCTTAAATCGAGGGCCTCGCATTCCTCTGCTCTGGTGTCTCCGATGAAAGGCTTTCACTCTTCAAAAGAGGACTGGGAGAAACCACATCACGTGTTCATGCTTGCTCTCAGGCGCTCCTTCGCTTCCCACCCGAGCAAATGGTCTCGCATCGGTGCACTCGTGGCCCGGGTTAGGGTCGTTGGTCTGGGTTCAAAAGTCTGCCTCTTTGCTCGCGTCAGTATGCTGTGGTGTTTCTGACCCATTTGCTGCGGCATTGTGGTTTTGGTGCGGGTAAGCCTGCTTTGTTTTCTCGCGTTTTTGAACGTTGTATTTCTTGTAACACCAAATCTGTTTCGTCAGCAAAATTCTACGAGAAAACTGTCACTCAGGACAGTGACATCAGGACGTCGTGTGACACGACGTCACATAACAGCTTAACGTCAAGTGACATCATACACACACACACAGCGTGGGCACAGCTTGTTCACAACACATTTTGTGCTCTCCATTCTTTGTCAACATAATCAAACTAGTCTTATATTTTCTTTTTTTAAAGTAAATATAGCGAAACATGCTGTCTTTCCATAAACTAAGGTCTGTTTGGAGGGTTTTAATCCTGTGTAAATCGTTGGTTGTGAAAACTACAGCCCATAAACTAACTCTTTTAAACACTTTAGACTTCCCACAGAAATCGGTTTCTCAATGTATCACACTGTAATTTACTATTGAGGTGCAAGCAGGTGGTGAAAGTTGACAGTGAAAAAAATAAGGAATTGTGCATTAAAACTTGGGTTTGGGCTAGCTGATCCATTACTGAATATAAGGTTACAAAAGCGCAAACAAACGAGGACAATGAAGAAACGCAAACGACAGGACATGTGCTTCCTTTTTTTTTTTTTTTTCAATGTAACTGGTTTTTATTAACACCATTGTCACTTTTATGTATACACATTGCCCAAACCACATCGCATTTAATCGCCACAATCAGAGCCAGACTTCCAGAAACACTATCTTACTCTGAAGCAAATACACAGATGGAGCGCTGACGCAATTGTCTTTCTTTATCATTTAGAATGCGTCTATAATCGCTTTCCGTTTTTTCTTTTGCCTTTCTTAAAAACTTTGTGTCAGTCAGGTCATGTTTACACCCACATCGCCTACAGTGGTCAGCGAAATGGCCCCCCACGTTGCTGCGCACACAGATTATGTTCTCGTGCTCTATCATTGAAGCAGCACCCAGTCTGCCCAATGCAGACTCTGCCACAAGTAAACGGAATCTCGTGCACCACATTGGTGACGCGCGCAGAAGCGCCTGTCCTGTCGTCCATGTTTCTTTTTTTGTCCCCATTTGTTCACACTTTTTTAAGCTTTTATTCAACAAGGAATGGACTTACCTCGCTCAAAAGAAAAGAAACAAAAACCTGTTCTGGGCAGTGTGGGTCGTCACTTCACAAACCATGCACACATGGAGACAAGTGCTACCTACAGATGGTGTACACAACGTCGAGGGATGGCCGGACGATTCAGGTTATGATAGCAGACATTCCAGCAAAAAGTACTCAAATCGATTGGTGCTCCCTTGTAAAGCCCCTCGATGTGTTTGTGTTTCAAGTAGCGTCAAATGCTGCAGTAAACGAGGCCTGTGTCTCGAGCACCTTTTGGAAGCAAATGACAGCGCAGCACTGAAATGAGATGCCATTGGAAGTGAATGCCGGCAAAGCTCCCACTTGTGGCACGTGTCTCACGTTTCCACAACAATGGTTGAGGGTACCTGTAACCATAAATTTTGTCAAGGGACTTTACTCCCTCTACATGTCGAACGCCACCTGTCAGCACCACTTATCCCTACACTTGCGTCGTATGAGAACTGGTGCTATAGATTGTTCAGAACAGGTTTCTGTTCCTTTGTTTTAACAAGGTAAGTTTTTTTTCTTTTTAACTGTAATATGCTACTGCCTGCTTGCACCTCTAGTAAATTGCAGCACAATACGTTGAGAAACCTTTTTTTTACGGGCCGTCTAAACTGCCCTAAAAGCGTTTGTTTACATGCTGTGCTGACTCCCATGCATGACTGCTCATTGCCGCAACAGCACACATCGGCTTTGTGTAAAGTCTTACCCAAGTAGACATGAATTACTTCCACGGATCATATCATACGATAACACAGCTAAAGCGATATTGGACCCGAGTATGTTTCTGATTGCCAAGGTATGAGAATTTGCTCTGGAGTGAGAGTGCAGAAATCTTGCAACACAGCCATCTCGGGCGATACCTTGAAGGACAGTGCTTCGCACGAGAGTTTGCCCGCATGCACATACCCCTAGGGGGTGGAGGGATTGCATAAATGTTCACTTGGGGCAGTTGAAAACCTAGTGCTATCGTGGATTCTGGTCATTTGTTACGCCCTTGTCCCAGAGTGTTCTAGGATGGGAAACATTAAAAAGTGTGTGGGAGATGTACTCAGAGCTAGGGACATGGTTAGAAGGTGCAGGCGGCACCTTCTAGGGACACGGTTACAAGGTGCGGGCGGCCTGCAGGCGTTGGTAAGCGGGAAAATGGTCGGGAGGCAAAACATTGAGTCTTGGAGATCCTTGAACCACGTCTTTACTCTGTGTTGGTGGTTGCATCGGTCTGAGTACCAGTGGAAGCCCTAAACAGGAATGCTATTCTTTCTAAACTGACGGGAGGTAACAATCTACAGTGGCAAGCTATTGTTATCATTGAAGGTTTTACACCTTCTCCTACACCCCTTCCACACAGCAGCACAAAGGTACCTTTAGCTAAGGTACCTCTAGTAAAAGGAGCTGGTGATCATTACCACACGGCGCACAAAGGTACCTTTAACTAAGGGAGGGCCTTTGTTAAGGAGGAGCTGACCAACCGCCCTTTACAGGGAGGTTGGCCATGAACTCGAAATAAAACTAACAAATATATAAAGTTTACTGCTTTTAAGATACTATGTTCTAACAAATTGAACATGTGTAAGTTGCAATTATTGGATGAATTCGTAACACAAACATGATAAAATATGCTAGCGACGAACATATACTCATGCTAGGAGGTTCAGTCATCATGCGTTCTGTTTAACGAGTCCGTTTCAAAATTATGCCCACTTCAAAGACAACGCGACAGCACATGCAGAGAACACCATCGAGCTCAGAAGTCGATGTATTTTACTCACTTCCAATCATTGGCATGTGCTTCTCAAAGTGCATGTTTGGCAGCTTTGGACGTTTGTTTTCAGAGGTCTTGAAGGGATGCACTTCATCTTAGAGTTAGCCTATACAACGCCTGCCGTCAGTAGTTTTTTGTATAACAAAGCAAAACAACCAACTACAAGGGACTATGTAGGCCCAATGACCTTCAAGGCAATATTCAACCACTGCCTAGAATCTTGGTCTTGTCATGGTGGCCGCAATGCCTCGCCGGTCTAAGCAGGCCTAATGTATGGAAAGATGGCAAACCTTTTTCGGGACAGCACACCCGGATGCGTCGGCAAATTGTTCCTAGACAAACCTTTCACTTCGAAACGATACCTCAGCTTCTTCATTGAACCGCCCTGAGGTGTGCGTTGCACTGCTCGTTCAAGCTTGTCCCACTCGATCCGCCATGTAGAAGGGCTTTTCCTCCTCACTCATGCTTGTTCACGTGCCGCAAATGGTTAAGATTAGGCTGATACAAAGGGTGTAGCCTATACCACCCATCCATACATTCATCCTCCGTTTGTTCACTGTGTGATACCAATCGCCCTTTACTAAAGGCACCTTTATACTGTTGTGCGAATGGGGTATTAGTTTGGGTACTTCTCTAACATAGTGGGCGGAAGCCTGACTGAGCCCGCCATTGGTAAGGCCAGCTTTGGCAGAACTCTGGGCCCCTTCCTTACTGGCTTCCTAATCGCAGGACATAGGAGAAGGCTGGTGCGAGGGCATCAATTGCCGCGGTGAGACTGGCCTCTTCCCCGAAAACTATGTGGAGGTGAGTTACAATCTTCCTTCAACGAATCCTGTGTGTTCGTAGAACATGGATCAGCTGTGGACCTTTTTCAAGTAACGGGTGCCATCTGGGGGTTGTTGCTGAACTACCGGAAGCCTATTGTTGGGAAGGCGTCGTGCAACCGAGGTTTCGGTTGTACGCCGGAAAACATCCCCCGGGTGGTCCAAATTAATCCTCGGTCCCTCGCAGGGGCTTGCCAGATGCCTCTCGTAAGCTTAAAACCCCCAAATTTGACTTTTTAAGCAAATTACAGTAGTGTGATTAATTCTAACTCCAGGAAGCCACAAATTTTTGTTTGAATTATTAGGTTTTACTTATCGAAAACTCGTTTAACTATGGTGCAAGATAAAATTATGATTTGCCATATGAATTGCGACGCATACAAAGAATATATTTGACGATTTCCTCTACATAGGCTTACTGATCATAAGCAAGTATGCCACACGTAAAACATTTGTGAAATGTATGACATAAGTTTATTTATCCTTCAAACCTGTTAGAGAAGTATGGGCCTTCACCAACCAAGTCTTTAAGAGTTAGGAGCCCGACGTTTCCAACCTGATTCGGTTTCTTTCATCAGGGGCGACTATTTGCACTTGGAAAGCAGCAGCTTCTTTTCCACCTATGGTGGTGGTGTTTGCTTCCCTCACTTTTTCTTCAAGTGCCCTAGCCCAGTCACATACGCCGATGGTAAAGGGCCGTTTGAACTCTTTTGTATTTCCTGGCGTAGTCTGGATATGCCAGGATTCTATGAGAAGTCGTTGGCGGATGTTTGGTTTAAACGCTCATCATTCTGGTGTTGTCAAAATCAATACGTTGGTCGTAGTCGTCAGAGTGCTCTGCAACAGCACTCCGTCGGAGCAACTTGCGCAGGTGCTGGGACGTGGATCTATGCCATGCTGCTACATCACAGCGTCCGCGCAAGTTGCTATGAAAATTTTCGCATGGTGCCCGTTTTCATAGCTCACGTGTGCCCGCTCGAGCTCCGTTGAGTGTGCTTCTCACCGAGCACCGGTGCAGTGCGGAGAAGCGCTGCCCGCAGAAGCAAACTCCGCGGGTGTTGTTTCTCTGCAGTGCACTGGTGCTCGGAAAGAAGCGCATTCAACGGTGCCAGAACAACAAAAATAATGAATTACACAAAAACGCCGTTCGAATTAAGCGGCTTGCGGATACATTAAAAACATAGCGGGACAACCAACGTTTTGAAATTGGTTTGAATTAACCGGAAGTATGAAATAACTGAGTTTGAATTATCGCAAGCCTACTGTAATGAATTGCGGACGGTTGCGTGGCGCAGTTAATCCAGCCACAGCAGCCCGCGCCTGCGGCGGGGGGCCCCCCATCGGTGCCTCCTCCCCCACTGCCCCCCAAGTATGAGGCGGCAGGCTACGACAATGGGGACGACTGGGACGATGACTGGGATGACGACGACTCCAACCAAGGGGCACAGGTGGGTCGGCCAAGTTGGAGTAACCGAATAGCAGAAATTGAGTATCACCTTTCCTTTCCTATATTTTTTTTTAATTTGGCTCGCACACGGGGTTACGCACGCCAAATATGCCCAAAGCGCTTGGTGTTTGGCTTATGCCATTGACCTACGTGACCCCCTCTCCGCCAATGAGGAGTTGGCGGTAAAAGGAAAAAGGAAGGCAATATTATTTTTATGCAATTTGCACCAAGCCCTTAGCCAGTGCTATGTGCTGAAGCTGAATCACGCCGATTACATGTACTTTGCGAGACAAAAAGTATGTTCTATTTGCATAGTGTTTATAGTTCGTCTTCAATCTCCTTCCTTTGCGGGCACACTAAGCCACTGGAGGTCACAGTTTGATGGTTTTTTAAATATATCGAGCCATCCGTGTCGCATACGCCTTGACCTCTATTGAGCATACATTCGCCGACATGAAAACCCTCCAAGCTGGTTCTTCAAATGTTCTGCATTTAAAAAGTAATTGAGCGGATGTCAAACCTCAGCAGAGGAAAATGTATGTGAGGGCACTCTGGGCAGGGTGAGCAAATGTCACCCTCTTTGTGGCAGGACCAGCCCCAGCAGCTGTCTGGGCCATGCAACTATGGCCTGTTTCCTCCCAACCGGTCAGCCCAGCAAGATGCCGGAAGCAAGGGGGACGTTGCCGCCCGTGGAGGCACGGTCATGCGCTTCAACAGGTCGGGATGGGCTCCCAATGGTCTTTGCTTTGTCTGCTTGTACGGTGTGGCCTCTACAGGGAGCGAGAGCGTACGGTGGCGTCAGAATGCCAAGCTCGGATTGGAAAAATTAATGGTTAGACAAAAACCGACTACCTTTGTCTCTACACACTGCCTGCATCCAGTCTGAGTGAACAAGAGCGTCATCTGCTCCTTGTGCAGGGTCCGGCATTCGAGCTGCAGACTCCGGTGTTTGTCGTTTTTGTATTCCAGACTTTTAATGCATTAATTCTATGCAGGGATTTTTGGACCCATGCCAATTCGTTTAAAAATGCTGGATGTCGCATAATTGAGGCGTCTTCGTAATCGAAAAAGAAATGCTCGCAATATTAGCACGTCCCATACTTCGTTGAACGTGGAGGGGCAAGCGAGCAAGTGTCGACTAAACAGGATAAGCAAACTGTAAATGGCAACTAGAGGCTCGTCTCTTTCTCTTACCATCATTTCATGCGTTCCCACCACCCACAATCAGTGCGTCCCTGGCTTTTGAAAGACGACACTTAACTGAGACTCCTAGATGCACGTACGCGTTGGTGTCAGATAACTCTGGTGCGGCTTCTCTGTGGCATTGCGTGCAGGTTCTCCAACTTCGTCAAGTCGGGAGGGGAGTCGTGGCTGCTGGGACAGACCAAGGTGGCCGTGCCCGGAGAGGAGCAGGTCACCATCGTGGTCAGTCCCCATCTTTGCCCGCGTGGCTACCGAGAAGACAGAAAGTGTGGCTTGTTAACGCAAAATATGTTTTAAGGCTGGATCATGCAGCCCCGTTTTCTTATGTTGTGTTATGTTACGAAAGCTTGCATCTGGTTACGCCGCAAGTCACCAGGCCATCTGTGCTTCGTGTTAAGCATGGCTACCAGTTCAAGGAGGTAGCCTGGCACGCAACATTTGGGACACTTATGTTTCGGCGACTTATGCATAATGTAAGAAAATGCGAGAAAACAATGCTGTGGACTCGGTTTTCCAAGGATAAGGCTGCGTGACGTTGCGAAAAACTGTTGCATGCACTACGCATTTAGCGCACCAGTGTCCCGTTAAACTAGGCGGGACATAAGTTTCAAATTGGCAGCAATGTTCACGTGACCCCTTGACATTACGCGACACCGTGAAATTTTCACGTGACTGGTCATAGTGTCACTTTACATTGCTTTACGTGACACCTTGTCTACTTAATGTTAGCGTGGTACCTAAAGGGGTAACCTTTGTGTTTAGCAGGACTCTGGAGGTGTGGTGTGCTGGGCGGTGCGCATGGATCCCTACCAGTGTGAGGTCTCCTCTCCCAAAAAAGAGAGCAAGTTCAAAGGCTTCAAGAACTTCATCGCCTACCAGCTCACGCCCTCAGTGAGTGTCTTCCATCCTGCAAAAGGAGTTCGGATAGTCTTTCGTAATTTTCACTTTAATTAGGGACGACGACACAAGAAACGGCCATCTGGCGTCAGAACGGACAAGTCGGATGGCAGTTTAATTTTACGTAGCAGCTGCAGATTTAACAACCTAAAAATAATTGCCTGCATTCCTACAGGTGTTTAATGGGAGTGGCATTAGTGAACGCAACAGCCCAGAATATATATTATCCAAACGTTTATCAACAAGCTTCTTCTGTTCTTCATTTACTTTTTTTTTACTTTTTTGGTAGTTTGGGTAGGACTTTTGAAATAACCCATTCGAATGGGGCTTTGGCATTCTCGTGGGGTAATTGCCCTGTTCCTGTGAGGAATAGACATTTGACAATTGGGCAGTGTAGCATGAAGTTGGAGTGGCAAAAAAAAAAAAAAAGTACAATGTGCCGGGCCAAAAAGGGAAATGTGCCGGGCCACTCAGAAGGGAGCGTTTAGCCATAGCAACAGCTTGGAATCAACAAGGGCAGAAGGAGAGGACACATAGAACTACCAATATGAACTCTCCCCAACTCGCCCAGGCTTTCATCTTAGTGTTTAGCCAATTAGTGTGACCTGTATCAATTTTATTAAATTCCCGGGGGGACCCAGCATAGAGGGGGAATGTTGCTCTTTGAAATAATTTGAATAAATAAACTTTCCCACGAGATCTGCTTTTTTATGAGGCTCTCTTCATGAGGGCTGTGAGCAGTGCCTCAATAATCTAATACAGTGGTTCTCAAATGGGGATCCGCGAAGACATTCTAGGGGTCAGCGATAATCAATCAAGCCCGGCAAAAAAAGTTTTTTTTTCCAGGTCGAGAAGAAATGTTTCAGTTTTTGGGCGAGTTTTCTCGCGTGCATGTCAATAAGAAAGTTCTACTTTACACTAGCCCTTACTTAAATCCAGTTATTCAATTATTATTATATTTACCCTATACCTTCCCCCTCTCCTCACCCCGAACGGGGTCCTCCATCATCTCCGCTGATCCACATGGGGTCCGCGAAACATCGGTGGTTGAGAACCACTGATCTAATAGTTTGAGTGCAATTGTAGGTTTGGCAAAGCCTTATATCAGAGCCAATATCCTGCACGAAGACGGAGCGCTCTAACCACTGGGTGGTCCGCCCCCACCCCACAGCAGATCAGAGTCACCGCTGCGACAGGTTCGGCTGCTGGCTGCATTCCCGGTAGATGCTACCGAGGATGCAGTCCGAGAAGAAAAAAAAAGCAGAGTAGGAGTGGGTTTATGCGGCTCAAAAACGTCCTCGCGGTTGTGGTTACCGGGTTATATCCTCAACAAAGCCAGTTGCCGTGCTTGTGCATTCCACCAACACCAATAACTAACCGTCTGCGTGCAAACTAACGGGGAAAGATAAGGAGGCTGTTTGTCGACACGGTGGAATGCGGGTTATCCAAAGTGAAGAAAAGATTTGTGAGACAGCCTGTTAGTTGGACCCGGTACACCGGGTTTGCATGTGCGCATCTTTCGGGGGGCGGTGCTATGGCTAAAAACGTGCGTTCGATGCAAAGAGGGCGCTTCACGAGGCAGTGCCTGTCGGTCGAGTGCATGAGCGTTTTCCCCCGTCCGTGCAGTTCAACGGCATTCCCGTGAGCAGGCGCTACAAGCACTTCGACTGGCTTCACGAGCGGCTGCAGGAGAAGTTCTCGCTGATCCCAGTGCCCCCGCTGCCGGACAAGCAGATCTCCGGTGAGTGTGGAAGAACGCTCTATTCATCTCCGAGCCGACGCCAATGCGGCAGTCGTAGGCTAGCCTGCACTCCTTGCTGTAACCTTCACCGCCCTGAAAGTTTAGACAAGTAGATATCATCACAGACAGAAAGAGAATGGCAGGGCATGTCTTTCAAATGCTTGGCTTCCGGCATGTCCTTCGTGCCTACCCCCATGCATTAACTGTGCGTGTGTGCGTGCTCGAGGTACATGAGACGCCGAAGCATTGGTGAAGGTAGGAACCTGTTGTTGGAGGCAGCACCCCCCTGCCGTTCCCACCTGTCATTGACTTTGGTACTGTGCAGCATTGCCGCATATGAGTCGACCACTCCAATTCCCAATCCCCAGTAGCCAAGAGAACTAATTTGCACAAAGCAAGTCACGTTAAATCGGTGAAGTAGACCTTTATTCGCAGACGTGGGAGTTTAAAGGGCCGCTGAACTCCCAGAAAACAACTCCCAGAAAAACATTTTTGACCCTCTCATGTGCCTTGTCCACATGCGTGGACAAATGTTACTTAATTTTTTTTCATCGCAGAAAACAGTCCCGCATCGCAGTTTATGCCACGGTGTCCTCGAGCGAGGACAAACAAAGCTTTTCCGGCTGGCTGATAGATGACAGCACTTGCCAGCAGTCATCCAGATGGTATACTAGTACTTCGCCTCCACTTGTAGCATTGCCAAGCAGTAGTTCATAAAAGTAAATAATTTTTGTAGTTTGAGCTACACTGGCCGAGGTTGAGCAGTTTCGCGTGACTCCCAAAAAGCCGTGCTGTGCAAGCTCGAGGATCAGTGACGTCACACGGCGCACAGCTGGCGCGCCGGAGCTGCCACCGCCACGCGCACCCAGCCGATCTGCTTATTCCAGAGGAGTGACGTCATAGCCGCGGCAGACGCACTGGCGCCGCCGCGTGCTTAGCTGTGCGCCTCCGTCGCGCAGTAGCCGAGTATGACGCTGCACCAGAGCCGCTTGATAGCGCCTCATTTTGTTCACATAAGCTCACACTACATTTATCCCAACATAGCTGAGCTAAGCCACCGCAATTTTTTGCCGGCAATGTTTTGCACGAACATTGAAGCAAAAATAATTTTCAGATTGTTCTAGCCATGAATAAATATTAGCAAGCAAAAATCAGAAATGATTTCTCTCCATTTGTTTTGTTTACGCTCATTACATTCATACTACTCAAATGGGGACACTAAGCAGTAACACTGCCCTCATTTGGCTCGCAAGCTTTCGACTTTTGCCCGCAAAACACACTGACTCGTACGCTTGTGAGTTTTGTATCGCTCTACATTGTTACGGGAGAATGAAGAGTTCTGGACAAGTTATCCAGAGAAGAAATTGACCTAATTTTAGACATAGCTGATGAATCTGAAGACTGGTGAAGAATGGTAGGATGCACAGGATGTCGTGCGTGATGTTTGTGAGACGGGTGATGCACCTGTGGGCATTGCCATGTCCCACTTTTCCCTGAGTACTTTGAGGGGTTTCGTGCATTGCGAGACTTTCCGGTTCCTTTTCCTGTTTCGCAGGATTTCGCTTAGTAATTGTAATACAGAAATTATACAGTGCTAACATGTCTAGCCCAAATACACAACCATTTCAATAAAAAGAATTACTACGGAACACCAAATATGAGATTACTTGGCCACTGGAATACATGTTGTCCTCAACTGAGGACACGTCTATTCTGTATTTGCAAATTATATTTTTGAGTAGATTTTTTTTATTTACTTAACATATGGTGTAGAGATTAACGTCCGAACATAGTATGCTTTTTGTTTTATATGATAATTATAATTCATGCATGGGAGGGTTACCTTCCTGGATAGGATGCAAATGTTTTTAACCCTCCCCTCTTTAGTGATTAATTGGTGGCTACTTTTTTTTATCGCAAAAATAAAAATCCTTGTACATTCGACGCAAAAATTCAGTCCTTTGAAGGGTAACGAAGGAGTTCGCTGAGTGATCAAAGTGGTTGTTTTGCTCACTTGACCTTTCTCCCTCTGTAAGAAGGAAATTTTCGTTAGCTTCGTTGTAACCACTAGACCTGGAGTGCATTGATAGAAGAGACGTATGCGACAAGCAACATTACTCGATTCTGCTGGATCTTTGGCGGCAGCTGCTGCTTGCCTTTTGTTTAAGCCAAGATGAAGGTCTAATCGCTAGCACGTTGCCTCAAGCACCCTCAAATGTACCCGGCAGATAAAGTGTGTGACTCGCAACTTTGGTTTTGGTTACAAGACAGGTGAAACAAGAAGTCTGCTCACGGATGGAAAGCAACGCCATATTTACACAGAATTGCATTCTTGTCGAAGTTAACTCTGATTTAGCCTCGAAAGAAGCGAGCAAAACGTGACTGGCTGCCAAACACCCGTGCCGCGAGCTCCACCGGCCCCACAACGCAGCTGTGAAAAAAGAAAAAAAGAAGCAGAAAATAGTACTTTGAGACACTTCAAGAAGACTTTGCCAGCTGCAAAAGCTTCAAAAGCAACAGAAAAAAAAAACTTTATAAAAAACAGGACGTGCTCTGTTGACACACCGTGGTGTGCCTGGAAGGCCAAGAGTGGGGATCGGTGGCTGAGTGGACTAGCGCACACCAGCTCGGAGCACGTGGAGCGAAAGCTCGCGCTGCAGAACCCAGGTATCCTGGGTTCGAGTCCCACCCCTGGCCGTTTCGATCTGGATGATCATTGTACCGGCGTGCGGTCGTGTATCACTACTGCGTGGTGCACATTAAAGACCCCAGGCTAGCAGTCATACTGCACTGGCTAAATTACTCATCCACAACTGGGAGACAGATTGCCTATTGAGGCAGACTAAGTTCTAGGCTGTATAAACATACATACGACCAATTTTTTTTTTTTTTTTTTTAAAGTTGAGACTGGAGTTAGCGACTGCTGCGTTCCTGATAAAACACAATTCTCCGTTTGACATTTCAATTAAAATAAAACTGCATTTTTTTATTTTATTTTTTACTTAGAATTGATTGCGTGGGGGTGAGGCATTTCGTTTCGTTATGTGTGTTGTGCCACACTCGGGACTTGGAGGGCATTGCTCCCGGCGGCTGAGGGCCCTGTGTGGGGACGTGATCGTTCCAGGTCGCTACCAGGACAACTTCATTGAGCACCGGATGGCCAAGCTGCAGCTGTGGGTCAATAGGATCTGCCAGCACCCCGTGATGTCGCAGAGCTCCGTCTGGATGCACTTCCTCACCTGCACGGACGAGAAGGTACTCCCCGCCGATTCGTCGCCGATTCATCATTCCAGCTCCGTCGGTCCGGGCGTCGCTTCCTCTCGTGTATCTAATTAACGGTAAATGAGGTAACGTTCCAGGTGTAGGTTTTTTAATGCGTGGCATTTATGGGGCTAGCTCTCTGCACCAACATGACGCTGCGTGCGAGACGTTGTGGTTTCGCACGATACTGGGAAGTCGCATGATGGTGCGATGTCGTGGTGACGTGCGACATGATGCTACTTAACACCGTGATGACACGGAGGACCCATGAGTGCCATTCATTTGGAGCACCTTTGGTATATACCGATAGACGGGCAGTTTTCTTCTTCTTTTGTCACCTGACTGGCTGGATCTGGGGGGGGCGAGACTGTGGAACATATTTGGTCTGCTGCTCATTAAGTTATGCTTGGTTCGTTCCAGAAGAAAGAAACCTCTGTGGCACTATTGAAACTAACTGAAACGTCTCGTCTATCATTCTTGTCGACACCTCACTCTTACGATGGCAGACAAATAGTCGCTCTTTCGTTTGATGTCGGTACCAAAATGTTTGTTTCAAGGTAGTACGAAAGCTCTTTATGCACGGGAAATTCTTGTCTATGCGTGCTTGGCGAGATTTTTGACGGGTTCTGAGTATACCTAGTACCAATAACCTAAGGATATGTTTCCAAACATTGCCATTGCACGGTGAGAGGAGCAGAAAAGTTGTCGAGGCGAAAGACGGTGGCACCCTCATTGCCCTCCCTGTCAGGCGTTTGAGAGCAAAAGCATTGCATGTGTAACATTTTTAATGAAAGCTTCCTCATTCCTTTTAGTTTATCAAGATGGAAAGCTAGACTTTTTGGTTTGTGGCACTTGACACTGTGCAACTCGAGGTTCGGGAATTTGTCTCTATAGTCAGTTGCAACTCAAGAAGGTAGGGCGAGGGTAAGACGGGCCGGGTGGGAGGAAGCAGGCGGAACGCTGGATAAGAGAGAGGGAAACCTTCTCTCTTTAGCGTTTTGTTTGCTTCCTCCTTCCCGGCCTGTCTTGCCCTTGCCCTACCTTCTTGAGTAGAGTGGAAAGTTGGGCTAGTTGATAGTTATTCCTCTTGGTTTTAAAAGCGCACAAAAGACGAGGACAGAGTAAGAAACACAAACGCTCGTCCGTCGTTTGTGTTTCTTACTCTGTCCTCGTCTTTTGTGCGCTTTTAAAACCAAGATGAATAACTACCTTCTTGAGTTGCAATGGACTATAGTGCACTTCACTAACTGAAATTCGAAAGAATTTCAGAATCTCATATCGTAGGTAGTTAAACATGTTTGAACTTCTAGCTTGAAAGACCTTTGAAATGTGCTTATTCAACTTGAGGGAGGCTAGGAAGCTTGGAAACATTTCGTGATAGAATCTTGGTTTGTCTGTGTTGGGTTATGTTTGCATTAAATTAGATTAGTGTTAGGTTTGGTTTGTGTTAGGTTAGTGTTAAGTGTGGTTTGTCTTAGATTAGGTTAGGTCTGGATAGGTTTAGTTAGGTTTGGCTTTGTTAGGCTAGGTTAGTGATGGGTTTGGTTTATGTTTGTTTCTGCTAGGTTTGGTATAGTAGTAAGGTTAGTGTTGGGGTTGGCTTGTGTTAGCTGGAGTCAGGGCTGGGTTTGGTTTGTGATGGGCTAGGTTAGTGTTAGGTTAGGTTAGTGGCAGGTCTGGTCTGTGTTAGGTTAGAAGAGTTTAGGTGTTTGCTGACCCGTCTTCCCTGGCAGAGGTGGAAGATGGGCAAGCGGAAGGCAGAGAAGGATGAACTGATGGGCACCAGCCTCCTGGCAGCACTGCAAGTGCCCCCTGGGAACCTGGATCCCATCATTGTGTGAGTGCCCCTTCCACCATAGCTCGTGAAATTGATCTTCGCACAACCGGCGTCAAGAGTCGTGCTCACCGGTTGTCCCGAGAAATGGGAATAAATCTGGTTTTGTTCTATGGCATAGGCCAGGGGTGGCCAGGCTGACCCGGCCTATGAGCCGCAACCAAAACCAAGAAACTTGCAAGAGCCGCGGGGGGGGGGGGGAAGGGGGGGGGCTATGAATGACGTCAACTTGGGCTTCCGCGAACTTCAACAAGAAACGATAGGGAACATTTGTTATCTAAAGGGGACAAGTATCACCGGCGAGTGACAAAGGCCGCGAGACTGAACATTTCCTCGGCCCCAAGCCAAGGTGCGTGCATGGTTTGACACTCCCGTCCTTGATGCCTTTCCCCCTAGGGGGGTCTGGCAAACTCCCTCAAGCAATGAAAGAAACAGGATCTCTGGAAACATACGAGTAAAAAGCGGTTTGATTGTATGTGTGGGGGCACAATACAGCTGCCAAACCGCAAGCTGCTCTTTATTCTGAAATCCTTGGGAAACGCGGAAAGGGCGGAAAGGGGGGGCGGGGGGTCTCCTCACGAGGGACCTGCGAGCCGCACTTGGACCAGTGAAGAGCCGCGGTTTGGCCACCCTGGCATAGGTGCTCAAACTGGGTTCCTAGGAACACAGGGTTTTCTTGAGTACCCCACGCCATGGGTTCCACCGAAATTTTCTCAACTGTACTTGCTCTATAACTGAAATGCTTTCCCCATTTAAGCACTATCTTGACAGATCTAAGCCACACTTTGATGCATGTAAATAAGCCATACATTCCTTAATGCAGTAACAGCTCGTTATAACACACCTTGATAGTGATGAAGATTTTGGTCTTTTATAAAAAGAGTACCTTAAAATCCCGAGCGATACGCCATCCCCGAAAGATAGCTCAACCCTATTTTTGGCTTGATTTGCTATATTTTTTAAACACCAAAATATTGCCCATTTCTAGTATTAGTAGTGTTGGGATCAATGATGGCTTCGGCATAAATGCGACTAGTTGGCTTTGGTGGGATATAAGCGAACATTGCTGGCTGAGAAGTACAGTCATTTTTGCTTCGTTGCCCCTCGCCACAATTAGAAGCTTGGAACAATTTTTTTTTAACTTTTCTTGATTGTACGCCGAAAGTTAGCCCACTCCATATTTTTACCCAATTTGCTCTTGATGTTTGGTGGGCTATCTCTCGGGATTTTACGGTATGCAGAACAGAGATGCTCTTACTACAGACTTTACGCTGGATTATGACCGGAGTCTGTTCTAACCAGTGAGACTGACAAAATTGTGAGTGGATGTTATAAAAAAACTGGTTTATTGAAACTTCTGAACCTAGTGAATTTTTATTGAGCTGTTCGGACGATCATCATCATTGCACACTTCGGATCATACAAGGCTCGCAATGCTCCGAGTGCTATGACAGCAGTTCACAAAAGGAATGCCACTGCTATGGAACCAGAGCCGCATAAAGCCCGAAATAATGACGGCCGTTGAAGAGTCCGCTGTTACTCAATAATGAATTACTCACAAACTCCCTAATACCATAGTAGTCCATTATATTTGAATACTGTAAACAACTTATTTTTCGTGGGCTCAATATTTCGTGATATAGGTGAAAACTGAAATTTGGGAAGAGTTTCCGGGTTCTAATTTTCACGACGTGGTGGGATCTCAATGTAGATTCCAATGTGTTTACATTTTACCGGAATTGTTCGTGGGACCTATTTTTCGCGAATTGTGGGAGATTCACAAAATTCACAAAAATTAGGTCCTCGCGAAAAATTAAGTCGTTACACTATATGTTGTAACAGGATTTGTAGTAAGCGAAGTTGGCTCAGTGGCATAGATAGGAGGAGGAAGCAAACTTCGCAAATCGGTATGTTATAGCTGTTGTATCCGGAGTTTTGTAACAATGTCCCATTGTGTGGGAATTACTGTTTACAAGGTCTGTAGGCACCCAACCTGCTTTATGTTGTTGATGGCCAAACGATGGGCTTCTTGGGCCATCATTCTTGGTGAATAGAGGATCCTCGAGACTGAGAAGCTTGAAAAACCCCGTTCTATGGCATGGACCCGACGGCTCGTTGGCCTTTTAGAGGGAATACGCAAATCGGCATCTCAACTTATTGCGCTACGATTCAGTACCGAGCTGCCAGTTAGTGGTGCATTTATGATTTGCAAGCACGAAAATATGAGCTCACCCGAGTTGCCTGAAAGAAGACATTTTTTTTAAATGTCCAGCTAAGCTTGTTTTTATGAAAACATCACATGGCATTGTGGACCACTGCATTTTTTTTTTCTTTTTTTTTTTATGACAGAAATACAGTTTGAAGGAAAAGGATATAAATTTGGCTTACATTTCGTTCCCTTTATTAAACCCCATGGTAGCTCACAGTGTCATTTCATGGTCTTGTGCAGGCTGCTGGGCATATTCCATAAAAACAATATGCTTTCTATTATGTTTTTTTCCTCTTTTGAATTCATCCTTTCATACTTTTATTAAAAATAGTATCATCTAATTACACCACCGACAGCTGTAAACGTAACGGCCAGTGAACGATATTCACTGGGGACATATTGCTGAGGTTCTCTTCTACCTTCCAGTGTTCCTCTCCGTCTGTTTCGCTGGTGTTTCGTTTGCACGTGTCACTTGACCAATGGCCCTGAACTGCCACTTCTCCGGTGTGCAGGGAGGGCAAGGTCGACTCATTTGGCAAGTTCACTCAGAAGATGGACGAGGGGGTCAACCACCTCTACAAGACCACCCAGGGACAGATCAAGAAGTGCTCCAAGCGTGAGAGATGAACTATTCGGGCACCCTGCCCTCTCCCCCTCCACCCACCTTTTATTTTTTGTTGAACTTGAGTGTAATCGCCTTGGCTGGGCACGTTTCTGACGCGCTTCATCGGCGCTTGCGTCTTTCCGCTTCGGCACGTGCCTAACGAGAGAAGGGGCGACCAACCCCATGGGGACGCGTACTAACCCGCGATGGTCTGGCATGCGCATCGTCTCCAGATCGACTAAGCCTAAAACATCGCACAACCACGTGGTTACAGCGTATTCGTACTGCACACAAAAACTTATTTAGAGCTTAAAAACCTTTTGTTCCAGTTCTATGTTAAAGATGGGTAATCATCAATCCCGAACCGGCCGTATCCCTTCCTTCATCTTCTGCACCGAGACCACGGTGTAAGATATACTTAGGCGAGGACGCTGCGACATGATCGACCAGATAAAGGCGTATTGGCGCGTGCTTAAGTAGCCTCTGCCGACTGTGTCTCCGCCGTCTAAACAACGCAGCTGAGGAACAAACAAAAAAAAAAGAACCTTAAAGGGACAATGAAGGCAATTTTGAATATCTTTTTGCCAATTGAACTGGGTTCCAGGCACGTCCCAGGCAACTTTGCCCGAATTTCAGTCGAAACTGGCACTTGTGTGCTGCGCAAATCAATTGAACAGTCGCGGTAATAATCGTACCTGGATCGATTGCGGCAACGCCCGGAGAGTTGCAGGAGAAGCGGAGGTTGCGCGGCGTTGCGGTTCCTAGAGGCGCGACATCACAAGAGACACATCAGCGATTGGTAGAAACGAGAGACTGTGCCCTCAATCACGTTTTGGTTCTCGATTTTTTTGAATACCGTACCAATTTCCACTTGAATAACCGTGAAAAGTATAAATCTGACCGGAAATTATCACTAAGCCATAAATACAACAGCATAATTATTTTTCTCTCTGCTACACTGGGTGCAAAACAAGCAACGAGCAACCATGGGCAAACAAAATAAATAAAAAAAACACAGTCCGGGAGACATTTGGTTTTGGTTTCAGATGTCGGTGTCGTGTTCACTTTGGAAACACGGTACTCGAAGGATTCTGCAAAGTGGTAGTCATGCCAAATTTGTGCGCTGTAGATGGCTGTTCAAACGGTCGACTGAAGACCCGTAATCGTTCGGGTGACGCTAGTTTTCACGTGTGGGTTGCTGTTCATGTTCTTTGACGACGAAAAGCAAGGACGTCCGGCTTTGGTGAAAAGCGAAAATGGGGCTGTTTATTTTCTCCTTGGGGCAGGCACGTAGCCAGGGGGGGGGCCCATGGGGCCCGGGCCCCCCCCCCCCCCTCCCCCCGAAATCTTCCATTTTGCTGGGACCTCCTCTCCCCCCTCTCCCTCATACAGCATTTTGTCATAAGCAGCCCGCCCCCCCACCCCCGAAACCAAATCCTGGCTACGTGCCTGCCTTGGGGAGCGTCCTCCGTGGAGGAACCAGTTCTGGAATGGGTCGCTGCCGCTTTTCTCTCGGCATCTCCCCCGTGTCCCTGTCCTTCGGCAACGTGCCGCTCTCATCTCGATCGCGCGATGCCTGCTGGGCAGTCACTGTCGAGTGATGGCAGAGGCTGCCGCACACATACTCCTGTCGTTGGTGTTAGGTCACTGAAGGGAAGCCCGAACTCGCTCGCGACAGCAGCATTGTCGTCCAAAAAAACTTAAAGGAAAAAGAAAAAAAACCTACAAGAAAGGTATGAAAAAAAAAAGCTGAAGGGCGAAAGACAATTTTGAGTGCGAGGGAGAGAAACAGCGTCACCAAATTATCCAGGAGAAAAAAAAAAAAAAAATAAGACAGCAAACGTCCTTGAAATGCACGGCTGCCCTCACGACACTGGATTTTTATTTTTTTATTTTGCGCGTTGGTAGCACGCAATGATGCACAATTTTTTTTGTGTGTTTGTTTTTAGATTGTTGTCTCTTTGTCAAACAATGTTTAGGGCACCAGTTCATTGTTTTCTGTGCTGTCTGTTCTTTTTTTTTTTTTTTTAATATTTGTTGTCAAGATTTTGAGATATTCGAGGTCACTCCTGAAAAGTTTTTGAGATAAGGGATGAGTAAATGAATTGTGCCCATGGGAATTCATTTCATGACAAGGAAATCTTTCGCGATAGCTGAGTTCGAGTAATTGAGGGATTACTGTATGCACTTCCTATCGCATTTTTTGGGGAGGAGGCATTCAGAACCCGGTTTTTGCTGAAACATTGTGATTTACTGTTCAGACCGGTTCTAATGAAGTACATGGGAATCTGAAATCCCTTTGCTATATCCGCTTCTTCGTTATATCGGGACTCCATAAAGGTAACATGTAAAGGAAGGATAACATGGGCCGTAATGGGCACGTTTTTTGCGCCTGCAGAAAGCGGTGGAGGCTTCCCTGCACGCACTTTCTGCTAGATCGGAGCTGCTTTTTGCCGACTGCGAGAAGCTCTGATCAGGGGGAGAATCTGCCAGTTACGTACAGACTGTGTAAATAACTTCAATGGCCACCGCACAGAAGGCCGGCGGTGGAGTGGCGTTCTTTACGTTTATGCGCACTTCATCAATGGCGCCACGCTTTAGTTTAAAGGAGATTTCCTTCCTCTTTGTCAAGGTTCCGGCAGTGCCAGGGCGGTACTTGAGTGAAATTACTATCGGAGAGAGAGCGACCAAGCCGACCAGCGACGCTGACACGAAGCAAGCAAAAAAACGCGCATGCATGATGTTCGCACTTAAGTTTGTGTTTTGTCGATATAAAGAGCCTAGGTTTAAGAGAGGGGGAAACTGCTCGATTGGGATTGCGTGATTTATGGGCCACATTCACAGAAGGAGCTGTACTTTGGAAGTAGGGTAGTCAAAAGTAGCTTCGTTCGATTGACCTGCACCTCCTGCACTGGTGCAGCAAAGTGCAGGGCTGTGCACTTCCGGTCGTATCTCAGTACACATACTGGAAGTACACCGCCCTACACTTTTCTGCATCAGTGCGAGAGGTGCAGGTCGATCAAACAAAGATAATGTTTACCGTTCTGCAAATGTCTCTCCACACAACAACCAACCAAACGCAGGTGCACTCGCGCCAATCTGCCTAGAAGGTGTCCGCCCTTAAATTGCAAATGCTCTCCGTGGTTGGAGTTTCTCCCTCTCTTAAATCTAGGCTCTCTCCATCAATACGTCGTCGCTAGCGCACCGAAGAAGCCGTCGTGGCGTGCGCTCGGCACACCACAACGGCTTCTCCACATGCGATGTGGAAAAGCCGCTTCCCAGGTAGGGAGCAGACGACGACGCAGAGGCCGCCTCCGGCCTTTGCGGTGTCGCCCGCTGCTCGTTCCGGCTGGCTGCTAGGCTGTGGCAGCAACATACGGCGGTAAACTTAGCAAGCTTTCTTAATTTAAATGTCTTTGGGATTTTTTTAATTTTCTGAATTCTGAAATTATTGCAATATTTTTTGTTTTATTCATGGGAGCTGCTCAATTTCCTTTGCTAAGAATGGACAAAACTACATTGAAAAAGTACAAGCTGGAGTGGAAAATCGTGATTGCTTCGCTATAGTTGCTATTTCCTTACAACCGACTTCGTTATAATTGGGCGCGGCAGTAAACATGGGCGTTTGCCGCACTGCTGTGCCGACAGTCTCGTAGAAAGGTTTTTGAGAACGCGTGAACTAATGACGCATCTTAATGCAAAAGCATTAACTGTGCCAGGAAGTGGAACTGGCGGCGTCTGTAACCGCAAAAAACGGCACCTAAATTGGTTGCAACGCGTAAAATTGGATGCTTTGTCGCAGAAGCCGGCGCGGCCACTCAATGTCAAAGCAGACGTACCTCGAAAATAAAAAAACCCACAGAAAGCACAACAATGCAGATGCCTCTTCACTGAAGCCGGCGGGTGCGCTCAAAGTCAAAGCGGATGCACTTCAGAAATAAAATGCAAAAAAAAAGCACAGCAACGCAATACTTCGTCACGGAAGCCGTCGTGAAGCCGGCAAGGTTCGCCGCGCTTGCGCAGTGGAGGAGCATGATGTCACCGCCGCAGCGCCGTGTGCGATAGGAAGACGTGGCACGCTGCTTGTAAGAATGTGCTGCGTGTAGGAATGCTTTCACATTCCTACACGTAAGCAGTTTTAAGTGTCTGCCGAATTTTTTTTTAGCACTCGCTTTGAGTAGTTTGATAACACGAATTATGATTGATTGGGCACCCAGTCTAAAGCTTCCATACCCAAACAAAAGGAGTCGATTGACTGTTGCGTCGCACCTCTCGACTCTGAAGGATATCATGTGTGATGTTCGTGCAAAATGAGTCTTCGGTCGACATGGCTGCACCGACGTGATGCACTTAGCAGTCCCCACTGTTGGAAAGCTTGAGCTCTTTCTCCCATCCGGTTCTTGTAAAACATCCTAGCTCGTCAAAATAACCACTACAAAATGGCAGTTCCATAGTTCGATTTAGAAGATTTCTCTAGAAGCTATATGAGCTACATTATGTGAAGAAAGTTTAATAGCAAAATAAGACTTCCGGCGATCAAACTGGAGGAATGGGACAGCCGAACGGAACTGGCCATGGAGGAAGTTTGGCAAGGCTTTCTTGTTAAGGCGATGGGAAGAAAGGGCAGAGCTTTCCAATGTGATGTGTGCAAGCTATGTATTGTCAATTTTAATTATTTTTAACGTGTCCCTGGTGCCGAAATACTCCTCCATAAACTCTGTATTGAGGACTCGAACCTGCTGTCAAATTCCCGCTGACACCATGCCGGGCATTTGAGCAGTTCTGGCACAAGGCAGAACGGCGCGAGGGTGTGGACTCCTAGCATGTCCCCCGCGTAAAACTGACCGAATGCATGTTTCCTTTCAGACTATAAAGACGAGTGCGAAAAGATTGCCGCTGCATTCAGGGAGCTTGCCAGTGCGTTTGACCTGGAAAAGTCGCTGCGTAAGTTGTCGCTCTCCATTGTGTTGCTCAAGCCCTTTTGCTGGGAAGCAGAAAATATGAGTGTTTAGTGAAACAACTTTGGGCAGGGCCGTGAATCTTTGCCTTTTCTACGCCCTTCGACTGGAACAGAAATGGCCCAATGTTACCCAACCTAACATTATCCTTGACTTATTGTTCTCCCTAACCTAACCTAACCCAACTTTAACCCTAGTGTTGAACCTAATATTAACCCTAACCTAATGTTAACTCTAAAGGCCCGTTCACACTCTTGCGACCTCTTAAACCTGGGTTTCCTTAAAACTTCTTAAACCAGAGAACACACTGAAGCCATCTATTGAAAAGCAGTGTAAACTTAGTGGTCCGGCATATTTTTTAATTTCTTGCGCATTATCCTTTCTTTCTTGTTTCGAAAAACTTTTGTCAATGTTATAAACGAGCCTTTCTATGGGTATTACGCACATTTGACCTCGGAAATCCCGCAAAACCTTCGCTCTTGTGAAATGCAGTTCCAGGGTCACCGCATAGATGGCGCCACAATGCCAGTGTGTTCCCTCATTCTAAAAACATTTAAAAAGTTTTAAGCAATCTCGTCTCTCTCAGTCGTACTCGGTCGCAAGAGTGTGAACGGGCCTTAACTGAGGGTCCCAAATCTGGGTGAAGCCTTTAAAGCGACTGCATAAGTAGCTTTGGTAACATATTGCACTATGATTTACCGCATAGGTACTTGAAGGTGGTGGAAGCATTGCATCAAAATTTAAAAGAGTTAACTTGCCCGAGTAAAAAGTAAAAAAAACAATAACTGTTTTCTTTTACCTACGGCACCTGCTTGCTGACCGCACTCCCTCTGACTAGCGCAAGAACCGACTGATGGCGGCAGCGTCTGCTGGCAGTTTGCGGGAGCTCAGCAGCTGCTTAGTCACACCTAAAAGCAGACAACCTTTCCTTATGATAAACGAGAGCGTGATTTCTTTTCTGTTCTCAATAAAACTCATAAAATGGACACAAAACCAAAAAAAACAATGGTTCGTCGAGTAATTTCAGCTATATGTCATCTTTTGGCGTGACCGGGCAGCTGCTGAGCTACCAGAAGCTGCCAGAAGATGCTCCTGCCAACTGTTAGTTGATGCGCCAGGCAGAGGGCGTGCGGTTAGCAGTTGGGCACCACAAGTAAAAAAAAACAGTTGTTTGGTTTCTTTTACTTTTACTCAAGCAAATTTGTTCCTTGAAATTTTGATGTGATGCTTCTACCACCTTCAGGTAGCTGTGTGGTAAATTGTAGTGCAATACGTTACCGAACCAATTTATGCGATCGCTTCGGAGGCTACACCCAGATTTGGGGCCTGGCGGGATAGTGTCCTGAAAGACCTTTTGGAAGGACCTCTGGGTCGGCTTACCTGTCTTCCCTTTGCAGCCTCAGCCCAGCTGACAGAGGCCATCAGGCACACGGAGGACACGTACCGTGACATCGGTGACATGTACGAGACCAAGGTAGGCATTGTTTTAAGGACCAGCATTGTACAAAACGCAGTCACTGACTCAACTTGCTAAACGCAGTCTCATAGTTGATGCACTCTCATGGCCCTTTTGCACTTGAAGCGAATCCGCAGCCGCGAAGCGGATCCTTAACCACAAAGCGGATTTGCACGGTTTCAACTGCAAAGCAGCTAGGATGGAGCGGTTGTTCCGCGTTTTTGGGAACCGTTCGGGACCGATTTTTACCAACTACTTTTGCCAGCTGTAAAGTGGCAACCAATAGCAACATGGTGCTGACAAGAAGTCAGTGACTTTTGAAGCAAGATGGCACCCGTTGCCGGTGATCCGTCCTAGGTGCTGTAGTCTGTAGTGCTAGCGTTGCAGCGAAGAAACGTCATGCTCACATCCGTCATTTTGAATCCGCCGCTTAAATGTTTGACTCGCTTATTTGAGGTGCCGAAGCCTGCCACGGGCTACCTTGTTCGTCTTTGCCCGGAGTACGTCGGAACTGGCCTCCAATTGCCCTAGTCACAAATTTTGTACCCACTTCGGCAGTCGTGTAAATTGCCAGAAGCTATCGACACTGTGCACGACCAGCACGAAGGCCGATTTAGACATTGTGAGTATGATTGTGTAGCCAACACACTACAACAGATCTGGCATGGCACCCGGAATTGCTGCGCTAGCTCAACCCGTGATGTTTCTACCACTAAAAAGAACAAATATCACCTACTCAAGATATGAAGTGGACCTACCATATGATGCACCGGTAATCCACACGGTGTTTGTTTGAGCTTAAAGGGGCTCTGCAATCATATTTAAGCTTCTACCTTTGGAGTCTGTAGTCCACCGTTGACCCGCTTGATTTTTATATTTATTCTCTTTTCTATTCCGGGGCTTGGGGGGGAGGGGGGGGGGGGTGGGATAGACCCTTTCTGAAATTCAGTGTCATCTGATGGCTGAAATGGTGGTTTAATTTTTGCCGTACTTAAAGGGGCCCTGCAATCAGCACCTTTTTTACGTTAGGCGTTTTCAAACGTGGGTAAGTAAAACACGCGCTTCAGTTCTTGGGTTTGCATTTCGTCATAGTCCGAGGTTTCTTCAAACAGGCGCAACTCTTGGGGCTCAGGCAAGCCAGCGGGCACAGAGAGAGTAATTAAATATCAGTGCGTCATATTTTAACCAAACGGCGCGGAAACCTTCACCTACGGGAGCGACCCGTGGTGCCGAAAGCGCACGAAATGTGAAGTCTTTGATCTTGGGCTTACTACTGGTCAGAGCTGCTAAAAGCTTCTTTTTAGTCGAAATACAAAACTTAAGTGGTACAAACCATCTCAATTATTTATAAAAGTCGTTTTTGTTCAGTATTTTAGATTGGAAAAGAAACGGATGCAGTTTATAAAGTATGGAAACAAGAAATGACCCGTCGACATACCCGCCACCAAGCGGTAGAAAAGGCGGCACATACTAGAAAGGTGTAGTGGGATCAGGCACCGGCGAGCGTTGAAAGGTCTGGATGTAGGTATCCGACTGCGCTGCTGTCGTATTCAGGCTCAAGGATCCGACCGGTTCTGAGAGTTCCAAAAGCCTTCGGCGAGAATGTTTGGCTTGCGGTTTGGGCGTTTGGCGGTATCGCAGCACAAAGTGGCTCCCATTTTGAACTGATCTTTACCCCATGTTTGCTGTCGTTCGTGGCCAATGAAGTGTCATGCCAAATTAGTGTTTAATCACGCAGCAAATGCAATGCGAGCCGCCCTGGCTGCCTGCTTCATACAGCCTATCCAGAGCATGCTTTAGTGGCACCCTCTCGAGCCGTTGACACAGAGTGGGGCAGCCGTGAGCGCTCGCTGAGCTCACTACCCCGCTCTAGTTCATGGCCACTCAAGCGATCAAGGGTTATAAAGGAGGTTATTTTTTGCTTGGTTGTGTAATTTTAATTTGCCTATAACTTTTAAAATAAAGCGAAATTCAAGAAAAGAAAAGTTTCATTAAGTTACTTGTACATTCAGTGCGTTCAGGTTCAGTGCAAATTAAAAACCAGTAAAAAAGTCCTTGCAGGGCCCCTTTAAGGTCAAACAAACAGCAGATCCAATCAATGTGTGACAAAACGTGAGTCTGCCGCCAACCAAATCACGATTGGGTAGCACCAAACAACACATTCCCCTTGCCACCAATGCTGCTTGCTACTCCAAAAATGGGAAAGCAAACTGCAAAGGGAAGAACGGCCCCCATGCCGGCAACAAGGCCAGCTGTTCATACGAGAAGGGTCCACTTAGAAAAAGGGTGGGGTATATTGTCTATTCAACCAGGAGGCTTATGATTCAGCGTGGCGTGTCTAGCTGGGCTTTGCTTATGCTCGAGAGAATCGCAGGCATAGTTTCTCTGGTCCACGTCTCTTTTATTGCCTAAAAACAATGGATGCGAATAGCACGAAAAAAGCTTTTCTGTATCAAACTAGTTAAATATTGGCTTTGGATCATAGACTAAACTTGATATTGGATTGTAAAACATGGTTGCAAATGCAAGTCCCGAAAAATTCACAAGGTCTCTTCTGTTATTCCCAAGACGACTTGAAGGTGAAAGCCCAAGCGCCAATGTAAACATGATACCAAACCTCCGAAGATAGCGCGCTGTCTGACGACACACTTTTGGCGCCGTTTCATTGACTCACTTGGGTCGTGTCGTCGGCTGTGGTCCCGGTGATAGTGAACCTGCGAAGACAGCACGCTCTCTGACGACACACTTTTGGCACCATTTCATTGGCCTCTCGGATCGTGGCGTCGGCTGTGGTCCCGCTGATGGCGAACCTCCGAAGACAATACGCTCTCTGACGATGCACTTTTGGTGCCGTTTCATTGGTGCCTTTCATTTTCGCACCTTTCATGTCGCCGACGTGTTTTCATACATTTCATGTCGCCGACGTGTTTTTGCTCAAGGACTTTGAAGGTCGACTGAACGATGAGACATATATTGCTTTCACCTTAAAATCGCGTGCGGTCGCTCGAGAAACTGCCAACCGCTTCTCTGCGTGTCCGAACAGGGTAGCTCTCGAATTGCAACCGCTTTGCAAACTCAGCTCAACTGCCAACGTGAATGCGCCATTGTTCGCCCATGCTCGCCTCGGTGGGGTATTGATTCCACTTCTGCAAAACTTGGTGCAAACACAGTGGAGGAGCAGAAGGTCACGGGTGTGATCTGTAGCCCTTGACATTCCTAGAGTTTCCAAAGTTTCTGACAGCTTATGAAATGCAGGGCATGATCAGCTGAATGAGCCCATCAGGCACACATCAGTTTCATGCTTCTGACTTTGTGATATCGTAACATCATGTGACGTGACGTTGCATCACGCAACACTGCGTCTGGCGTCGCATGATGCAGTATCTGTGTCGCACTAACCCAGCACAGTTCAAATCATGCTGCACATTCCGCGCCTCCTGACTTTATTCGTAAGATTAGGATTTTTTTAATTCAAAGTCCCATAACTAATTTCGATTGCACCAAGGAACAATGCTGCCTTGTGGCTCGGAGATGGCTCTGGGGAGGGTGTTGTGAGCTGAACTGATGAAGCGCTCTTGCTTCCAGCTGTGTCACTACTGGGAGTCCATGGGGGACATGCTGTTCATGTACAAGGGGGTCCTCGCTTCCTGGCCGGACATCATCAGCTTCCACAAGGTGGGCTTCTGTTCCAAACCCAGTGTTCACTCTGGCCCCAAAGCCGCCAAAAAGCAGCGTCTTCTGTTTGTGTGGTTGTCTTGCACTCTTATTGTTATGCCACTAAAGGGCACTTTTCAAGCGCAAGTGTAGTTTTCTTTTTATAATATTTGTCGGTGGTTGCTTTTGCATTTTATAATAGTAAAGTCTCAAGTTTGATAGGTTCATAAAACTTTGGGGATGCTGTTTTGTTGATAGACGTTTTAGCAAATGTATTCGTTTTTGCGAGCAATTTACAAAAATTGTATTTACTTACTGAATAAACTGCCGGGTGTAAAAATGGGAGGAGGGAGAGGTTTTATCCCAATGGAAGTGTTGCGTTATGATTCATTTTTCATTTGCTTTTTTAGTACCCATTGTAAATGAAACCTACCCTGACCAAAGCCTCCTCTAAAAAAAAGGCTCCGTGTTTTTTTCGCACTCTTGTCCGTTCTTATTACAAAAAGTTATAAGTATTACGCTGCAGTATCAAAGAGGAACCCTCAAGAATTATCAAAGATGAACTCATTTAGCGATGCAGTAAATGTTTTTCATTTTCAAGTGATGTGATAACACATGTTGGCATCTGCTCCAAAGTGTCAGTGGTTGCTCCAAACCAATACTTTGCCTGCTACAGAACCTGCTACAGTAAACTCTCACTTGAGCTAGCTTCAAGGGACCCAAGGAAATAGATGTATTTAACTGAAAGTTCATTAAACTGAATATATTCACTAGAATATGGAACAGCATAGTGCACAGCATATATCGAGTCAAAAGTGTGAAATGCAATTTATGGAGTCATGTACATTGATATACACAAAGTGCATAACATTTATTGTTGCTGCCTTTCTCATTTTGAAAAAAAATCTAATTTTCATTTGCACCCTCACTCTTAAAGCGCTGTCTAGAGAATCTGTTTTTTTTTGCTCTTCCTCTGGCACAGCTTGTTGTTGTGATAAAGCCATGCCGCAACGGCATTTTTCACTGGCTTGAAATATCCCATGCAGAGTCGTTTCCTGTTGGGATTGAACTCAGTTTCTCCTTCAAGCTTCGACTTTTGCTTCACTATCGTCGACAATGTCAACGGTAGAATCCCGTAGTCCTTCAGAACGTTCACTTGCCTTTGACCGCTTCCGTTTTGTCGTATTCATTACGAAAGTGGGTGCACAAACTGCCGTCCTGCCGTTGTTACCCAAAACTAAGATGGCTAAACGGAACCAATGACAAAGAAAAAACAGGCACACCACGTGGTTTGTTTTCATCTACCGCACCGCCACTTTGCCTTTGCGGCGCTGTAAGCACCAGTGATGATGTCTACAGCCTTGACGTTTTAGCAGAAAATGGTTGACACGAGTATGGTTTATTCTTGGAGCGAGGAAAACTTTTCTTTCCGACGCCCTTTAACCTAGCAGTGAAGCAATGGTAGAACCGGGCGGTGTTGATTGCAGAGCTTCCTGAGCAAGCACAAGGAGTACCAGAAGATGCGGGACGAGGTGAAGCTTTCCCAGGAGGACCTGGAGGGCATTCGGCAGCGCATGGACGTGGTGTCGTATGCCACCCTGGCCGAAGTGAGCCACTTCCAGACCCAGAAGGTGGTCGACTTCAACGGCGCCATGCACCAGTTCCTCGGCGGGCAGATAGACTTCTATGAGGAGGTGCGCCCCTTAGCCGCCCTTTCGGCCCGGCTGACTAACCCCCCCTTTTGTCCGACTGTAGCCCACCCTACAATCCGACGAAACAGATCAAGCAGCGCAAAAAGCGCCTCGCCGTGGGGCTCGTTTTCTTTTGCAGGTTCTGTGTCTCTGGCTAAACGAATCGCACGCAGAAGATGTGCGGGATTAGTGCACAATTGCCGTGCGACGTCAACTTGGTCAGTGACGGCAAACGTACAGGGGCGACGAGCGAAGGGACGATACGCTTTTGGCATCGCTTGATTGGCTCTTTTGGGTCGTAGCAATGACTGCGGTTTGACTTAAAAGACAGAGTGTGGAGCCACAAAATAAGCCTGGAGTAGCAGCACTCTATTCCTCCAGTGTCTCGTGTGCACCGCCATTTTTGTCGCGGTGCAGAGTAGGTGCAGTCAGCAACCGTCGCAATAAGAAAACGCGGCTTCCCGAGCTTTTGTGTACGGCGTTGGGAAGCCAAGTTGACATCTTTTTTCTCGGCCTCGGACTGCTTTAATGTTTCTGTGGAAGGGAAAAGCGTTTTCCGCGATTTTGGGTGAGGTCTCGGATAACTGGCAACAACAGTTTACGCTAAGGACAATAGCGACTTCTGGGACTCCCAAAAGAGAGTCTCGGGGAGGGGAGTTCCTCCTTTCCCTCTTCTCTCGTGGTGGTTGGAGGCGAGAGTTATCTTCACTACCTGCCAAGGTTCCTAGACGGGCATTACGAACGAGGCGTTAGCAACAACTATCATGTGCTCTTTGCTAATCGTTTAATTTGTTTTAAAATTTATTTTTTGTGTCTTTTTCAATAAGAGATTGGTGTGTCTGATGTGATACTGCTCCCTTGAGCACAAATAGACTAAGAAATAAGCACTGAAATATTGTTGTAGTACTTCATTAAAGAAAAACCCAGATGTTGAACATTCTTTTTGTCATTTCTGATCAAATTTGTATTAAAATTTTACATTGACTATAAGTTTTTGTGCTAAACTCAAGCATAAGCTAATTATTTCCTATCTATTATAGTTATCAAGAAAACCTGAACTTTATCACAAATGTTTCTGCCCAACTTTTTTACAATCCCGATAAAAAATATGGCACAAAGTATGTTGGCATGGTCTACAAACAGTAGAGTGCAACAAAATTTTTTAGCATAATTCTAAGAAAAAATTATCACAACTTGAAATTTTTTTGATGAAACTATTAAAAAATTGTTCATTGAAGTTTTTGCCAATTATAAAATTTCGTTGCTAAAATTTTCCAGGAGTTTTTGTCTTGTTGCACTCTCTGTCATATGAATTCTTAAACCTTACAAATAAATAATCAGATCCACATTCTAAATCAAAAGGTACGGTGGGCATAACTTTGTGTTACGACGAAAAAGTTAATTCCGAGAACACAAAAAGCATCCTCCAAAACATACTTGCAAAGAGCGTGGATATGACAGTTTGAGTCGATGCAACTATGTAAATGTGCACTTCCTGAGTTTAGTACTTGCGACATATTTTGTTTGTAATCTATAAATAAATAAAAAAAAAAAAATCGTAAGTTTAGTGGGTTTTTTTTTTGTTTTTTTTTCAACTATAGTTGCAGCACAGTCAATCATAGTCAAATTCAACTCTGTGAACAAGCCTTAAAATGTAAAGCTCTGGCAAAATCTTGATTGCCACTGATATGCCTCCAACTTGGCTCAACACATTAATAAAAACACCCAAATCAAAATCTTTTTTTGCAAAGATTTTGGAAGTTTTGGCTCTACTGGCAACACTGAAAGTGTGACATCAGATGTTACATCTTGTTCCCGACGAGTTACAAGAAGTTTTCCTGTATGAAATGAAATGCTGGTAAGCTCACGCCTTCAAAATGAAAAAAAGAAAACATGGAAAGTACCGTGTTTATTAGACCTGCTCTGCTTGCAAGTTACACAACGCGCGACATCGCCGCACCGGAGTGCGCGTGGAAGTTTTAATGTTGGTTTTGGGATTGCTTTCCTATGCCGTTTTCTCCATAGCTATTCTGAATGTGTGAAGCCTGGGTATTCTGTGTTGCATGAGGGGACGCTAACGTAGAGGTCCCCTTGCCCTTGCAGATTGTGCGCAAGCTCAAGGAGGCCCAGGGCAGGTACATGACGCAATAGGGGAGCCCTGGACAGGCCTCTTTCCCGGCGGCGCCATCTAGCTGGGATGCCTTTCCTTCTTCTGAACTCCCGACAGTGCCGCGCGATTCTCCGTAACGTCTCGGACGAAGTCGGGCACACGCTTATTCCAGGGACGGTGCACAGTGTTGCTTGAAGGCATGCCAGCGTTGTAACCAGCGCCGGTTCGATCGGGGACGAGGGGGCGGCGTCAGCAGCGTTCGGCGCTGCATCGTGCAGCTGTGCCTGGTGCGACCGGACGTCGAGAGACTTTGGCGTGCCTTGCACCGACGTCGGCGCCTGCTTGCCGATCGACCGTGCGACGCAATCCGAATCGCTAAGACTGATTGATGTGACCCCGGGAGTTATTTCCCGGGGTTATCTCGGGTAAAATTAGCCTGCTCAAGAGCGTGTTGAAACAATTTTTTTTTTTTTCATACTGTACAGTTGCTTTTGAATAGTGCAAGTAAACTTGTCCTATTGTGTTACAACTGAGTGCGTGTCATGCTTTTTTCCGGCACGATACCTTTGTGGCTCCATTGCTGGAATAATTTGTTACTGTGCAAAAAGAGCTTTCAGTAGCTTGTAGTTTCTTTTCTGCTTTTGTGAATGCATTATGCATGGCTGAATTGACATTTCGAGTTTCAGAAATGCAACGACGTATCGACTGTGCCCCAAGTTTTGGGAAGGAATTGTTGACTAGACAGAGCTGGCAGGGGATTCTGTACAACCAAAAAAACTTCATATTGGTTACGTGGTTAAGAGATGGAGCCATAAGTTCTATTGAATAGGTTGCTTTCGTTGTGCATTCACACTTTGAGGTACTGCATGCAAACGCAGCTCTTTTCGTTAGTGGTGTAGAAATGCCCATTCTTGGCAAATGACTGACTACTATACTGCTAACTTTGAGCGACTTGGAATAATGACACGCCGACTGAGGGCTCAATATTTTGCTACTACTGTATACTCATTAATTCAAACTCCAGGAAGCCACAAATTTTGTTTGAATTATCAGAAATTCACCTAAATATAATGCAAGATAAAATTATGATTTGCCATATTAACTACTACACATACAAAGCAGATATGTGATGATTTGCTCTACATAGGCCTACTGATCATATGCAGGTATGCCACACATGAAACATTTATGAAATGTATGACAAGTTTCGTTATCTCTCAAACATGTTGTTTATCGTGGATTGTTTAGACAGCTGGATTGTTTAGACAGACATTAGATAGCGCCTGTGCTGTCCACTTCTTTGTCTGTCCTCGTCCTAGCGCTATTTGTAATTTAGTATGTTTAGACAGCACATGGCAACTTGAAAGGAAATTTTGTTTGTTCATCAGGCCAAGAAGTATGCATGAGCTATGAAAAGGGGCCCCACGCAGCAGTTTTCATAGCAACTTGCGCGGACGCTGTGACAGGGACATGTGCCATGCCGCCACGTCACGGCAAGTGTGCAAGTTGCTATGGAAATTTCCGCGTGGTGCCCGTTTTCATAGCTCACGAATGCCCTGCTTGAGCCCCTTCAAGTGCGCTTCTCACCTAGCACCTGTGCACTGTGGAAAAGCAACACTTGCAAAGCTTGCTTCTGCGGGTATTGCTTCTCTGCAGTGCACTGGTGCTCAGAAAGAAGTGCACTCAACGGGGCTGCGATAACAAAAAGTATGAATTGCACGAAAACGCCGCTTATGAACACATTAAAAACACAGCAGGACAATCAATTTTGAAATTTGTTTGAATAAACCAGAAGTATGAAATATCCATTTGAATTATCGTGAGCCTACTGTAGTATTACGAAGGTGAGAATACTGCATAATGCTAAAAATGCCATGAATCGGATCAAATACTAAACGTTTGATCTAAGTATTGGCATGCCTGTGGTTCCAGGTCTGTCCAAATGAGCTTTTAATATCCAGCTTATAATGCACATTCAAAACATGACGTGCTGTGTCCGGCTCCTTGCAGAATGTTACCAATTTCTCCCTTTACCTGTTGACATAAGACGTGTCTCGTAAAATACCGAGCATCTGCCCATAGCACAATAAGTGCACACCCCTCAATTTCGTAACATTCAGGAAATACACAAAGGACATATCTTTACATATTGTTGACCTAAGGGCATCCATTCCCCTGTTTTACATGATCAAAATTTAGAAAGTGCTTGCCCAGGATTTTATGCTAGGTGCATCTTGTATTACATTTATCATTTATTTTTATCAAGACATGCACATTTCGAATGCTAAAAGCATTGTTTTTTCCTTCGACAAACAAAATCCTGTAAGAACTACTTCGCACAACGTATAATGTGCAAAACTTCCTTTTTTTCTTGGTGTGATGAGCATAAATTGATGTAGTCGTTTTGGGACACTTTTAAGCTGAACTGCCATTATTGAATTTTGGAGCCCTTATGGCCTCATGATTACCCTAGGTTCTTAAATATCTGGATATCAAAAATTAGTAAATGTCAATTATAACTAATATAGTCATATGTACTACTAGTGATCTTTTACAGATTCAGCTAAAATATTGTCAGATTGATTAAACCATTTTGCTTACTTGGCGATTTCTGTGCACCACAACTGTGTGCATAGCGACAAGCTTTCATTCTAAACGTGGCACAGTTCACATAAAAGTACTTTGTAATATCCCGAGTCATTGCCCAACCCCTTGCCACCTGAAATTCATAAAAAAAGAGGAGGTGGGCCATGTCTTGGTGGGTAAGCACAAAAAGTTCAGAAAAAGCAAAATAAACGCCCATTTTTTTTATATGTATCTAGCGCGGCAGCAGAAGGGATACGTTAAACTCAAATTAGTTTCATTGTTTTATGCAAAAAATACTCGTGAAAGAATGTTTTACTATTGCAAAGTTCATTGCTTGCATACGTCAACGTTTGTTCTGTGAAAGCATGTTTCCAACACTGCTACGTTCTCGTTAGTGAAAAGAAAAGAACAAGAAAATTTAAAAACAAACCAGGTGCAATGAGCGAGTGCGCAACCGGACGAAAGAATTGTAATATCCCGAGTCATTGCCCAACCCCTTGCCACCTGAAATTCATAAAAAAAAGAGGAGGTGGGCCATGTCTTGGTGGGTAAGCACAAAAAGTTCAGAAAAAGCAAAATAAACGCCCATTTTTTTTATATGTATCTAGCGCGGCAGCAGAAGGGATACGTTAAACTCAAATTAGTTTCATTGTTTTATGCAAAAAATACTCGTGAAAGAATGTTTTACTATTGCAAAGTCCATTGCTTGCATACGTCAACGTTTGTTCTGTGAAAGCATGTTTCCAACACTGCTACGTTCTCGTTAGTGAAAAGAAAAGAACAAGAAAATTTAAAAACAAACCAGGTGCAATGAGCGAGTGCGCAACCGGACAAAAGAAACGACCAAAAGGGATAATGGTGAAGCGGGGAAACCGGCGATCACGTTGGCAAATACTTTTGCGTCTGGCCAAGTCGGGCGCCTTGTCAATTGCAGTGAGGATTCTATTGCTCAACTTTCTTGTTTGGTGAATACGTGCTGCATTGCTGCGTGGCGTGGACAGCACCACGAACACGGAACTCGGAATGAGACGTTCTACAAATGTCTGTGTGCGGCACTGCAGCAAACCTTTCTTCACCCAATGTATTTGTCCGAAGGCCCGTTCACACGCTTGCAACAGAGTAGGACCGGCTGAGACAAGACCAGTTTTTAAGCCTCTTGCAGCAGCTTGGGCCCAGCTCTGCAGCAGTGCATCCGGTCCTAAGCCATTGCGAGAGGCTTGAAAACCGGTTTTGTCTCAGTCTGTTCTACTCGGTTGCAAGTGTACGAACGGGCCTTTAAACATTGCACCACCTTACCATCCATGGTCACGACGTTCCGGGAGAAGGAGCAGGTTCGTGGTGACCACTTTAATGGAGACTGACTTTGACTTCACACTCCGCGGTTACATTCCAGGATACGGGGCGTTTGCTGACCTTTCGATCCCTGAATGGTTTATGTACTGCGTGTGCTATCTTTCAGACTTTTTTTTTTTTTTTTCTTCAAACAATCTTTTATGTAAGCAAAACGAAGTGTCATTTTGTATCTCCATCATTTTTCTTTTGCACGCATGTACCTACTCCGACTTTGGGTTGCGGAAATCGTGGAGGAATTGCATATTCAAAGAAAAGTGTCTTTCCCTTCTTGGTTTTACTTTGTCATGGACGTTGTCCAACTGCGAAGTTCACGGTCGCGTCATTCGGGTAGAATGAATGTTTGCGGGTCGCAGAGTACGTATTGGTGTGGGCAGTTGCTCGGTGTTTTTTAATGCGAAAGCATTAACTGGGGTCTCATGGAGCGAGCTGACGTCATCATTCTGCAGCACGATAACGGAAGATAGTTTCCTTCAGTTCCGTTGGCTGGCGCATGTCGACGCGGCTCCCATTGGCCGCTGCGCTTGTCAGTTTCCAGGACCGTTCACCCATGGCGCTGCGTGTCCATCAGCGCGGAGCGTCCAAGGTCACCAGGGGAGCACACGTGCCAACCGGCAACGAAAAAGGGAGCGGACGAGCGGCTTGCATGCTTTCGCGTTCACAACTCATAAAGAATGCTTAGGTGTACCTCGAGCTTTTTTTTGAAGATCGATATTCGCCTACAAAGTGGGGTGGGCGATGACTCGAGATATTACGGTTAATTAGTATAAAAAAGAATAATGGTACAGTCGAACCCGGATGTTTAGAATTCAAAGAGGATCGTAAAATGGTTTGATATATCAATAATTTGATATACAAAAATATGTTAAATTAAGCTCGAGTTGAAATTTCATGGCGTCTCTGCTAATACCGAAGGTCGCGAAAAACCGGAACTGATCAAATAGAGTATTTAAGAGTTGCTAATTACAGCAGAGTAGTTGGCGCAGACCGCAAACACCGCCGCGCTTGCATGCGCACCTGGCCAGGACCTCCACACGGCATAAGCAACAAAACAGGAAAATCAAATTAAAAAAATAAAGAAAAACGGAAAAGCGAGACGCATAAAAATAATCATAAAAAAAATTAAGCAAGCAACAGAAAACTCACTAAATGTCAGGCAGCGAAAAAAAAAAAACGGGCAAAGCAATATTGGCAAAAGAAAAAGGGAAACAAAGCAGCAAAAAGAAGGCAAAAAGAAAAGGGGGGGGGGGGGGGGGGGCAAAGCAATACCGGCAAAAGAAAAAGGTTAAGATAAGGCGTTCAAAGTGCGATTGCACAACCGTTGTTGTCAACACACTCGACATGGCGAACACTTTTTTTTTTTTGCTTATTTTATTTTGGGGTTAGGGAGTCGCGCAGCATCAGCAGTGTTCGGGAAGAGGGCACAGGCTACCGTCCCGACAGCGGGCACTCCCTTCTCTCCTAACACGAGTGCGCGTATTGCGTGTCTTCTAATGCGTAAGCTGGCTTGGCGGTCTGCCAGCCGCGCAAGGCAAGCGACGAGCTCACTACCGGCGCAATCAGATTGCGAGAAAAGCAACGGGCAACCGGGTTTCGTTCACTATTCGAGTGTCCCCGCCATGAGAGTTTGATACAAAAAGAGAACGCTCCTGTACTATTACATGTGATTTTCAAGGGGATATGTTTGGACTGTTTGATATAAACAATAATTCGAAATACCCGAGTGCGATATAACCAGGCCCGGCCGTAGTTTTGTTCAAATGCCACTGCTTTCCTGCAACAATAACACATTCAACTGTAGAGTAATTGCAGGGTATTCTACAATCTTCTGAAAAAATGAGCCATGTATGCAAATTTGTTTTGTGTGTGGGTGGAAATATATTGCATTCAATCATCTTTAGGAAGAGAAATGATTTCCAATTCCCATTAAACCGTCGCACTAGCAGAAAGGCATGCACAATTCTTGTATATGGTGTCATGCTCTGCTTTCTTCACTGTAAATAATATGGCATTGCAAACCAGGAGGGTGGCATGTCATGCAGCCTGTCTCCGCAATGCAACCTTTTTCAGAGCTCCCAGTTCTGGCTCCCGTGGCTACCTGCGAGTCTAACCGATACCATCTAGAAAACTAAGGCCCGTCCCTTTCACCCCAAACGTCGTCACTACTGGATCCCCGCAGTGCCACCTAACTCGCGTCGGCGTTGCCGCCACCGCAACTTGTAGCGTCTCGCAACAAGCATGATGCTAGCTCGCGGTTTTGCGGCGACTAGCGTCGAGCATCGGCGAGTTTGCCGCTTGGAGACCCACTAATGACGACGTCGTGCCTCGTCTTCCAGGTAAAATTGGTGTATCCGCGACTCCAGCAAACTATAGGGGGCGCGCCGGTCAGGCCAAAAGGCGGACAAAAGGAGGTTGTTTTGGTTGTTCAGCACGCGGACCACCATAAATTTCTTTCACTACAGCATAAAATCGGTGTTACATACGAAAGCAAAGTGATTTTTTGACGACAGAAACCTTCTATACTTTGTTTCAGCTTAGGTCTGAGCACGGCCGATGTTATGAGCTGAAGGGCCAAACAAACAGCAAAAGAGGCACGTCATGGCGTGCTCTCTGCAGTTGATAGGACTAACCGGTATTCGCCGTCTCTCTCTGCGTGCTCCTCCGCTGGCTAGTCTTATCAAGCGCAGAGAGCACGCCATCATGTTGCGCTTTTTGCACTTTGATTGGCCCTTCGGCTCATAACATCGTCCGACTCGGATATAAGGTGAAAAAAGTATGGTTGGCGCGTAGGAATGACACGGCGGAAGCATAAAAATAATTACTGGAAACAATTTTGTTTCTATGCTGCCTACGGAAACCAAGCAGCGATAGCAGATGACAGAGTCAAACCGACCTCCATTCCTGAACTTCTCGGCGTTGCCACTATGCGGCGTTTGTTTCGCTGGAGTCGCCAATAGTCTTTTGCAACTCAAGAACGTAGGGCGAGGGAAAGGAAGGCCGGGGAGGAGGAAGCAGGCGTAACGCTAGAGAGAGGAGGAGGTGTCCCCCTCCATCTCCAGCATTCCATCTGCTTTCTCCTCCCTGGCTTTCCTTTCCCTTGCCCTACCTTCTTGAATTGCAATGGACTATAGCTGTCGGGGTCCTAAAATGAGCCCTCGGGAAAGAACACGGTGGAGCATCGAAGAGCCAAACTTCTGGGGCATCGCATTCTCGGTCCCTGCTTGGCCAAACGTCTCGTAGGGCCGCCCCGCTCAGACAACCGTGCGGTTCGGACATGTCCCAGGTGAAATTCGGGCCACCTGCAGCTGAATTATGGAGCTGGTCCCAGCTGGATCCAGCTAAGATTAATTCCATAGTCCAGCTGCAAATTGGCTCCCTTTTGGTACGCTGCTGTAGCATTATGTCGGGAGGCTGGCTTAGGCAAGCTGTTTAGGACTAAATGAAGAAGAGATCTGCATCACACGTTAGCCGGTGGTCAGTCCCAAAGACCCACGCGTGCTCTGGCAATGCCGACACCCTCGCCAGACGTCTCGTAGAATATCCTAACGTCGTAGCATTGTAACAGTTTTTAGCTGGGGCGGCTAGGCCCTTGCGGAATCTCTTTACGGTCAATGTTCAGGTGAAACCAGGGATACGACCCTCCCACGAGATGTGCCTCTAAGAATCTTGTAATGTTGGGTTGAGATACCTGCACCATGTTCTGGCTCTCAACTCTGGAGACTTGGGAGGGGGGGGGGGGGGTGTCAGCCACAGCTGGCATTAGAGACGCTATAAGTAAGCTACACTTCAGCCACCTCAGCACATATAACCATCGTTGCGAGTCACCTAAAGCTTCATCCAAAGTCGCCAGAAACACTTTTTCATCCTCTAGAATAAAACAGCGCGACGGAGCAAAACAATGTTGCCCGAGCTTCCCAAAACCGCGCATAAAGCTCGAGAAGTCGCATTTGCGAATTGCTACGATCGCCGATTTCACCCGCTCTGCACCAAGCACTGAAATGGTGGCACCCACGATAATCGAGGAATAGAATAGTAGGCTGCGTCGTTCATGGATGATCTTTCTAATAAGAATGCATGCTTGTACCTACCCGACATAAAGAGATAACGGAAAGCTCTCAAAACGCTCACATTTAACAAAATTAAGTTACTCTTGCATCGCAAACCCGACCTTGCACTGCAGTTTTGTGTCAACCATGCAGACAGCAGCCAGCGCACACCGTAAAACCGCAGTCCCACTGCTTGCGCCATATACAAAGAACATCGTGCTCGCTGCAGATGTGATGAAAGAATAACCTGCGGACCGGTGGCAATCAGTCTGTCGAGCGATGTTTCATCAACAGATTGTTTCATCGACACCTTAGTTTAGTTTTCTTCTGTAATAAGCTGCATGAGAGTGCTGCCACGAAGCGGCGTGTGCGGGTTGGTTGGGTGGGTCAACATTTTTGTAATGAGCCGCCGCAGACTGTTGCCGCGAATCGGCGTGAAAGCAGGAGGGGGTGGGTTCACGGCAGTATGATCGCGGCTTCAAGGTCGGGGAAGTTGCAATTCCCGACAGGTGGAGCCGCTGCCCTTTCCCCACACCTGCGAAAGGAAGGTTTCGAGGGTGCCGGGCAATCCTCGCCATGCTCCGTGGCTACTCCATCGAGGCGCGTCCGGAGCTTCTGGCCACGAGCGCCGCAACGTAATGTGTAACATCCTTTATTGTGGACCAAACTACTCAACAACATTCCCTATACAGTGCTTTCTCGAGCCATTAAAATCAGCCGCATGCAAACAGAGTCCCAAAAAGCGTGGGTACACGCGGAAAGGAAATAGGAAAACAACGAGCCGCGCGGTCGACCCGAGGACCGTTTCTGCCTCGCGTCAAAACAATAAATAATGCACACGGGCGCAGTGACTTAGATTATTGTGCGTGGGACGCCTCCCCGACTGGCCTGTTTGGCATCCCATACCGCCCACGCGTCGAAAGAGGTTTTGAAGTGGCAACGAACGGCGTCGCAAAACCCAGCACGTCGCGTCTGAAATCCCGGCCGTTGGACGTAGAAGTCCTGGCACAAAGTTCGAGCAAACGCGAGTGTCGCTAGTGTCACTGTCGCGGCGTCTAAACTCCCGGCTGCCCGAGGTTCCGTAAACTGTCAAGCTGCAAAGCAACCGGCAGTGGAATGGGCGTTTGCTACATCTACCGCCCCTGCTGCGACGGCGCCAGGACTGTGGCCGGCGACGATGTGACACTTCTATGATGCCATCGAGTGTAAATCGAGGGACCACTCTTTAGAATCTGGTAAGCACACCACTCTTTAGGATGTGGTAAGCATGCCACTCTTTAGAATGTGGTAAGCACACCACTCTTTAGGATGTGGTAAGCACACCAGTCAGACCTATTGCAGGCATTTTAGCACCGGGGGCGGGGTCAGACGCCGACGAAGGAGGGGGAGGACGTGAGGTCTGAGCTGTCCTGGCTGGTCAGCGCCCTCTGGTGCTTGGCGTATTCGGTGGCGTACAGGTAGACGTCCAGGGTGCGCTCTGTGCATTCTGCGATGAAGCGCACGAAGGGACGCACGTCCCCCTCGTTGCCCAGCTGGAGGTACTCGTAGTAGAGGGCCCGGTCCTGCTTGCGCACGATGACCGGCGGGTAGCCCACCCGCATGAGCAGCAGGTTCATCAGCAGCCGGGCCGTGCGGCCGTTGCCGTCCACAAATGGGTGCACAAACACCAGCTTGTAGTGGGCCAGGGCGGCGTACTTGACCGGGTGCAGCCGCAGCGCCTCTTCTGAGTTGAGCCAGTCCACCAGGTCCTCCATCAGGTCCGGCACCAGGGAGGCCGGCGGAGGTGTGTGCTCCCCGACAAATACCTGGGTGCGAACGGGGATTTCGGAAGTTGAACCAATCAATATTCTAAAGCAGTGGTTCTGAACCACCGACGTTTCGGGGACACCATCTGGATTGGCAGAAGTGATGGAGGACTCTTTCTACCAGGGAAAAGGAGAGGAGAAGGAAAGGGGGGCATTGGACGATTACAGGGACAAGGGTAAACAGAAACCTAAATGCACGTAAACAACTTTGAAGTTCTAAAACAGAGGTTAATTCACCCAACTCACTCGGCACACATGGTTTGGTCTATTTTTCTTTGTAGGACAACCAGCATCAAGAAGCAAAAAGAATAATCTAGAGGGAAAGGTTCATGCATTCGGGTTGCTTCGGAACGGCGGTGCGTAAAGGCGGACATTGGCAGTCCCAGTCGGTGGTCCCGATGGGCCGATATTGCTGGCGATGCCTTAATGTGCACAAAGAATCAGCAAAACATCGCCTGTAAGTCTGTACCTAGTTATTTTCTAGATTATGTTGCAGGAGAAAACTGGAATTGCGCACTGCATAAAGCTGAACAAAGAAGTGTTTTGAAAGAGAATATTTACATGCAGACTATATATCGGGTGTGAACTATTTAAGAAAAAACTCTCTTTTTCCATCCAAATTCGCATTTGCGGACTACTGCAAGTTACTCTTTTCGCCAGAGTAGGTTCGGGGAATATTCCGCAGGCACAAATGTTCACTCTTGCAAGTGGCATGCTTTGTATTCGTTGTCATAGAGTAATTTATTTGCACAAATTATTTCGCACAATATTTTGCAAGCTGCATAATTTGCCAAAGAATAGGATATCGCAAAAATTGAGCTGTTCACAGTATACACCAGGTGCGAACCACAGTCTGGAAAATACGGTTTCGGAGAAAAGCGTTCCGGCAAAATTTGGTCGGGATGACAAATGGGGTCGACCCGTGGGCGCACCTGGGAGCGTCTGAAGGTGCCGGCCTCGACAGGGTTGACGTGCCCCAGGATGCGCCGGTGCATGGCCAGCACGTCGGCCACGCTGAGCAGGGCCTTGTTGACCAGGCTGTTGTTGACGAAGCGCAGGGCCAGGTCCAGGCCCAGGATCTCGTTGTGCTCCAGAATGCTCTTTCCGGGCACGGCCGTGCGGGTCTCGACGACCGTGCGCGTCTCGGCGAGGCTCATGGTGTTGCCCTCGATGGCCACGGTGTGGTGGATGTGCTGGAAGTAGGCCTCCTTCTTCATGCGCTTCAGCGAGGGGTCCCCCTCGGGGATCTGCACCAGGAACAGCCGCTTCTTGTCGATGCGCGTCAGCTGTTTCTCGTCCAGCTTCTCCACCACGGGCAGGGTGCGCTGACGGTTCACCAAGGCCTGCACGGTGGCACATTAGCAAAAGTTGTTGCATGACGGTAAAAAAATAAATTACTGACGAATACACTTCTCTAATGTGAAATCGGGGCACAGCTCTTGAGGTATTTTGATTTTCTGATATATTGTGGCAAAGAAAGTGTAGGCAAGAGAGGAGGAGGAAAGTACGGGGGGCGGTGGGATGCCCTGTTTGGGAGTGGTGGTTACGCCGAGGGGGTAGGCAAGAGAGGAGGAGAGTACAGTGGGGGCCCTATATGGGGGCAGCGAGAGGCTTGCCCCACATTTTCCCGCTAAATTTAGCGAGGAAACTGAATTTGCGTATGGGTCTAGTAACATCATGTAACATGACGTCAATTTTTCTGTTAAATTTAGCGGAGAAGCTGAATTTGGTCACGTGACATGGAGTCATGTGACATCATTTTCCCCGCTAAATTTAGCTAGGAAACTGAATTGGTGGCGAGAAAACTTGACGTCAATTTTCCCGCTAAATCTAGCGGGGGAAACTGAGTTTGTGTATAGGTTACATGACATAAAGTCGTGTGACGCCATTTTTCCCGCTACATTTAGCAGGGAAACTGAATTGGTGTTGAGGTCACGTGATGTCAACTCTCCCACTAATTCCAGCGGAGCGAGAGGCCCGGTTACGCCGACACCGCTATATGCGGGAACGTGCGCCTAATACCCATGTTAGACGGGCTAATTTAGTGCACTTCAACCAAGTGCACTTCACCTTTAGTGTCATTTCTGTTGTGTGGCAAATGGCTTCTCTCTGAAGAACACACTTGGCTTCAAGTGAGTTTGACGAACTCGCTTCACTGGATCGAGTGCATGCCCTCGATAGCAGTTTTTCAACAGTAAAACGCAACAGCACAAAAACAAAATACTATGTAGCGTAAATATTATCCTAAAAAGAATCAGAAATTACTGAAAGAGAGGAAAGAAAGGAGTGTCATTGCAAGAAAAATAGTGGGGTGAACTTAGCCTTACAGTTTAGGCTGATCTGTATCAAGATTTGCGCTGCTGTGAATCGAAAAAAGACGACAACAAGGTCAATCAGTACAATGCTATCTTGGTTAGCACAGGAGGACAGAGCCTACATTTATTTGTTTCAGCATGTAGCTGTTTGAGACATCACAATAATCATGATCTAATAAGGCAATGTCAGGGCCTCCTCGTATACCTCCGTGGGACGAAGCGGAACGCCAAGATTGGGACTTCTCCTTTATCTTGGCTCGCAATGATCGATCAGAATCATTTGCTCGGCATAAAGTTTGTTCATTAATGTAACATTGTTTTGTAACATATCTTTATTAAATAAACAAAATGTTGCTAAGACATTTTTGCCTTCAACATTTTACGTGTCTAATAGTACTTTACCCATCATTATTGCCATCATTTGTGAGTGACACTAATTTTTCCCGTGTGGCACCAAAACACTTGAAGTGACATTCAGTAAGCTGAAGTGCACTCGGTTGAAGTGCACTAAATTAGCCTGGATGACAGGGGCTATAAGGGCTGCGCTCTAAAACTTATAAGAGCAAACAGAGATGGCCACGAAGAGGGTGTCACAGACAAGTGCCTTGAAGGCCCCTTGTAGTAGAAACATAGTTTAACGAGACTTGCTGTTGGGCTAGTTGGTGTACGACGCTCAGGAAACTTGAAAGCACAAACCTAAAAAGACATGGGGGAGGGGGATATGGTTAAAGTGTCCCTTTCTTGGTGTCCATCTCTGTGCTCATCTTCCGAGGCCTGCACAAAAAACGTGTCCGTCGTACAATGCTGGCTGTGTGCACGCGTGCCTTCGCCATTTCTTACGCAATCACGAAGCCGCTGAGCCAGAGGTGTATACCTACTGGGGTCTGACAGCCCTTGCTACTATACTCAAGTTTTGAAGAATAAAAACAAAGACAAGAATAAACGACCACTCTCTTGCAGTTAGAAACAACATTTAATGGAAAAAAGAATCTATCCTTGTCCTCTGCACTTTTTTTTTTATTTTCGAACTGCAGTAATTTATTGGATTCAGTACCCTTACTATGCATCCTTTCACCCTAGAATGTACCGACTGCGACGGATATTACGAGCCATCTCGGCCAATCGAGACTTTGCTTTCCGCGTGTGGCTTCGTCATACCGGAAAGCTGGTCTCTGAGCTGCGGATGGGCTCCGGTGAATCGCAGCATCCGTTGCGGTGCGTCGCAAGGTGAAACGGAGTATAACCCTCGCAGGGGCAATTATAGTCACTGACAATTTAAGAAATGCAGGGCGCTGCAAGTCCCGAGCACCTTATTACCACTCCGCAGCCAATTGCGTCACGGCATTTTGCCGGTAAGGTCTCCCAAGAACGAACCACGAAGCAAGAAACGTAAGCGAACATAGTAAGCCACGCCCCGAGTTCCTTCACCTGTTAGTGATTATTGGTGCCGGGACGTCGCGGTGGCACCCTCTTACGGCTTTCATCTGCGCCATCACGACCGGGATTTGACTCCCCATGACTTCACAAGTTGCGGTCCCGGCCATCTATTGTCGGTGGCGACGACGAGTTCGACGGCGCGGGTGAAAAGTGTGGAGGAAGCTATGAGCCGTCGCATCCTTAACCCCTCGAAGTCACGCGTTGGACGTCGCCCGACAAAGAAATGTTTTCGTCGCGGTTGGGTGTCGGCGCTCGCTCCCGATCTTATTTCTCGTCTGCACATCCCAACGATTTTGACTTGCACCAGCTGTCGTCGGATCAGCATAGTGGCTTTAATTTTTTAGTAGCTTTACGCCAGATGGCATGAGTCATTGTGCTTTTTTGCCTTTCTTAAACTTTCTTCTTTTGCAAGCCCATTCATGCGCTATTTATCGTGGCAGTTTTTTCTTTGTTTGCTTCCTACGAAAAGGTTGCTAGTGATTCAAGTACACTGAAGGGGAGAAGACAACACTGAGAGGGTTCTGAAAGTTTGTGATGAATCTTCAGAAAAGGACTGCGACGATTTTGTGAAAGTGTGACGAGGAGAGTGCTCACATTGCCATTTCTCAAAGCTGGATGCCGTATGCGAATGTAGACCGAGATCCTGAAGCATCTCCCCTCGTTGTACAACTTAAGATTCATCACTTTCAAATGTTTTCCCCGAACAGTTTGATGATAAAGTTCATTTTACAAGCACTAAAACATCGTATTTTTTTGTAGTGTAAAATGATTCTCACCCAAGAGGCCAAGGTGAAAAATTACGTTACCCCAAAAAAAGGTAACCAACGCCGTCAAAGTCTGACAATGCTCTTATGCCAGTCGTGCGGCCAATTGTAAAAGACCGACTGCAGCCAACGTTTCTGGTCATGCACGTCGCCAATAGGGGTCCTTTTTTGCCTAGGCCGAATGGCTCCAGAGACAGACGAGTGAAGTGACAAGCGATCTCCGTGCCTGTGAGTGGTCTGGCCTCGAGACCAAGGCCCTGGTGTACATGTGGTCGGCCTTGATGAAGTCCTGCTGGTGGTTCTCGAGGAACTCCCCGTACTCGGTGAGGATGTCGGCGTGGCTGGGGTCCAGCATGAGGGCGTGCTGGAACAGCTTCAGCGCCTTCTCCAGCTTGCCCAGCTGGGTCATGTGGCGGGCAGCCCGCAGCGACGTCAGGGCCTCGGCCTCTGCGGGCAAGGAACGGCGCTCGTGACGATGCACGACAACTAGGGATATCTACTAAGCACGTCGATTTGGAACGGATGGTTATATTTTGAAGAAAGAAAAGCACAGCTTTAAAACCAGTCGCAGCAAACTTCTCCACCCACCATCCTTGAAAATCGAGTACCTCGTCATTATCTCATCACCAAACTTTCGTGCCTTAACCCTGATCCACTCACTATGTCATGGGTTTGTGAATTTCTTTCTTCTCGCTTGCAATTCACAGCCATTAACAACCATGTGTCAAACACTAAACTAGTGACTTTAGGAGTTCCCTAGGGATTGGTGCTTGGACCTTTGTTTTTAAAAATGTTTATAAACGACCTTCTAGTTTCTTTACCTTCTAGCGTATGGCTCTTTGCAGACGACTGTACTTTACCGTAAATTGTTACTGCATTTTTCGGACTATAGTGTGCACTCAGTGCATGACCGCAAAATCAAATTTGGGGTAAAAAAATATTTTTTTGCTTAGACAGCTTGTGTGTGGTCTAAATGTAAAAATTATCATACACAACACAGCTTCACAAATACCTGCTGTATTAGCTCACAAAGAAGCTTGTATCATACATAAATCAACATTACTATACACCGTTGTTCATAAAGTCCTTCACGTCTTGTCACAGTGAACAATTTAGAAAAAAGCCTGTAGATAGTTCACATCCAGCAAAATTTCAACTTTCAGACATCTATGGTTCCCAGACTATAATTCGGAGAACATGGTCATATATTACATATATCATATATTACAAAGCAATCTTAACACAGTAAAAACAGAAATACTGTAAATGACTTATTTTTTGCGGGCTCAATATTTCGCGATTTAGGTCAAAGCTGAAATTTTAGAAAATTTTGCGGATCGTATTTTCGCGACACGGTGGGATCTCAATATAGATTCCAATGTGTTTCCATTTTACCATAGTTGTTTGCAGGACCTAATTTTCGATTCGTGAAATTCGGGAAAATTAGGTTTTCGCGAAAACTAAGATGTTTACAGTAAATTAAAAGGTAAATTTATTAGCTTTACTCCTAAACGCTCAACATACTTTTTTCCGTACTCATTAGATGATCTGATTGAAGTAGCAGATTCATATAAATACCTTGGTGTGACATTAGTAAATTAACTGATGTAACCACATAGAACTACCACAGTCAAAGACCCCCAAACTCTTGGATACATTAGATGAAACCTAAAATCTGCTCCATCTCATCTAAAGAAATTGGCATATGAAGCTTATGTAAGGTCTAAACTTGAGTATGCGGATCTAGCTTATTAACAACCTCGAATTAGTTCAGAACCGGGCTACAAGATCAATTTCATCTGGCTACGACCGCACCTCCAGCGTCTCTGCCAAAAAGCCAGCTAAATCTTCCATCATTGCAAAATCACCGCAAAACTGCTTGCCTTTCAGTTTTGCATAAAATCTACTACTGTCATCCTACACTTTGCAATGCACTCTACATCCTCCCCTCAGGTCATCTGCTTGACTCAGCAATTCTCGAACACGGCGCCCGTTTATCTGGTAGCACTAATGCATTTAACCACTCATTCTTTTCCCACACCACTGTAGACTGGAATGACCTGCCCCACTTCAACGTTCTGCTTGAAAACTCCGATGCCTTACGCTCAGCACTAACAGCTTATTTTCTTTAAATCAGAAGGTGAAATCTAACTAATGCGTATACTGTATTCTAATGTCTTCCTAGCTACTCTCTTTGTCCGAGTGTCGTTACGTAGCATTTTACTACCGTAATATCCTGAGATAGCTCAATGTGCGAAAAAAAAAAAAAAAAACGGAAGAAAAAAAAAGTGATTTTTAGGTCATGCGTACCTGCCAAACTTGTTATCACGGCGAGAGACAATGAAGTAAAGATGACTATACTTCCCAGTCAGCAATGTTTGCTTGTATTCCGCCATAGTTAACTAGTCGCATTTACGCCAAGGTTATCGTTGATTCCAACACTACAATCACTAGAAGTGGGCTATCTTTCGGTGTTTAAAGAAATATAGCAGCTGAAGCCAAAAATAGGGGCGGTTACCTTTTGTTTTTTTAGGTGGGGCATCTCTCGAGATATGACAGTATGCATATTTTTACTCACCTCAACAGCGTTGTCTAGATTGTATAGCCACACCATGCAGCACCCCCCCCCCCCCCCCCTTCCCTCTCTCTTATGGAATGCACTCCCGAGGGCCTTTAAATGCTGAACCGAAATCTGGATTCCCCAAAACACGTGGCAAAAGGGTGCAACGGGATGCTACAAACACCAAAACATCACTCATACAGCGATATCTCGAACGGATGACCATATTTTTTTTTAAAAAAAGAGGCGCATTTGGCAGGAATGTTGACGAGAGTCATGTTCCTCCGAGAAGAAGAGGGAATGGCCTCGCGTCTTCCCCGCCTCGCGGCCTTGAGGGAGCGAAGCAAAGAGAGGAGGAAACTAGGTATCTTGACGGTCACGCGCCTCGTCGGCCTGGTTCAATCTCGACTTCCTTTTCCAAAAATACGGCCGTCCATTTGAGATATCGCCTTACTAGTAGTGTTGTAGGGATTGTAGCGTCCCGCCTATATCTCCAGCACTGTTTTTTTTTAAATCCAAATTTCGGTTCACCATCCCTTTAAAGGTACGCTAAAGACGTTTCTGAGATCATCAGCTCTTGGGGATAGCTTATCGTATGGGGGTCAAGCACCCTAGAAATCCAAAAATTATGCTTGTGCGACGTCTATTTCCCTACTAAAAAATCTTATAAAATTCGTGCCACGCCCCTTTCTGAGCAGAAAAATCTGGAGAACATAATCCGGAGGGGGCGCCGGTGGCGTGACGACGGGCGCGCGTCAGCCAGTCACAAGCTGCCTTTCTCAGACAGGCGGCTTGCGATTGGCTGATGCGTGCCCCACGTCACGTCGCCGGCGCCTCTGCTGAATTCTGTGCTCCAGATTTTTCCACTCAGAAAGGGGCGTGGCACAAACTTCTATCACATTTTTAGTATGAAAATAGACGTCGCACGAGCATAATTTTTCGATTCCTGGGATGCCAAGATCCCATAGAATGAGTTATCACCAAGAACAGACAATCACAGAAATGTCTTTAGTGCACCTTTAAGAGAAAATGAATAAATAAATAAATTAATTGAGTGCTCAACCACGGTGAAGAGATAAATGGTGAATAATACCAGATGGGGTGAAGTTAACCGGTGAAGACAGCCCAACTACAACCCTTCTGCTCATTCTCGTATCAGGGCTAGACTGCTCAGTCACCGACAGGACAAAAAGTGCATGGCATCTCTTTCAGATGGCCAGCCTCTGGCATGTGCATGCCACCCTCCGTCCTGCTCTGGCTCTGCGTGCATGCTCGAAGCACGCCAAAGTGTCAGTGAGGATGGAAAGTTCTTGCTTGAGGTGAGACAATTGAAAGGCCCCCCTGCCGTTCTTATCCTCTCAGTGTCCATGCGCAGTTGTGCAATCGCTGCACTTGCACACGATACACATTCCACCTGCTCGCCGTACCACAACATCTTTCACTACAATGCATATCGTCACTTGCTAAAATCCACTAAAATGTAACCTGATTCAAAATCATGGATCAAGCTTTCTGTGAACAAACGTATGCAGTCGCAGGGTGAGAGCAGCAGGGCATCTCTTTCGGTTGCCTCCAGCAGAAGCTCGTTGCCTTCAGTGGTGCATTGGCTGCGCGTGTACACTGGAGGCCCACGTGACGCCGAAATGTTACCGAAGCTAGGAAGCTTGCGCTGGAGGCAGGACAACTGAAGGACCTCCCTGGTATTCTAGTCCTGTCAATATCTTTAGTGAATAGGAGTTACAATGTCGCCTCGTTAACGAGGGTCTAGAGAAGGTGACGTGCATATGCGTTTTCTCTGCCACTTGGCGTGAGCGATCGGTGTGGTCTGATCAAGTTTTCATTTATGCTTCATGCGGTGATGACGTTTGGTGGGTAAAGGCATCAGGCCTTGCCTTCTAGGTGGTATACGTGCTTTGCACCCGACATCATACCAGCAGCTCTCCAGCCACCACCAGAGAAGAGGGGAAGGAGGAACTCCCCCCTCACCGGCACTCTCTTTTATGTCCCCGACGTGCCCAAACGTCGCTACTTCCCTCTAGAAGATTAACCCGTCACTCAAAATTTGTACAAAAGCAGCAGTCCCCTTCCCTTCTCCTCTCCTCCTCCTCCTCCTCCTCCCCCCCCCCCCCCCCCCCCCCCCCCCCCTTTTTCCGTCTCTCTCGTGGTGGTGAGAAATGGATGATGTGACGTCAGTGCAAAGCATGTATTGGCCGGGCGACGCGAGGGGTTTCGGCGTACCGTTGACGTCGTTGTCGGGCACCTTCCGGCGCTTGGGCAGATGTACGAAGACGTCCGCGACGCCTTCCTCGGTCACCTCGAGGTCCCCGCTGTCTGGCAGGAAGTTTGGCAGGCGGCGGGCACCCGCGGCCAGTTGTGTCCTACCCAGGTACGGGGTGAGCTCGAGGTGCGTAGGCACCAACTGCTGCGGGCTGGCGGAGGTGCCCCGCTGCTTGAGGTGCCACAGCGATGGCGTCCACACCAGGGCCACATTGACCAGGAGCACGAGCACGCCGACGAGCAAGAAGGCGGCGCTGAAACTGGCCACATACTTGGTGGAGCGAGGGTCCTGCAGCACGCTCGACATGATCCAGTGCTGGCTGCAGAAGGACACCATGCCTTCGAACTGGACGAACAACCACATCAGCGCGCTCTCAGCCATCAAGTGGCCCACATGGCGGAACACCACCGCACGCACGCACGCACGCACGTCGACGCGCACCGGGCCCGAGCAGTGGAGACGTGGAGCGAACGACTCGGCAATAATAGACTCGCGGGGCACCGGCTGGCACGACGTGGCACGCACTCACGACGTCGCCGATGACGTCTCGGTGATCGGACACGCCGTCGAACTTGGCGACTCGTCGACGACCTCACAGTCTTCGTAGATCCGATGGAAGGTTTGAATGGGAATCACTCACGGCCTTCTTACCAAAGTGTTTGGTAGATTCTGTAATCGAAAAGGACTCGCCATGGTGTGTCGAAGAGATGACACAGGACACTGAACAAAATGTAAGGGCGCAAACGAGCTCGATCACTTCGGTCGATTCACGATCGTCCAGATCACAGTGGTCCAGATGCTTGCGGGCTTGCGGTCACTCCGCTGTGTGACGCCACTGTAAAATGTATTAAATTTAAATTATTCTACTAATAAGCCCCTATCCTGCAAATTTTTTGGCTTTGTCATTATTGCAAGTATTTATTACGCTGAATTAGTTTTTATCTGTTACGTCACATAAGCCACGTGACCACCACTGCGTGGCGAATTCTTTGCAAGTACGAAACAAATTAGATAGATGGCGTATGCTAACGCCCCTTCAAACGACTTTATTTAATTAACGTCTATTGAATATAATCTCTCGCATCATCTGCGAGAGCTACTGGAGAGAACCGACTCTGTCCAAAATCTTCCAGCTGAGTAGCTGAGCCTTTAAACAAGAACTAAAATGGAACGGGGCTCTCGGCGCTAGTCGTACACTGGCAAGCAGATTACGAAGATTGAGCGCGCACACAGTGCGTAATCGCTGCAGCGGTGGAATCGTCTCAGCAGATGCGACTCGCAGCAGGGCAGCCCGTTCCAGCGGCCGTCTCGGCCGGCCGTCCGGTCCATTCAATGCCCCCCGAGTGCGTCGAGCTCCGGAACGGCGTGCGGATGCCGATCTTGGGGCTGGGTGAGCGATGCACAGCCCGAAATGAGCACTGTTCGATCGCGCCGGCAAAGTATGACTGCCGGCTCTCGCTTTTTTAAGTTTACCCCGAGATCAACCCGATGGCTTTGGCGGTCTGAAGACACGGTTTGGGCCCGCGAATCCGCGGCTCGTAACGGCGCACCGTACGTGTTTATGTCCACGCTGGGGCTAAAAATAAGTGTAGTGCGCCGAGGTGCGGTGTCAGGAGGTGATCCGGATGCTGAGTGCACAAGTCAGGTCGTTTCCACGCTGGAGCGGTGGCAGTTTTTGCGAAGGTTTAGCCGTAGGCAGCACCACGCAACCGTGAGGTGAAGGGGCAGGTTATGAAGCTCTTGGAGTTTCCAAGCAATGTATCCATAGGACCTATTTAGCAAGCTAGAAACCAGGACAAGCTGGAAAGCCCTTCCCACTTCCCACTTTAGGAGAGCGAAGGCTGGAGAGGAGGCGAGAGGGGCTCGCCTCCGCAGCGGTCGCTCTCGTGAAGTGGAACTGAAGGGGTTTGCGGAAAGAGCTTGTTCTAGTTGCTAAACCTGCAACAGACTATCGATACAATTCATTTAAAGATGTCTGCGTTTTCACTTTCAACATATACCTTCTTTTTTTTCTCGGGTGTACAGGTTATAATACGGGTTGTAATTCCACCCCCCTTTGTAATGTCTCCGGGCCCTGAGGACAAAGATAAATATATGAATAATTTAGTACCAGGGTACCCACTCCATTTCTGACTATGAAGAAGTGTAAGGAGCCAAAATTGAAAATGCACGTGTTGATGAATAAATACGAATGCATGAAAAAAAAAAATAAAACATTGGGGACGGAAGCGGGGCTTCTTTTCATGGAGAGCTGTTTCTGTCCCCGTCCGCAATGTTTTGTTCTCTCATGTATTCGTGTAATGAGCATATTTTGAGGTTTCATCATTGCGGCTTCTGAGTTTGAGGGATGGTCCATTTTCGGCACGTACCATGGTCACTCGGTAATTGCAAGGTATTCGATCGTCTGAAACTGTTGCGCTACTCACCGAAAGGGGACTCTTTCAGTGGTGTACAGCATGAAGAAAGGATATCCCTCATGTCTAGTGTGAGATATCCTTTCTTCAATAACAGTTTGATGTCTCATGACCTTCGAGCGTGCAGAAAGAGCAAGAAGCACAGAAAAAGACTTTCTGCGCTTGTTTTGTCAGTGACTGTATAGCGGACAGCCTTCATTTCCAGCAGCTCACTTAGAGCTTGTCTGTGTCCTTATTCATCTTGTCGTGAGATCAAAGGAGCAGATTTCAATTACGAGCCCCTAACAATTGCCTGCAGTTGACACTGCCATGCACGAGCCCACCACTGTCAACTATTATGGGAAACAGGTTAATCCCATTCTGCCATGTCCCAAATCAAGGGATCTGCCAGTGGTGGCCGGGCAGACTGACATGATGCTGCAATTGCAAAATATAATATTTTGGGGAGTTAAGTGATAGATTGACCTCTCAGCAGCATTGGAGCGAGTGCCAAAGATTTCCATTGTGTTCTTCTGGGGCTTCTCCCCACGCTAATATATCTTCCGTCACGACTGCTGTTTGATTCATGATGCACTGAAGCATTTTTTTGGGGGGGGGGGGGGGGGGGGGGGAAGAAGGGGGAAGGGGAAGGGAAGGGGAGGCGGGAGGCTGTGCTTATTTCGAAGGGCATTTGCTTAAGGGGTACTCCGGCGATTTTTTGCATGGTCGCTCATTTTTCTCAAAATCGGCTCAACACACCGATAGACATGGCTCTACGAGTTCCCCAAGTATTGTGTGGAAAGAAAAAAAAAAATTTGCGAAGTTATTGAATGTTCGAATTTCGTTTTCATAGTGTTTCTCAAACCGGGAGCCCCTACTGGCAACATTGAAGTGTGACGACAGAAATGGTACAAAGTGAGCAGTAAGCCCTGTTCCCAACTGATTACAAGACGTTTGATGGTGGGAAAAGAATGTTTGTAACTGATTCATTGAGAATTAAGCACGCAAAAAACACTCGACATACTCTGTTTAAGACTACACGCACGACCTGAAAGTCTCTACCGACTACATGCATGACCTGAAAGTCTCTAGAGCGCGCGAGGATTTGAATGCTGGCTTCGGCATCATATTCACTTACGGTTTTCTCAGTTGCAATTTTGAATTTCGAGAAAATAAATAGCATACCATGGCGACTGAAGTCCGGGTAGTCAGAAAATGCAATTTGTTTAGGTAGCTCAAAATACGGCCGGAGCACCCCTTTAAACCTCTACCTTTCGTACGGAGCACTCGTGGTGCACAACTCATAACTCTTCTCATCAATCTCTATATGGCAAATCTTCAAGGAAAACACTTTTCCTCTCACAATTCGAGCTGCAATGTCCTTCATTACTGTCATGTTCTTTCCATAGAACTCGATGCAGGTCCACTGGATCCACCCAGACGCACACTTTGCTTTCTTTGCGACAGCTACCTTAATACTGGCCTGCTTTGTCGGCCCTTCATTTTCCATTCTTCATAGTTCGCACTTGACCTTTTCTTGTAGTGCCTACCGGCACCCTCCTTTGTGGGGCATGCAATGCCTTGTGAATCAGACATCACTTTCTGGCTGTACACAAACCTCTTTCTGAGTTGGCTGAAAACACCTGTCACCAGATTGGGACTGTCCCCAATTGAGTGCCTTTCAGCTCCCATGTTTTCCCTGTTATTTTCTGGAGCTGCAAACAGCCCCTTGCTGCTTGCGCCTCAAAGAAAGCTTATCGAGGGAGATTGGAGAGTCAGACTTGTGGGAGGTTTTCTGGCGAAAGATAAGGCGTGCTTCAGACGGACGGATGGAGCAACTTTTCCCAATGTCTTGACATTGCAACACAATATGGGCTTCTTGCACTTGCTCACAGCAACTCAATTTGTTATGTTTCGTCATCATTGTCACTATGATTGTAATTTTCTTGCACTATTTTTGCACAGACTTGTTACGCATTCCGTAAAATCTTCCTGCAACCACTCAGCCATGAAAATGATTCATTGCAAGCCGGAACAAAGTTAAACCCCAGCTTCAATTATCATTGCCACCGTGGGGTTCACGTGAAAATATTGCATCCGTGATAAACTGCTGCTTCTTCGGGCATCTTGCAGTTGTTTGAATTGCTTGCCTGTTTCGATCAGGACCCCTGCATGCTGCAGCGCTGAAATCTAGAAAACAACTCGCCAGCAACTCCAAAATTGCTGGTAAAAGTGCCGCATCTTAAGTGAGCCTCAGGAGCACACCCATGCAGTCGTAGGCTGAGGGGATTGCATTCTTTTACTACTGCCCTTTGCTACAGGACTAAGGGGAGGCAAAGATAAGCTGGCATTGGGTGCTTCTGGCAGAATAGTAGTTTTATGTCGTAAGCCCATATAAATTCTTTTTCCGTATATATATATGTGTTCGGTGCCTAAAAAGTACAGGGTTTGTACTTCGGCTATCTTGGGGCTTGCCCATGTCACCATGAACTGAAACATTGTCACTTAATAGGCTAATTGGACGTTCAGTCCCTAGGGTCTTTGGCAGATTATATTGAAGGATAAACACCATGCACCTGGTCCGCGCAAAGCGATCGTAGCTGCAGTCCATATGACATGTTGAGTCTTTGTGTCAACGTAGATGCCGCCGTAATATCTAAAATATCCATCAGTCTCTCTCTCTCGCTATGGATATTGCATTATAGTCAGGGTCTCCTTCGAAACTTTATTCTTGCATCACAGAACTACATTTGGCAGTGAGTGCATAGATTGTGACGTTGCAAGCACTAGCAGCATGCCAACTAGATATGAGGGTTGAAATGTTTAAATTTTTTTTTGTTAACATATTGCTATTGAAATTTACATAGGTGTAGACTTCGGGGAAGCATTGGGGCTCGTGCCCCCCCTGGTGAGATCCGGGGGGGGTAGAGCCCTGGGCCTGGGCCATGATCCTTACCGAGACGCTGTTTACGTGCCATTTAACGAGCTTCTATAGTGGTGGCATGTAAACAAAATAATGTCCACGTTGCCTTTATTGACAAAATACATGGGAAATGGGATCCCAGCGTGCTTTCGTTAGCTTCAATCTCCAGTTCTGGTGAAAAAATATTGCGGAGCACCCCCCCCCCCTTCGGGAGAATGGAAAGTCTACGCCGCTGGAAATACATCCAAAGCCTTGATCACACATTGAGGTTATTAACCAGTCTCCAGCCTAAACAACCTACACAAGTGCAAACATTCTTTGCTAATGTGCGTGTGGGGACTGGCAGGGCCGCGGCATCATTCAATACAGTCTCGAGCTCCGAGTTGGCTCTGCTGTTGAGTCAATTTTCAATCGCTCCCAGCAAGTGAACCCAGCAATGACAAAGCTATTTTAGCGGCACTACATGGAGAAAAAGAAAACAACTTCTGACAGGAGTTCTAGCTTGCTTTATGTCAAGTAACTTGCATGACTTGCCGTCATCATTAATAAAGCGAACAGGTCGTGCTCCTCTTACGCACCATGCAACAAGTGGTAGATTGAAAACCCTCTATCGAATCATCACAAGTGACCTTCGTATTAACATTGACAACTTGTTTAGCTTCTCCACTAGAACTTGTACTATTCCGTCGATTGCTCTAAAAATTAATTTTTTTTTTCCTCAAACCCTACTGGATTAGAATAGCTCATCTCCCAATATCACCAATTCCGAATCTCTTGACAGTTTCCTGCACCAACTGGTTGCCTCTTAGCACGTGTTTATTTCTCCAGGACTTCCCGTGCGCCTGCTCGCTGATGCTGGTTAGTGTGCTAAAATTAATTTATTTGGCTACAAATTCGAAGTGGTCAGGGCAGGAGCATATCACAGGTGACGGAGATGTGGGCCTGCGTTAAGAAAATAACCGTGTTGATTTTTTAAAAGCCGCAAAGTGGAACAAACTAATTCCTATTTTAATGCACTCGCTTTTTTTTGTTAAAACTGCATGATGCTCAAATGTGCCGATCAGAATTAGGTGGTCACAGCATCCCAAAGGCCAGCAATCCCTCCCAATGTCTCTGCCGCCGTCCCAGCTCCTTTCTTCGTTCGTCTGCGAGAGGGCAAGCAACAGGCTGGAGTTGCGAATAGGTGCTGATGGAATAAGAACAGAAGGGAGGAGCTTCAGTCGTCCCGCCTCCAGTGCGAGCTTCCGATCTTTCACAATGCTTTGCCGTCTCGTGCACCATTGAGCGTACGGACCCAGCCAAAGAATGGCGGAAGACGTGGAGCGCGTGCTGGAGGCCGGGCGTTCCAAAGAGACAACGTTCTCATCTTGTCAGTGACTGAAGTAGTGTTGCCATATAAATGAATAAACTCGGCCAAGCAGCTCGAGCTGTGTGAAGGAAACTCTGCAGCTCCTCTGACCTCTGTCTGCCCTTTCTCTTTCTGCAGGCACCTCGCATAGCGGTGGCTACAGCCACTCTACCGTGGTGTACGCCTTGCAGGAGTGCGGCTACCGCCTCATCGACACGGCAAAGCGCTATGGCTGCGAGGAGTTTCTGCGCCAGGCCATCAGGGTACGCTCGCTCCTCCCTGCTGTGGTCGGGGTACAAGCCACTCTGTGCACAATTGGCGCATTTTCCGAACTATAGTCTGCAGTCGGTGTATAGTTTGCAGAAGCAAATTTCGGAAAAAAAAAAAAAAAAAACATTTTTTTTTCGATAGCCTGCCCCTGGTGCATAGTCAGCACCTGGTTCGTACTCTCCATGTACCATAGAATACCGAGCATCTGCCAATTCCACATTAAGCGCCCATTACCGAATTTGTGAGATCTGAGAAAATATGCATAGTACCTTAATATGTAAAATTGATGACCGAACAAGCGCCCATCCCCCATTTTTTTGCGCTTATCTCCAAAGTTTGAATGGGCGCTTGCCTGGTATTTTACGGTAACATCTTTTATGCGTGGCGTACCTAGAAAAGTTTTGACTTTACGAATGCACAAACGAGCTGGTATATAAAGAAATCATAATGAACAGAATCGGTTTAATGACATTTGTCACGTCTCGTCATAATAAGCGGTCTTTAAAACAAAAATCCTCGTATAGTCCATACCATGTAGATGGTCCACATTTCCTAAAATTTTAACTCTTAAACAGGTATAGTCCACAGACTATAATCCAGAAAATGTGGTAAATTCAATTTCAGTTTTTTTGTTCACGCCTACAGCGAACAGTATGGGTCTGGGGACGGGAGAAAGAGCTGCAAGATGGCAGCTTGACATGTCCAACTGCATCCTACATTTAGGAAATGAGTAGACGGGAAGATAATAAAATTATTTGAAACAAAAAATAATAAGCCATACATGAAAAGAAAAAATATACTTAGAAAATTTTGTACAACACCTTTCTGTTTTTAAGTTCAGTAGAAATGTGTCGCTTATTTAAAAAAAAAAATGTAATGATGAGGGCAATGCGTGCCAGAATGTCAGCAGCTCGTAGTTTAGTCGAGGACCTGGCATTGTGCACCCCATATGAAAAATGTTTTCCACTTAGTTTAGCAATTTGTCGCAATGGGTGATTAGCAAATATTAGTTAGACATGCCGTATATATTATGGCAGGTTTATGATTGCAATATTATTTTATTTTTGTAGTTACGTTTATGAAAGAGCAGCCAAGTGTGCGTGCAATAGAGCGCATTAGCCACCAGGCTGGTTTCCTTTTTCTGCATCAGAAATAATTTATTTGTCTCTGCACTCATTGTAGCTCCCCAGACTAAGTGACAGTCGATTGATCAACCAGTCAATTTATTAATGCAAAAGCATTAACTATCCCATGGAGCAAAGCCAACAGCATCTGTAACCACGAAAAAAAAAAAAAAAAAAAACAAGAAAGAAATGTCCATTTTCTTATTGGCTGAGCAAAACGGCTTCTAGATAGCCATTGGTGACCGCTTCACAAGAGCGAGTGCTTGGCTGCACGCTGCCGCTTCACGAGAGCATGCTCTCGGTCGCTGCTCTTGTGTCAGGCGTTGCCCGAGGGGGGAGGGGGGGTTTTCGGCCGCTTCTGGGCCGACTTGCTAGAACAGCATCTCAGCTGAGACTCGGTGAGAGAAAGCACTGCAGAGGCTGGGGCGCGCGAGCGTCTTGAGACGCGGCAAGAGTCCCGCTCAGCTCGTGCGCTGTCTTTGGCAGTGCTTTTCCCCCAGTGTCAGCTGAAACGCTGTTTCTAGCAAGTTGGCCCTGCTCCTCTTGGCGCCTGAGGAACATGGCGGCGCCTGAGGAACATGGCGGCGCCTGAGGCATCTACATCGTCGGCGGCCGCAACCTCGGCAGTAGCGAAACGTGGCCGTCCACGCCAGTACGCCGCAGACGAACTAAGGGAGCAGAAGAATGACATCCATGCTTTTGCATTCACAACCAATAAGAAGTGCTTAGGTGTTCTCATACTTTTACAGCAGAGCTGTTAAGCTCTAGTTTCCCCAGTATCGTGCCCATGAACAAACAAGAGCCGAGAGCTCCGAGCACTGCACGGTAGCGCAGAACGAGCAGCTCCTACCTCGGTGCAATTTCTAGCTGTGCCAGAGCCTTTTGGCCTCGGGGTCCGGCTGCGGTTGGCAAGGTATGGCGAGGCGAAGTGCAATGGCGTCTGCAGAGCGGTAGGAAACAATCTCGCTTGCTGAACCGTGCGCTAGCACGTCGCCTCTCATCCAGAGTGGCCCAGCGGCATGACACGGAGCCCAAGACATTTGGGTTTTGATGTTTCTTCCGTCTCATAACTCCTTGCACAGCATCGAAGACAGCGGGCACGGTCCTTAGTTTATGCTCACTGAAAGCGTCGAAAGGCCTTCACGCACTGCACGTGCAATGCACAGGAAAACGTGGTCACGTGGTGCGACTGGTGCCGGAAATGCAGCTTTAACTTTGAGCTTTGACACGGCGTGGCGCCACCTTCGCGTAGGGCTTGGTGCGTATTCATGTAAACCTTGCCGCGTCGGCTTCCTTTGGATGACGATTGGAGTCGATGCGCTGAAGTCGTATTCATGTAAAGGCGGCTCTAGATGTCATAAAGATAACAGCTTTGCAGGTCCTTCATACTCATGGGAAGTGGAAGGGCTCTACATTTTTTTTATTGGTTCGCTGCCTATCATTAGCGTAATTGCAATCTAAGTATCAAGAAGATGACCATGCACTAGAAATGCCGCGGACTTTTTTCGAATCTAAGTTTCGATAATCGAATCAAGAGGTTCGAAAGGTTCGAAAGATTTCGAATGTTCGAACTTTCCATATCGAGAAATTCGTCGCAAGTCGAATTACCGAACTTGTTAAACTAAGAAGTTTGACGCTTTTCGAAATTTCGAACTTATTACGCTGCGAAATTCGATGCTTGTCGAACTTTCGAACTTGATAGACTAAAAAATTCGATGATTTTCGAACTTTCGTATTTCTTGCACTAAAAAGTTTGAAGCTTTTCGATCTTTCGACCTTTCTACCCTAAGAAATTCAATAATTTTCGAACTTTCGAACTTATTAATCTAAATAATTCGAAAATTGTAGAACTTTTGATTCCTGAAAAGTCAAAAGTTCGACGACTTCGAATTTTTAGGGTAAAAGTTCGAAGTTCGTCGAACTTCGAAATACGGGCGGGCGGTTTCATTTGGATTTAAGCAGTGAGGTACATTCGTAATTTTTTTTTCTCGCATTTTTACATGTGGTGTCGCACTCTTTGCGAAAGACAATGCCGTTTATTTCAATCACCTGGCATGCTTGGCTTTAAAGAAATAGATTCCCGAAGGAGCGAGGAAAGACGACGGGTTTCTGACAATTGTCGTCTGTGCCATATTTGAAGCGCGCTATAGCCAAAGATATTTATGGTAGAGATGTTAAACTTTTTAAAAATGATCAATGTATAACCTAGGTATGTGTCGTCTTAAGATATGATTATTGTCGTTCAAGACGAGTTTCGAAGAATCATCCAAATTTGTATCTACGAGCAATTATGCCCAAAACTTGGTAATTTTTTTCGTCGAAATGGTTTGAGGTATTGCATTTAAATTAACACCACAGACAGTGCATATCATTACTATCTGCAGAATACAAATTAATGTATATATTGTTCATTTCACGTTGAGGAATAAATTAACTCAGGGAAAAAGATTTCTAATATTGCTCAAATTCGACACGTCAAAAAAAAAAAAAAATTTATTTTTTTTTTTACTTCACTTTTTTGAGACGTGTTTTTTTTTTAGCCTGTACACATTTTGGTAGGATAAAATTGTTTCGTAGTTCTGGGTCTCTGAATATGTAAGAATACCACACTTCCGGCGGATTCTTGATATTTTTTTTTCTCCAGCTTTTTATTTTTGGCATTTATTGTTGTTTATTTATTTATTATTTTTTACCAATGGCACAGTTATTTAGGTCGAAAAGACATAGCGTTGAACTTCCGAACCACCAAGCATGTGATGAGTAGTGCCTTCTGACAACGAGTTTCTAACAATGACCATCTACGCTATCTTTTATGCAGTGAAGAGTGACAGTAGCTATACATATGCATAAATAATTTCAGATTAAAATAAGCTCGACCATGCCCTCTTTCCCCGTATTGTTCCCTTTAACAGCCCGAAATATCTGGGCGGGGGGGGGGGGTAGAGAGAAAGAGAGAGAGGCTGGGGTCCCCCCCCCTTCCCCCCATTTTTCCTCTTCCGACGCTGCTGGTATGGTAGAACGCTCCTCGACCTCAAGTGGTGTTGGCTTCTGCGCTTTTTGCTCGGCATTTCTTCCGTCTCCGAAAATAAACCTCCAAAACAATTACAAACTAAAGAATTGTCAAGCTACAGGCGAGCTGGTGTATGTTGATCATGATGCAAAATCCCGAGACTGGGAATAAAATTCGAAAGAAATAGTGTAAGAAGAAAGAAAAAAGGGGACAGGACAAAGTCTCAAACTCAGTTGAGTTGAGTTTGAGACGTTATTCCTGAGCTGAGTTTTCAGCTGAGTTGAGTTTGAGACGTTGTCCTGTCCCCTTTTTTCTGTCTTCATACACTTTTTCTTTCAGATTTCATTCCCAGTCTCAGGATTTTGCATCATGTACAAACTAAACTTACTATATGCCAGCGTCACTCGGGCGGCGTTCGAGCGGATTACTACCTGTGTGCAAGGGGGTGGGGAGGCAGTTTGCCAGATCGCTTCAAGGTTTTTCTGAGCCTCAAGTGACCCTCAACCACCTGCCTGCCCCTGGCCGTTTCGAAATGGATGAGTATCATTAAACAGTGCGTTCGTGTGATCACTACTGCGTGATGCACGTTAAACACCCCCCCCCCCCTCCCAGGCTGGCGGCCACAATTACTGATCTGCACACGTCACTCTGCACTGGCAAATAATCCAGAACATCCGGGACACTCGTCGTCTCATTTAAAGGGCAACTCCGCTCAATTCCGAAAAATTTAGGCTTACATGTGATTCCATTTCACAAAGCACCACTAAACAACTCTACGTCTTCGGATTCGCGAAATGTGGAATATTATTTGTGTAATCCTAATTTAAACACCAGCTGATACCGAAACCGAAACTTCGGTTGCGTCAGGCAACATTGGTCTCGTGTGGTCAGAGTCATGTGCACTTCACGTCGAACCACGTGGTCTTGTGACGTTCGGGAGGGGGGCGAGGGACAGGACACGCGACGCGCGCAGGTCGCTTCGCGTGGCGTGGACGGTGACGGCCCGGGCGAGAGGGGGAAGGGGAGAATACGAAAGAGAAAGGGAGCGGAGAAACAGACCGATAAGCGCGCAGAACAGCGCAAACTAGCGCATCCGCGTTGCGGTGACCACGTGAACGCCCGGTCAGCCAACACCGGGAGGAAAAACTCATGACGTCTTCGTTCATTTCGCTTTGAGAAGTAAAAACAAACAAAACGTGAGAAGGACGTACACATGCCTCTGACGTAGTGGCTCAACGTTTGCCGCTCCAACTCCGTCGCTTTGACTGCGCTGACGATTGCGCCTCGCGTCGCACGCTAGAGTTGGCAGATTTCGGCGACTTGGCTCACTTGAAGGTTTGCTGGCCAGTTTGTTAAATATATAGACGGAATTAGATCGTAATATTTGACATGGGGTCTTCCTATACGATACTGAAGAGGGCTACATAGTTTTCTAAATATCAAAAATGAAGCGGAGTTGCCCTTTAATTGCCTGACCAACTTCGCGCAATCTGAATATCACACCCAAACATTTCTAAACCTGATTTCGTGAAAACCAGTGAGGCGTGAAAACGTTATTTGAGACTGAAACTGTGGCGGAGCATGAAAACCGGACTTCAAACTTTAAACACTTGGACTTTAAAGAAATTCGAAACCTAAGTTTCTTTTTTCGTATTTAGCGCTAAAAGAGAATCGAAACCTTCGAACTTTTCTAACTTTATGTAGAAAGAAATACGAAATCTTCGAATTTATCAACCTTCATGTCTATAAAAATTCAAAACGTTCGAATTTTTCGAATTTCAGATCAAAAGGAATTCCAAACATTCGAATCTCTCGAATTTCGAGTTAGGAAAGTTCGAAATCTTCGATTTTTTCGAACCTCAAGTAAAAAATATTCGAAATAATCGAACCCAAACTTTTAGAAACCGTGAATTCGAATTCGAAACTCCACAATTTTTGAAAGTTGCGAATTTTTATAATTCGAATCTCCGCACGGTCGAAAATTTCGAAACCTTTCGAATTTGAACATCAGTTCGGTTCGAAAATATCGAAATCTTTTGAAATCGAACCTAGGGTGGTTCGCGGCATCCCTATCATGAACTTCGTGGAAACCTTTCAGAACACGGTGAGGCCGGTGCCTGTGGTAATGTAGCCACTGGCCATGGCTGCAGCAAAGAATACAACCCACATGTGGGACAACACTCTTGGAGGCAGATTGAGGGGCAGATGAGAACCACTGATGCCTTTTGTGATTAAGCAGGAGAATCGCAATATTTTGGGGGAAGGTGGCACGTTTAGTGTCGCTTGTGCCAAGATAAACAATATAAAAAGTGTAAGCTGTAAATTCTGTCAGTACTAAAATCGTTGCTCCTTTAACGGGGCATCGCTGAAGGACCTCTTGCACGGTTCCGAGGAGAGTTGTCCAAGGCCCGTCGCTGGGGTGACAAGTGTGGCTGGCACTCTTCTGCTTCCCAGGAATCTGGCGTCGCGCGCGAAGACCTTTTCCTGATTACCAAGTTGTGGCCCCGTGACTACGGAAGCCTGACGACGCGCCAGGCCTTTGAGGGTTCCCTGCAGAGGCTTGGGGTGGACTACCTGGGTGCGTTCCCTGTCCGGAGTCTTCTGAAAGCTCTCTGAAGTGACGTTCACGGCTTCCTATTGTGTTCTTAAGCTGCAGCAACTTTCTTACTGCCAATTGCGGTAACTGGTACCAATTTCAATTGGATCGTCACTTGTTCTCTCTCTCTGACATTTGGCTCAAGTTTTGCTTTTGGTTCCAGAGATTTCCACTGGCAATTTACTAAAGGAGTATATTTGTCTTAATAATAATTCTGGAAACAAAAATTTAAGAAAAAAAAAAAAGGCAGTGGTAACGCAAAATATACTGAGTGTTGTTTCATGTTGACGTGCGAATGAACTTGGTATGCATTTTATGCTTCAGTGGCGCAAACATTGTCGTGCGTAGCATCTCTGGAAGGCCCTGTCAAAGCTAGTGCTCCAGTGGGAGTTGTATGCACGAAGTTTGCGTTTCTTACGGTTGCACACCAGCTTTGACACCGCGATTTCGCATCTTCCCGTTTCCTCCGTACCCCACGCCTGTTCTCTTCTCCTTACTTTCCACGCACTCTTCCATTGTATGTGCGAGCATCCCCCCCAACACGACGTGGACGACTAATAGTGCTGCGCTTTTATTTTCAAATTTGAATATAAACAACCTACGTGCTTCTAAAATCTATGCTCCGAAATCTGTGCACAAGCTTGCAAACTAAAATGTATAAAAATCTAACCTTTGCTTTAATGCAAACAAAACTCTGGATGGCATGGAACTCCTGGGAAAGAAGTTAAAAAATGTCCTCTGAATTTTCCTCAGAATAAGCTCCCTAAATACAGAAGCCTAGTCATTCGGTTGCACCGTCTTAATTTGCGCCGTTTCCACGCGATGAGGAGCTTTCGTCGAGCTCCTCGTGTTTTTTAGCATTCACGGTTTTGGAATGTTTTGCCTCAAGTATAAAGAGTTTGTAAGTTCCAATTTGTGAACAAAATTCCTTTTCGTACTTAGCTCGCCGTAAGTTGCTGCCCTTTCACTAGACACAAGAAACCCTAAGGTGACTTGTGTATTGCATCATAATATCTGGAGAGACTGGGCAGTTGTCTCGGTTTCTGTCATGTGCACATCGGGAAAAGAAGATGAAGCCAACTGATGATTTTGAAAAAGAGAAACATTGCCTCTTCCTTCGATGTCTCCATTAAGAAAAAAAAAAGAACAGAGACATCCGTGCATTTTGAATGAGCCCAAACGTTGAAAATATTTACGAGCTAGCATTCGTGAGACGCATCCATGCCCTCGCCAAGCAGCCAAAGCACGGCGGAGGTCACGGAGCGCATGCTGGAAAACCGGGAGTTGGAAAGACGCTCCCCGCCGTTCTCATTCTGGCAGCGACTGTAGTCGTCAACAACAGATGGCCGACGAGCACGCCAATGCAAACCATTCGCGCTCTGCACACACCGTTTCTAGTGTTTTGTCCCCGATCGACGACTTTCTGTTGGTGAGCCTCGTGGCTTACTGAGGTTCCGGATGCTTTGGCATTGCAAGGGAAGCTTCAATGCGGGTCCCTTTCTCTCATCCTTCCTGCAGACATGTTCATGATGCATTGGCCGGAGTGTCCATCGTCGTGCCCCGACCGCCAGAAGGTGCTGGACACCACTTGGCGCCAGCTCGAGCTTTTGTACGACGAAGGTACGCCCCCCCCCCCCCCAATTCCCCTTTTCGCTGCCAGTGTGCGGCGGTGATCTGTCGGCACCATGGCATTCGGCAAGATTTAGTGCCGTTATGGTGCTCGAAACACATCACCGACTGGTGTGTATAACCGCGTCCTTAAAAGTGGTCCGTCTGTTTCTGCCCGATGACATCACGGAAGTGCCACGTTGTCACCGGTTGCAATTTCGGCGGTGTTGCAGTGGTGGAGGTGTTTGTTTACAATTCATGGAAGCTTTGGCAGCTGGGAGTTGGAGCACCGCAACGACAGCTACACTTGCGTTCGCTCATACTTTTTGCCGGGGCTTCCAGCACCAGCGCTGGGATGGGAATGTTTGGCACATCACGCCGTTTTCCGTGACGTTGTTTGTTGCCACTTCGGGACAAAATTTGGTGTATGGGCGAGATAGGACATAAACCCGCTGTTTGAAGGCACGTTGCAGGCACCATAGTTTCGGCTATATTTGGGGAGGCATATTTGTTTGAACGGTTCGCTTTGTTTCACTCGGACAGGGTAAGCTTCGAGATAGGGCACAGCAGACCTTGATGCTAATGCGTGTTTCACATGCAGCGAGTGTCCTCCTAAAGCAGCGTGATTTACGCCGCCGCAATGCTTTGGTCAGCGGCAGAGCAGCGTGGTTCCAGAAGGTTGGAAATCTTTTGCAACGGCAGAGCGGCAGCATCTGTGCTGGCGGTTCACGGCGCGGCTGCAGCGGCTTCAAGGGGGTAGTGTAGTTACCGCATAGCCTCCACCATGCATCGGGAACGGCCGCTCCTTGGAAGACGGTGTAGGTGGCGCTTCGATCCGTAGCACCGTTAGGGTGCCTTCATCGGCGGCAGATAGCGGCACCCTAACACGCTTCATAACTAGTATAAAAACCTCAAGAACAATTATTTGTTTCCAGTGAACTTCCACGACATGATTTTTGTTTGAAGGTGAATAAAAATGTGAAACTAGCAGACGACAGTGTAGTCGACAGCTGCGAATCGGCCGGAGCTGGCCGGAGTCAAGCTGACCAAGCGGCTAAGCCGGAGCCATAGCCGAAATAACGGTGCTGCAAGCGCCAACGCCACCTGCGGCCGTCTTCCAACGCTGTGCCGCTTATGCGGCTTCGATCGTTACACTACCCCCTTTAAGCCACTGTAGCGCGGCGGAGAACCACGTGACAGGAGGAGAAGCCTCACGGGAAAGCTTGTGCATAGGGTGGCCCTTGCACGTTTTTCAAGCAGACGACATGCAGAGAAAGTGTGCAAGCGACTGATTTGCTGTTTTATTTTTTAATTTCCATTGGTGGGTTTCTAATGTTTTGCTTCAGCAGTCGCGTCAGAACTATTAGAGAAATTGGGGATGAGTGGTCACATCAGGACTGTTCAGGAAACGGGGTAGGGGATTGTTCTCCCCTTCCTCCAAATACTATCTTGCGAGGAGTGTCTGAAATGTTAGGGCATATCCTAGTTTGGGGCCGATTGCCTCTTGCTGCCCCCACTGTCCTGACACTGCTGACCTTGGAATTGTGCTTGCAAGGTCAAGTTCCCCTTTCTTCCTCTCTTTTTTAGTGCTTGAGAATTTCTTGCGTTGTCGTGTTTCACTGTCGTCGTGTTTCTTCTCCTTGTGGGCACACATTTCCTTGCATACCTCAACTTCGGGGGCGGCCAGATTTGTTGGAGTCTTTCCAACCAAGGTTTCACCCTGCACGACAACAAACTTTCAAAAGTAGATAAATAAATAAAACTGAATTCTTTTTATTGCGTTTAAAATCAATATTTTGTTTTAATAAAGTAAAACTAAAAACTAAACTGAAATCTAACGCATTCAGATTGTTATTAGAGACTGCTAAAATTCATTTCACACGTCCGCTTGCTGCAAGCGACGTTGGGCATTGCAGCGGCTATGTGGCGCAAGCTACCGCTCGATAGAAAGGGTACAGCTGCTAACATCCGTCCATTCATCCAGAAAACGCTTGCAGAGCTCTCGGACGACGCATGTGAAATGAAACCTCGCAATTTGTGCCGTGGCGCCGCTAGCAGTAGCAATTTCGGCCGCAGAACTGCTGCATGTGAAACGCTCATTACTGTGACGCCGAGTCGAGGTGCTCGCATTCAGGAAAAGCCACCATCTATGACTTCCCAATATTTGTTGTAAAGGGACTAGGCATTCACTTTATTTTAAACAACTGGTGCCCAGGATAGACTTCTTTACATTTGGGAAGCAGGGAACATTTGTCCTTTCTTAATTACTCGCTATTTGTTGAAAAAAAAAAAATATAGATGTTCTTTTTAAGGTCTCAACTTTTCTGGGCACTGCAACCACAACAAACGTGCTGGTAAAACATCCAGCAATATCTTCTGTGAAACACGCAGCAACTGAGGTGGTCCGTCGTGGGAGGCAGTGGACTGTGCTTGCAGATTGTTACGGCGTGTGCATTTGCTCAACACACTCGAGAAGCCGACCGACGAATTACTAGAGTGGTCTGGCACCTTTGGAGCTTTCAAACGACGCTAGTATGTAAGACGCGTCCGATGCTAAAGCGAGAGGGTGAAATACCACGAAGAGACTGGCAGAGGGTGGCTTGCAGGGCATTTTTCATGCTAGCCGAAGCAGAGGCCATAGTCCGCACTGGTTTTAAATCATTATGCGTTTATGCAAAGGAAAACAAGATTGTCCAGTAAGATTGCTATACTCACTGATAAAGTGAGAATGCCCCGCCTCTAGCACGAGCTCCGTGCCTTCCCCCATGCTTTGGCTACGCACGCATGCTCGAGACTCACGAGACGCCGAAGCATTGTCAAGGGTGGGAAGCTCACGCTGAAGGCGCGACAGTTCAAACTCCTGTTTGCCATTCTAACCTTGTCAGTAACTATTGCCGCTTGCCGGGCCGAACAAGCAACACTCGGTCACAGAATTCTAGAAGACTCGCGTTTATTCTTACTCGGGGCATAACTTTTATTATTTCATCCTAGCTTTTTGTTCTCGAAAGTGCTCGTTCATTCTCGCCCCAAGCGCGCAACGCTCGAAGCTTCTTTGTCAAATTTTCGAGATAGTCACACACACTAGATAAGGAGCTGCGCGAGACCTTGTCTAGTCAGTCTCGCTCTTGCTTCCTGTTTCGCCGCCAAATCGCCGCCCGCTTTTCTGCTGTCTCGACGCCTATTCTTTATTTTGTTTGGCACAAGTTTGCCAATTAGACCATTCTTTAAAAGTTTATTATTTATCATCTCTTCGCCTTACTCCGTGACACTATAGACAGAGAGTATGATCCTGGATAAGATTAAACTGTGTTGGCTGTGTGACAAAAGCCTGCCTGTTTGTAAGCTAGACGGAGTAGATCTTGGATGGGATTGGATTTATGCATTGACTAAGTGTTTCCGACTGGGCTCTGCACGCAGGCCTCTGTCGTGCCATTGGAGTGAGCAACTACGAGGTGGCTGACCTGGAGTCCCTGCTGGAGTCGTGCAGCGTGGTGCCCCACGCCAACCAGGTGGAGTGCCACCCGTACCACTTTCCCCAGGACCTGCTGGCATTCTGCGACCAGCACGGGATACAGTTCCAGGTGGGGGACGGGGCTGGAAACGGATGGAGGGAGGGATGCGCGCACTTGAACCCTTTCAAATGGGTGGCGGCTTGCGCCCCCTAGCCAGCATTTTGCAGAGGTAGCCATTAGTGCCCCTTTCGCATGAAATCCGGCATTGTTTTCCCATCTCCATCATCTCGATGGAGATAGGAAGAGAGTGTGGCGCTATATAATAGGAGGTGCAGTGGAAGAGATGTGGAAGAGAACATCTAGATTAATATGTGAAAGAGAGAGCAGGTTAGATGAGGCACAGAGGTGGAAAAAAAATGAATAGTGCTGTGTAAATCCACAGTAGTCACGGCGATAGCTGCGACACATAACAGAGAAGTCGTTGGGCATCGGTGTCACGTTCACGCACTATAAGGTCTCGATGGCCAAGTCTCTTGGCAGCAAAATCTCTTGGCTTCGTTCTCAGAAGCATACATCTCACTGTTTTTCCTGCGGCAAACAGCGAGATGTACCAGAGTCGCCGCCAATGCGTCTTTTGGAGTTCACAACAAGTGCTATGCTAGCATGCAGCAACACTCCTTTTACTGGCGACCAGTAAACCCGTGTCGGCGGCCGGTATTCAATACCGGGGGACTCGTGTTCACGTACAAGAAACCTGTACAATTTTACCTGTGACCGGTGTGAACCTGTATAGACCAGTAAAAAGTCGTACAGGTTTTTTCACTAGGAGACCAACAGCCAGGATCACAACATCCAACAGCAAAACATGCCGGCTTCTGTGACCTAATTTGTTGCCACTCAAGGACCACTTGCGATGCTTGGGCGATATACTAGACCTTTCCAGCTGCAGTCTCGAACGAAGCAATTTACAGCGCACGTCCCTGGTTTTGAGAGTGTACGTCAGTGTTTCCTGATTGCGGCGAGCTGTGGGTTTTCTCGTCAGTAGGCTGTGGCAGCCTGCGTAGGCACAATTCCGGACGCTGGTGGCGGCAAGATTGCCTTGCCTTATTTTTTGTTTTGTGTTTTATGGCGAAGAGAATTTCTCGGAGTTTTTAAGAAAGCATTGCATTATTTTTGGTAAAAAAAACAAACAAATGAAAGCCATTTTTGCCGAGTCCGTGCGCGACAGAACAAATTCAACTAGAATGTTTGTTTCACCCTATGTTGATCTTTTTAACGGCACCATACACTCCGCCGTGTCAATCTACTAAGGTTCTAACTGCCTCAAATATTTAGCCACACCACAGGATAGCCAAACTGCATTGGCATTCCCTGCTCACATGAAATTCAACGAGTCTCATCAGTCGAACATATTGCACGTACCCATGGTGCCGCGTTATCCGAACAGGATTTGAGAAAGCTCTCAAGTAACACAGCATATCCAAAATACAGTGTCGACGATAGTTACTTCACGACGATTGGACGGAATCCGGCTTGTCCTGGGGTACGTTTTGAAGAGTGATGCTTTTTTTCACAGCACTAAAGCAAATGAACGAATGTGTCTATTTAGTTCCCATACCTCATACCTTATCAGCTACTTCTTGCCAGGACCGGGAACATAGCCGCGAAGGCTTTCCGGAGATTATCTCAACGGAAATAATCCTCGCAGAACCTCGAACGGCCCGCTTTGCGGGCTGCTTGACGTTCGTTCTCTTCGCTCGTTTCTTGTGAAGGTCGAGCAGGCTACGAGCCCTGGCCCAGGTATTTCCTGGTTTTCACAGTGGAAGATAACACAAAACATGCAAGCATCCTGAACAGGCAAATAAAGTAAAAGCTTTCAAGGAAAGCCGGCGAACTCCGAATGCACAATGCAGGTGGGGAGTCGTGCTGGCCGGGTTTCCACAGCTCAGGCGGGTAGCAGAAATTTTTGGCCGATAGGGGTCGCTCGAGTCGCAAAATGGCGGTGGCCAGAGAGCTCTTTTTTGCAAAGGTCTTTAGGATTTGCTAAACACATTAGTTGGAGACACATTTCAGGCACAATACTTGTTGGAGGGGTCCTGCCAGGTTTATTTGCTTTCCTTGACTGTCTTTACGCAAGTGTCTGGCTGGACTTTGTCATAGATGTCCCTGCTGACTGCCAAGGTCTCTCCCACAGGGCTACTCCCCGCTGGGTAAAGGGAAGCTGATCCGGGATCCGGAGGTGCTCAGGGTTGCCCACAGCTGCGGGCGCACTCCGGCACAGGTGCTGGTGCGCTGGTCCATCCAGGTAGGCAACCCTGTGTGGACGCTGCCTGACATGCCCTGTCGCCTAGTGTTCTTAGATCTATCAATTGACAAGCTCCACAGAAAACTGCTGTTCGAAAATGGTCCTTCATTGTGGCCCGCCTGCTAGCCAGTATGGGCGGAACCGTTCCTATAGTCGGTGACAGGTCAAGGACGAAGTGGAAGCTCCTCCCACCTCTTTTTACTTTAGTAGTGCGAACACTGAAGGGGAGGCAACCTCCTCTCCACCGTTCGCTCCACTGAAGTGGAAAGGGGTGGGAGGAGCTTCCACTTCGTTCTTGACCTGTCACCGACCGTAGCGCCACCAGCGGCACCGCTTCCGCGGGTGACGGAGAAGGACCGTTTTCGAATGACACTTTTTGTGGACAAACTTCTACCCAAATTTTATTCTCACCATAGAAGGCACCCTCTTTCGCCCACAATGTGCGAAGAAGTAAAAGTGCAATGCAGGGAATTGTCGTCACGTACCTGAGGACAGAATTGCAAAGTGGTTAATGCACATCGCTGTTGTGGTTGGCATTGTGGATGTCACTAGTGGCATCCACAATGCCAACCACGACAGCAATGTACATCATGGATCACGGAGTGCTCCGTGATCGGTAAAGTAAGTGGGCAAGGCGAGACACTGGACACGCGTGTCAATGTTCTTCGTAAGTGTACAAGGTTGCTGGTGATGCCGACATGCACAGTCGGTGCGCCGACATTGGACACCACTCAGAGGTCCAATTCCGCCGCGACGAGGCTGCGGGACCACTTGTTCTTGCGGCCGCCAAGGTCGACGTTGAAGTCGCCAGTTACGATGAATGGTATGTAGTTCCGGCACAGATCGTGGAATTGGCAAAGCACGAAATCGGTCGGCACCATCCGTTGCGGGTTGGCCGCGTGGAAGGTACAGTCGTGTCTCGTTTATATGGACCGCAATAATCCGGATACTACGCTATATGGAAACCATTTTCGGAGACAAACTGGGAAAATACATATATTCTTGTTGCGTTGTTATAGACAACTCACATTGTGGACGGTTTTTTGGGGGAACGGAGGTGACCATATTAACGAGACATCACTGTATTTGCCCGCAGGGACCGCAAAAGCCAGCCGTTCCCTCCATAAACTCTCCAGGGATTATTTTCATCGTTCCCTCCACACTCGCTCCTGGGATGCAGTACGACCTTGACACGGTGACACCATTAGGAAGAGTGACATTCGGTGATGAGCAGAGAGGGGGACGCATAATCTTCTTTCTTCGCGCGGCGAGGCCACAGTATGCGCGACCAATGGGAACACGCGGCTTCTCTCTCCTTGCCCCATGAGGGTAGATAAGAAGGATTTTTCTATCCCCGCTGCGACGACAGACAGCAAGGAACGCCAACGCCAAAATCCCTGCATAGTGTCACCCATAAAGCTGTCGCGCTTTAAGAACCTCAATAGAATCATTTTCCAACACAGGCAATATGCATCCAACGTTTCTCTGGCTCTGTCACTTCTGTCCATATTATCTTGACTGATAGCACAGTGAGCACTGCCAAGAGGATGTACCACGAAAAGGTGCCAGGCACTTTAGGAAGCTTGCCAGCTTACTTTGCTCTAGTAGCATTGCTGCCGTCGGCTGTCATTGCGCAACCTTCCACGTGCAGCAAGCACTGTCTTTCTACTTTTGCAACCTCCGAGCAGTTCGGTGTGGGCTGTGTTTCGTGTCGGCGTAAACTAAAGCTGCGGATAAATCTTTCTTCCCGCGAGGCATTTTACAGCGAAGCTGTTATGCGCTAGGATCTGGGAAAAAATGTGTCCGCGGATGTTGACAGAAAACTCCCCATTGGTCGTGGCAAGTATGAATAAATAAAAATAAAAAAGAGGGCAACAAGTGTGAGTTAGACTTCCTTAGCATTATTAGATAGTGAGGCTCTGATCCCTTGTTATCATTTCTAGGCATTGCCCTCGAGGTTGACCTAGAAGTCGTCTGAGAGGTCATCCTCGAGGTCGTCCTAGACGTCGTCCGGAAGGTCGTCATAGGCATCATCCTTGAGGTCATCCTAAAAGTTGTCCTTGAGGTCGTCCTAGATGTCGTCCTCATGGTCGTCCTAGAAGTTGTCCGAGAGGCCGTCCTCAAGGCGTCGCCCTCGAGGTCGTCCTAGAAGTCGTCCTTGAGGCCATCCTAGACGTCGTCTTCGAGGTCGTCTTCTAGGCGTTGTCCTAGAAGTCATCCTGGAGGTCGTCCTAGACGTCCCCCTCTAGGCGGCGTCCTTGCGGTGTCGTCATTGAGGTCGTCCTAGAAGTCGTCCTGGACGTCTTAAAATAACAGCTTCGCTGGTCCTCCATCTTCACGTGAAGTGGAAGGGCTCTACAATTTCTTTATTATTCATAGGCCTTTTCAATTCAGAGTTTTTTTTTTTGGTTTCCCAGATTTTGATAATGCCAGCTGCGAGTGAATTTTCGGGGTTTACGAGTACCGTAAGTTCCGAAAGGACGCCCACCCAAAATGAAAGCATAAATGGTGAAAAACATGGGGTGGGCTATCTTTGGAAATGCCACAGCAAAACTTTATAAAAAAAAATTTATGATAAACACTAGGGCATTCGATAAAAACCACATGTTACGGGAACTGATACTCCAGATTGCGGAAACCGTAAATTCGCGTTTCACGATGCGATACACACGGGAATTTGCTACAAACTCCTGTGTCACGGGAAAGGATACTGCAGGTTGCGAACGTAGCAGATTCGCGTTTTACCATGCGAAGGACCCGCGGAAGTCCACCGAGAACTCTCATCTCACGGGAACAAACACCACAAATCGCGGACGTAGCAGATTCAAGTTTTATGGTGCAATAAACATGCGGAACCCGCAACAAATGTGCCTGTCACGGGAGCCGACACCGCGCGCAGATCGCGGACCAAAACGTGGGAATCCACTACAAACTCTCGTGTCACGGGAATGGAAACCACAAATCGCGGACGGAGCAGGTTGGCATTTCACGATGCAATTTACTCGCGGGAACCCGCTACGAATTTGCTTATCAGACGTACGGTACAGCAGACCTCGCGGCAAATGCGATTCCTGACGGACATCGTATGACGTCCCACGGGAATGGGGGGGTGGACGTTGTTTCGGAATTTTCATGTTAAAGATATTTAGCCAGAAAAACAGGATGGGCAATCTCTCGGGGCCAGGTGTTCTCTGGGAACTTTACGGTGTGTACCGAAAACGCGGAGCCCTAGTGACCTGAAATGCTGGCGTGTGAAGCAGACTGGCTATTCAAGTATTGCGATCTCTCCGACATTCCAAAATAGACTTTGAACGGGATGTTTATGCGATGATTCGCTTTCTAGATGACCTTTCTTCTACGTCGATAGGATGCGATGTGCACTTTACGCACGAGCCCGCTCAGTCTTCATCTCTTTGTTGCAGAACAACGTTGTTGCCATTCCAAAGTCCACCAAGAAGTACAGGGTCAAGGAGAACTCTCAAGTAAGTGACACAGCGACATAGACTCGCGTCTTCTACAGTCAAACCCGTTTATAACGAACAGCAGGAAACACTACGATTAGTTCGAAATAGCAAGTAGTTCGATATAGCGAAAAACATTTACAACAAACTTCCTCGATGAGTTCGTTGTAAGGCGAGAGCTTCTCTTTCTTTCTCATCTCTTCACTTCCGCCTTGTTACAACGCGCTAAAAAGTTCTTTTTTGCATGCGTGCAGAGATGTTTTTCTTCAGCTTATCTCCCTTTCTGAATTTCTTTTCTTCGGGGGCAAACGCTTTGGGGTGAAAAGTTTTTGTTTTCTGTGCGTGCGTGTTAAGTGTATTTTTTTAGCTTTCTCCCCCTCCTGAATCACTTCTCTTCGCTCAATTTTGTTCGCAACTTGAGCTTTTTGAAATCTTTTTCTTTCCTACTTCCTTTTTGGGGAAAGGGACAGGCTATAAGACGATTGTTTGTGCATTTTTGGAAGCCTTCCCAGAGTGAGAAAGTTCGATATAGCCAATATGTTGTTCGTTATAAAACATACTTTTTCCGTGCATTTTTATTTAAACTTTCCGTGAGTTCGATATCGACAATAATTCGCTATACGTGGCTTTGTTCTAAACGGGTTTTACTGTAGACAGGTTGCGATTAGCGCCGCTAGATAAGCTATGTTTAGAGTATCGGCTCACCACTTACCGATTTTCTTGCGGGCGCCACCACCTTGGTGCTTGGTTCAGAGCGGGCTCAACTACGCGATTCGAAAATGCAATATCTCGAGCTTTTAGATACGGTGTCACGAAGCTAGGGCGATGTCGTCTTGCTCTGTAGCGGACAGTTTTAACGCTTTTTTGCCTCCAGAAGCGTTAGTTTTAACGCTTCTGGAGGACGGAAAAGCGTTTCTGGATAAGGCTTTAAATAACTCGCAACCATGATTTTGAAGGGAAACACTGCTTCTAGAGCTTTTTTTTTTTGTTTTTTTTTTTTTCATGTAAATAGTGATTTAATTCAAATGAAATTTCATAGCCTATCTACCTTTACAGTCTGACTACAAATGTGTGCTTGGTTTCGATGTAATTAGGTTTGTTAATATTGATTATGAGAAGAATTAAGACAAATTGATATACTGAAATCAGAAAATGAACATTTCACAGTAAACTGAAAGGTCTGTGGGATTCAACAAGGTAGTATATATGAAAGCTTTAGTATGATTCACAGGTTTTTTTTATGGAACTAGAATTTTTCCCTTTCAACATTATTTATAGCGGGAAGTATAAAATGCATCTATAAAAACCCCGATGCCGTATTTAGCATGTTTTATTCTCTTATTGGATATTTTGCACATACTCCTACCAGGAAAGAAAAAATGATGAAGGTTGGATGTGTTCAAGTCGAGATATGGCTTCCATAAAATAGCAAAGTGTGTAAATAAAATTCCTTCTGAAATAATTTTACTGTGTTTTCAATCCAATATTTTAAAATAAAAGACTTCATTCACGAAAATACTTTAGGGCAAGATAATAAGTGCCTAGCTGTCAATCTTCAAAAACACAAATTAAAAAAAAAAAAGAAAAAGAAATTTGCCTTAATGAGCTGTTTTTTTTTTGTTTTTTTTTTTGTTGAAACACTGTTTTGGCAATTTTTTAAATTATATTTTGATGAATCCCAATGGAAACTGCACAAGTTTGTTTAGTTTTTTTAGTTGATATCAAATATCTGCTCATTTTGTCGATCAGATTTGTATTCGAGATAATTCAAACTCGCCACCTTTGTTGGCAAGAACATTGGGAAGGAACTGCTGAACAAAAAATTATGTTTTACCTCATGACTATATACTGCAAAGTATAAAGAATACAATTTTGGAACTACTTTTGAGATTGAACAATTATTAGTGTTTTTACAACACATTGAAGTTCAGTTTGTAATGTGTGACTACCAAGTAATAGAACAATAGAACCTATAGTGGAAGATTCTGCTTTCAACATTGTATGTTCTGCACATTTAGCTACATGTTGCAAAAAAAATTATATTTGTATCTGCCCTAAATGCTGGGCAAATAGAAATATAAATTTCTATCTGCCCAGCAAATTTTTAAAGAGTAAATATTATGTGTTTGAGAAAGCGGCATTGTCACGTCGTCTTCCAAACACAAACACGGAACTTGGCAGATCAGAAGAAAAATTGCAGTAGACTTACAAAATCGCCTATTCCCAAAATATGCTGCTTTAGGAATTTTTTGGCCGCCAAAGATCCGTGTCTTCCCGCCTAGGCACCAAGATGGCTGCCGTGTCGGTACTCTGAAGTGTGACTTACTTAGTGGCTGTTGTAGTGGTGAAGTGCAACAATGCACCGGATCTTTCGCTCACGAAAGGATTTCTTTCTTCGCAGGTTTTCGACTTCAAGCTCTCTGCGGAAGACATGGAATCCCTGAATAGGCTCCACAGGGACCTCAAGTATGTGCAGCGGTGCGGCATTCAGCAGAAGATAGACTCTGACCTCCCGGACGGCTACAAGCTGCAGCTGCCCAATGCACACGACCAGCGCCTCAGTGTCCGTAACTACAGCTGATGACGGACCGTCCTAGACGGTCCGTCATGAGCTCTAGTTATCTCGGTCTAGTTCAAATGTCTCCCTCTTCCGAGCGTTTTTCTGTCGTAGAACCGGTTGCACGAATGCTTACGCAGACAGCGGTCTCTAACTTGCCACAAAGTCGCCTTTACGGTGTAGCATTTAGGGTGTCGCATTTTATTAACTAACAATTCTGCCATACAGAGTTCAAATAGGCTTAACCGGCAATGGAGGTTTGTGTAGCTGCCACGAAATGCTAAGACTAGGATAACTTAACATCCTTCTATTTGGGGTGTTGACATTCTTTGTAGTACCCGATGCCGACAGCACGTGCTCGCAGGGAAGATGCGAAGAAATAGCCGGAAACAAAATGTCCTCGTAGCATAGTCAATGCCAAAAGCTCGTGCCAGGAGATGCTGTTTGATGCACTTCAAAGCAAAAAAAAAAAAAAAAAAAGCATTCAGAGCAAAATGGTGTTTCCAGACGGGGGTGGGCCAGTGTATCAGATATTTGAGAAGTCCCTCCCCCTCCCCTTTTTCCCGCCCCAAAATTTTACACATGCTGAATTTAAGGGGGGGGGGGGGGGGGGGGTCAGGGCATTTGCACTTCCCTTCTGGATCCGCCACTGGTCACCACCTTAAGCAAAGTGTACATGAAGGTACCCTAACTAAGAGTATTTTGCTTTAGACTCCATTTATGGCAGAAATGTTCAATGATAACAATTGAGATAAGGCTCCAGGTTTAGATTTTGTTTTTGGGGAAACCCAGGGGGGTCTTTTTGGACTTTACTTTTCGTAGCAAGTTTGGCATTTGTGCGAGTTTACTGCTGTTAAATATTGAAAATTAAAAACAAAAACGTCCCCTATCAAAGATTATTTTTGCTATAAATATTTCCAGTTCTCCAAATTTACAAATAAAAAAAGAAATATTGTTGACACATAAACATACACAAAAAAGTGATATTTTTATTGTAGCTGCTGGATATGGCTTCCACTGTTCAACCCATCAATCCGTGCTTGATTTTGCCTTTAAACTGCTAGCAGGCCTGCTGAAGGGTAAACACACTTGGCGTAACAATACAAACGAAAGAGAAAAGCTAACGACAGCATTATCTACCAGGTGCTTATCAGTGGAGCACTTTTCGTAAACGTTTTAAAAGCAGCGAAAAGATTGATGTCAATTTTATTTAACTTGTCACACATAAGGTCCATCAGAGTCAATGGAGTGTCAGATTGTAGGTTAGATGGAACAGAATCATACTTGCTAGAAGGGGAGAGTCAATAACAGTTCTGAGCACCTCGTACGAGAACACCATATTGCACGCTGATCGTTCCCAGAAAAACACAATATGAAAAATTTTAGCCACACGATTAAAATCAACTCTTAGTCTGATATGGTGATTGGCTGAACATTGTTGCACAGATTCTAAGCTGAGCATTTGACTTACACCTAGGGAATTCCATGCAGCCAAAGGACATTCCATTCTCTGTAAATTTTACGAGCGAAATAGGTGAAGCACTATGCACAGGAATAAATGTGCGAGCTTTGAGTATTATATGACATTATGCCTAGTAAACATAGAGAATCTTGGAAACATAGAGAATCTTGGCTAACTTGACAAACGGGAGCACCGAAATTCGGGCATAAATCAAACAAGTCACAAAGGAAGACCTTAATATGTTGGAGCCATCGAATCCATGCAGCCTTGTACGGAAAAGAAATTACCTTGGTTTTTTAGGGATTTAAAGGCGTACATTTGCACGACACTACCAAAGGCGAATAGCATCAGTGTCGCAATGCCACAGCTTGCAGTCGTGCAAATACTGCGATAATGTTTTGTGTCATCGTGAAATTGGAGCATTTCTCGGCTGGTGACGCTAGATGCAAGGTCATTGACAAAAAGATTAAAAATCACCGGCACAACTTTTGTGTCACTCTGGATTTTAAAAGGAAAGGACACCATATTCAAGCAGTTACTGAGGTAGCTGGCAAAGGAATTGCAAAAGCCCAAAGACCTAGATGAGGTAGACTCATTAGCAGTAGATTGTGGTTTGTCTCCGAGGCCAAATGCCTTCTACCAGTCAAAATAAACTGCATCAACCTGCCCTCGGGAGCCAACTAAAGGCTTTACAAACTCTAAAGAAGCTTAAAAAATAAATTTTTCAAAGATCTTGGAAAATGCAGAGAGCATTGCAATTGGTCCGCAATTGTCGAGACGCAAGGCACTTTCACAACTGTGTGCACACTGGCAGAATCACAGCTATCTTCCATGCCAAAAGCATGGCAGACATACCTCCTGGGAAAATGCTATTTTAGAGCCATTGCTCTCCAGAAACAATATAAAAACCGCCATGAGAACACCACTTCCTCTTGGTAAGGGACACACATAGTTAAGTAGCTGGAACAGAGGATAGTGCAATCGCATATCCATTAGATTGACTTCTTTCGTGAGCGTTGTTTTGAACAAACGCTGGAGGTCAGCCCCTTCTGTTAGTCGACCGAGGCTAGAAAGTAGACTGAGGTGGCCTCAGCTCGGGACTGCTGATCCGACGCTTTACCAAAGCCAATGTCAAGTAACCCAGTTCTTTTTTTTTTTTTTGTGGTCTTGACATAATTTGTATTGATTGGAAATTCTGCTGGCAGGTGTATGTTTTCAGCTTTATCCGAAAACTCGAAATCCTACCTCGAGTACACACAAGCTAAAGGCACCTTGGCAAGTTACACATCGCTGCAGCCATCCAGCAGTCGATGTCATTTATTGTGTGTGTAGCATTCAAGAACTCTGTAGATTTCCATTTTCGTGCCATTTGTGACCTGTCGTTGACCCGTTGAACAATCGCCTCCACCACATTTTGTTTCGTATGCTAATGACGTCACTGTGATTTCTTTTTGTTGTAGCGCTACTTAGAAATGAGCAATCCTCTACTTTTTTTTTGTTGGTGGAGGCAGTGTTTACCCATTATCTGCTATTTATTGTCAAGGACACTGAATCTGTATTCTACCCAGTTATGCTACAAAAAGTACCCCCCATGCAATATGTGGAAACTCTTAGCACAGTGCTTTGGTTATTCACTGTGGGCATGTTGCAGTCGCTATTTCGTCTTCTAGAAAGAACCTTCAGTTGCTCCAAAACTTCTTCCTTAGACTTACATTCCTCGTAACGGTTAACATTTGCCTGAAATCTTCTTAAGACTTTAAATTAAACTGGTCTGTGGTTTCTCTGATTGCAAATTCCTTTACTGATGGTCATTGCGCATGCTTTTTTCGTCACTCATTTCGGAATGTACCTGAATTAGCTATGACTGCTAGTCTTTGCCAGACTTCATTTTTTATCCCTCTTGACGTTTACGAAAAGATAGACTGTGGATTTCTTAGTATGTAGCCCTTTTTTTTTTTTTATCCTGCAACTGTCAGAAAGGTCACCAGGATTTTTTTGTAGTTTTGGTAGGAAAGCTTATTTTTGTTCTTTTTTTGACCGAGTGAATGTTGCTCCTTGTGATTTGTAATAAGGATGTTAAAGTGTGGGGTGCATGCGATATCGGTATTCTGACTTGCCAGAATCCAGTCTGAAATGAAAAAGATTGCTGGCATTACGAAGTGTAAACACTTATGTCTAGTCGTCGAAACACTGTGGCACTATGCCCAAGGACAACATTCTGTGCCTATGCAATCAAAGCTAATGGTGCACGTGCGCTTGAGCGCCCATCAAAACTGTGCACATGCATTCTTCACTTCTGAAATGCAACAGAAAGTTGTCCACGCGCGTATAGTGGGAAAGTCGGGCGATTGCTGTCTGGCACTGTTTTGCTGCCAATGCAGACAGAAATTAATTCTTTATAATTAGGTTTACCTTGAGAAACATCTGCTATACCAATACAGAACCAAAGGGCTGTTCTTCTGGTTTGGCCTAAACCCTAACGCCAACTGACAAAAACTGTAAAAGCCTGCCTTCTGTGTGTGGCAGAGTATACAGAAAATTGCAACACAATGCGTAGAAACACCATGTCACACTTTTTGTCTTTAGCAAAAAACGGCCGTATTAAAAATTTAACCACCTTTTTGGTAGAATGTACATCTAGATTTCGGTTAAGAGTGCAACCGTATTACAGTCGACATTTTACAACTAAGCCAAGTGGCTCACTAAAATGATAGCACCATAAAATTCATGTTTTCTTGTTTTTTTCATTTTTTTGCAGCGAGCCGAAATGTTTTATCTATGTATATATGTGGCAGCTAATATCTAGCCGACCCAGTGTACATGGAAAAGGACGAAGTGATTTACTCCAAGAATTACTTTTCCAATTTGCAAGTAAGCGATATCGGCAGTCGGTGTCTAGTCATTATACAGGTTAATATTTTTTAATGAAAACAGAATTTTTAAAGAGTGCAAACTGTTAGCTGAATGCCATCTTTGCAGTTCGTTTCTCGAGCACAGTCGATATTAGTTGAGCGAGTAATTTTCGTGGTAAGTTGGCTAATTTAATAAAATCTGATATCTTTTTCATGATTGGTTTTACGGGTCATGTTGCAAGTAACTGGCCACTTATAGTAATTACCGTCATTTCTGCAATCGCAACATGACCCATAAAACCAGTCATTAAAAAATTAAAATTTTAGTTAATTAACCAACTTACCACGCCGATTATTCCCTCGGCTAATGTCTGCCGAACTCGAGAACACCTAGCGAAGATGGAATTAAACTAACAGATTGCACTCCTTTTTTTTTAAATTTTGATTTCATTAAAACATGTTACCCTTTATGTGGTCCACGAGTCATTGTGCAGCATCTATCCATAGTGATTGTTTGAAGTGCCTGTGATGAAATGATGAAAATGTCTCCCTGTAAGCCATACTCACAAGTCTGCCGCATGTGTTTGTGCCCATAAGATATGTTGTACTGCTTTGCAAACCAGCGGTTTGCTTCCAGAGTATGTTCCTAACAAATATCTGCGGTGCTCGAAAACGTGATACGCTCAGTTTTGACCTTGAGTCATGCCACAACGCATGCTTAAGTTTCTTGGCTTTTATTATTTTCCCAGACCATGCTTGTACCTGCAAGGATGCTCTGTAAACTGAAGAAACCACACTGGGCTTAGAAACAGTGAACTTTAAGTAAAAATAAAAAACAACGGCAATCTTAGTTGCACATCTCGTAAAATGGAATCCCCCGGAATTTTGCACCGTTGTAAAGGTTCAAACTGGCAGAAATAAAGCATTCTTCGTTTATTTTGGCCACAACCGTCGCACGAGTCTTCAGTCTTGCACGCTGGTTAGACGACCTCTTCGTCTCGGTGGATACCAAAAACACTGGTGTATTTACAAGACCGACGAACAAAAGCCATCGGGAGATCAGGATCCAAAAAATCTGGGAAGACAAGAAAAAAACAACAACAGTGAGACAAAGAAACACTTGAATAAAAGTGCAATCTGCTGAGGCCTCCCTGAGCTTACTGACTCTGAGTGCGTACAAAGCAGGGGGGGTACCACGCCATAGAGGCCACCAGTGCAGCTTCGTTGAGTGTCTCACGTCATGCTGCAGCGAGCAATGTGTTTGCTCTTATTATATTTTAAAGCGATAGCTTCGTAAGAGGACCCTACCTTCTTCGCTCACGCTGGCCATACCCTATCGAGCGAGACCACGAAAGAGAGTGTCGGCAGCAAGGCGCCAATAAGCTGCTGAAACTCTCTTCCCGTGGCTTGATGCTGTGGCTGACTTTCTGGGGTAAGCGGTGCACTAACACTATTTCATATTATCGAGTAGAATGACGTAGTAGGCGTGGAGGGCATTTCATGGTCAAATTGTGCGAGTGACGACATTTCAAAGAGAATGATGCAAAGCTCCAAAAGAGAGGTGCATGGACGAAGAAGAAGGAAATCCTTTATATATTCGCAACTCCTTTGACACGTGTCCCATTGCAAGCTACTCCGATGGCAAGCGCTGGTCGTTAAAAACTTCATCAAGTATCGTTTTGGTTTAGGGAGTGATACAAAGACGTTCCTTGCAATCATTTCACAATATTAAAAATGTGGATTCTTGGGTATTGAATGCCTCGATACTTTGTTTCACCATGAGTCAAAGTGCAGTCGAAGACTAAGAATATTTGAATCAGGACACAATCGTACCAAAAGTGGAAGGCGACGGTATGTTCGCTGCGCCCGATTGGCCTAGCGGATCGTAACACGTGCAAAGAAAGGTGACGGCTGCTGCGAGGTTTCGTTTTTGTCACTGCTCGACTGGCCCCATCAGCTTGTAGCGTCGGCTGCGCTTTGACATGAGATGAAAGCAAGTGTAAAGCTAGCTTTAGTTTCGTATATAGAAGGGATGGCTCGGAGAAAACGGTGGCAAGTATCTCTAGCTAAGGCTCATACTTGTAGGCATTAAAGTAGCACTGTTGTATAAAGTGCACTGACAAAAATTTTGGAAACAAATGTGACTCATACATCAGAAAATATGGTACTCGCTTGGGCAAAGTGAAACTTACACGAGCATCAGGAACATGATAAAGATGTTCCAGAGTCCGATGAAAGCCCGGAAGTAACGCATGGCTCCCAGGAAATCTCGGATTTTGTCACCTGTGAAAAGATGCGAGCCGTATGGCCTGGAGGGATCCTCGGATCTGCTGGAGGGCTTACCCGCCGTTGGTTCCGTCTTCTCGACGAAACTTTCGCTCGGAGTCTTCTGCCTGAGAGGATCGCAAATGCACGCATCAGTTTCTATGTTTCAAATTAAAAGGGTAATCCCGAGGTTTTGATGCTCAACGAGTTGAAGGGCTGAGACGCCCAAAGAAAGTGTGATGCGGCATCAAAAAACCACGCCGCACGCCCACCAAATTTAGCAAGTTTACTACATCCCGCTAAATTTGGCGGATAGTGTTCATTTGATGGTCATCGCGCGACGCCAAGACTTGACATTCTGAAGTTACGTGTTGGTGGTCGTGCCATGGGACACAATGACGCCGCGGTGTCGTGCAACGCTGCGTCACACGACACCGTGTCTGTGTCACACTAAGCCGGTGCAGCTCATACCACCCTGCACATCATCTGTTTCTTGCTTAACCCATAGGTTTAAGGTACACTAATGTTTTTTTTTTTAAATGAATTACTATTTGTTTTCTATGTGGCCCCTCTTTCTTTCTCACAATTTTGGGTCAACTATTTCCTCCCAAAATATTGCGCGTCAGAATCAGCATAAATGACCGCTGTCAGAACTCGTGCCAAGAACTGGGGAGAGTGGTGGGTCTATTTATTGGACTTCAAGTCATCTGTTCCGATCTGAACTCTGTCTGGAATGCCTTTGTTATGTGTCGTGAACTTAACTGGAAATCGCTTCAATGTTCCTTTCAAGGAAACAATCTGCATGAGTGCTTTGCAAGAAGAGCCACTTACAGCTTGAAGTTGAGTACAGCTCCGGCATTTACCATCAGCGTTCTAGAATGGAAACATCATAAATGATACATTAGTACTATTCAGCGTTGTGGTATGCAAATGTCCGATTCTTGGAGGTTGACACCAATGCGCCAGGGATTTATACAGACCGACCCCCGACCCTCCTCAACATACCCCCAGGGTAAGCCCAATATCTCCCAAGAATTTCCTACACAGTACACTAACCTGACATACACTTCCACTTTGTTCCCCCTCCCCCCCACCCCCAATTAACAATCCTTGATAAACCATACAAGAACTAAAGAAACTCTAATTTGCCAGAGGCTTATTGCAGAGGAGGTACTGTGCAGGTGAGAGAATTTGCCTGTAAGTTGAAAGGTTTCCAGGTGGTCTGCAGAAATTCTCGATACTTTAACAGTGCGTGCCAAGCGCCCTTCGGTTTGGCAGATAAAATCCACAAATTTACGCAACAAAATAATGCTTAAAAAAATGCACTGTGTCGAGAGCACTATACTAATGGGGCAGTATTGCTTCGGTGAAACACGTTTCGTGGAATGCGTCTCGTGGGCAAATTTTCAGAGACGCTCGTTTTGTCTGTATACTGGCATTTCTTGGAAACCAATTATGTAGACACACGCTCCTGCAACATTGCATTGACAGCATTTTTTTTTTTACTAAGTGCAAAATCAATTTTGGAATCCACTAAAGGCTAGTTCATGCTTCACTGAGGCATGTTTGTTTACCTAAGGCTCAGGGCCCTTTGCTCTTTCCACCCATAAGCCAGGGGAGATGCAAAAAGTTAGTTGTAAAAGTAGCAGGGTCGCATTTGACGAAACGTTGTAAGGTGTATCAGTGAAACAAGCACAAGATGCCTTTCAACGAAACGCACTGTCGATGAATCGTCGTTTGACAAGCTGATTTCCACTGGGTATCAGTGCACCGTCTTTAAAGTTGCACCACCTGCAACATTTTTTTCTCCAGTTCTTTCTCTTCCTTCCCAGAATCTTCTTTTTTTTAGTAGGTACTTGTTGAGTCGTCTCGTCCTTCAGCTTATGTTCATTTAGTACCAAGGCTCTTTCTTTAACTCTTACTGCAGTCTTCTCTTTCCCTTTAACCTCATCCTCCAGCTCCAAGTTCGGCTTCTTTTCCTTGTCAATCACAGTGCTCCTCATGTCTTTCTTTTTGCCCTCTATTGAAACGTCACTTCCAAGTTGTTGTCGGTCCCATTTCCTGGGCACGTACCGTCTGCCCATTTTGAGCAAGAAAACCCATTGCCTTTTGCTCAGCAGAGCTTCCGTGAAAAGGGAATGGATAAAATGGCATATGCTGAGCTGACTTAGAGTGAAATGAGTTTACCAAGAGAATGGTTTCAGGTAACAGTTTACTAAGTTCACCGAGAGAATGGTTTCATGTATGGTAACTGTTCACCTTATTCACCACAAGGATAGTTTCAAGTAACTGTTCTCCATTTTCCCCACTCCCGGCCATCAGAGCTGTGCCAGCCTCGTGCCATTAGAGTGATGGCACTCCAGACAACTGCTACACAAGCCGCCTTGCAGTGGCACGAGCAATCTCAGCACATCTTATTCACAGATATACTGTCCCAGCACTGGTGTGTGAAGCACTTGAATGCGCCGTCGGTAGGACTATGGCTTCCTATACTCGGCATTGATTGTTTTGTGCTACGTTGTCAAGGCTAGCATAACTCTAACAAAGCTAGTTGCGCAAACGCATGCAAGCGAGACTCAAGACAAAGCCACGTTCTTGCAGCAGTGCGGTACTATGGGAGCCACACCATCCTTGACAACGTAACACAAAATAGATGAAGGTGATTGCACGATGCCCGCCGCAGAGCGTGAACCTCGCGAGAGGCTGCACTCGCTGCCATGCAGTTGGACAGTGGCTATGCAGGTAAATTTGCATTCCACAAGGGAGGAAGAATGCACAGGAATTCCACATGCTTAATACCTGCTTTGTTCATCTGCTGCTCACTTGGTGAAAAAGTAAAGAGGGTGGAACCAGTGCTTGCTCATTTGAACCTTTCATTGGTGTTCCCATTTGTCTGGCTTGCATTCGAGTGATCCTTGTTGGTGATGGTCCCTCAGAGACAGAGGTGGACGAGTTCCACTCCGCTTTACTGAAAGGCTATGAACACGGTGACCTTCTTTGTGACAGTTTTTCCCCTTTGGCTGCCTGCTGCGACGAGGTAGCTTGTGAAGCTTACTAATAAGCTGCGTCGGCATATGTGAGCTGGGCACTGTGATATGCTCTAACCTAATTCGTTGAAGTGAGTTGGCTGTGTTGGCGGCAGTATGTTTGTCGCTGGTTTACTTTCTCGCTTGTTGAGACCTGCGATTCCGTCGAAAGAACTGTGTCGAGATATTATTTCGTTTTTCTTCACCCTCAGTTTTGGCTGTCAGCAGGGCTTGAACTGACCGAGAGGATGTCACGGGTATATGTCGCAAAGACTCGATCGTACGCTCCTAACTTTGTCGGTCTGTGACCACGTCGTGCGTAAATTTTGTTTCCGTACCCAACAGTTTCACCCAGGATGGATTGTTTGGAGCTGTTCATACGGAGCTCATGGGGGTTAGACAAAACGACAAAAGGTCTTGATACCACATAGCTCTGTTTCGAAGCATATCGTACGACAGTTTAACCGTCCCGTCGTTCGTACGTGTCTTGTGCGTCGTCCCGAAGCAGTAAAATGATATAACGTCCTGACTTACCCAAACAATATAATGTCGGATATCATTTTGGCCTCGGATCACAATAAATTATAGACGGACAATGCTTTCGTACAGTTAAACAGCAACGATAAAGGTCCCAACACGACACAGACGAAACGACGACGATCCAAGACTGTGCGACTGTGCAGAGCGACTGTGCTGCTGCTCCAAGCACTCCAAGTATCCAACGCTTCGTCCAGATGGTCAGGCTAGTTCATAAGTGGATAAATAAATATAACTAAATTCTCTTAATTAGGCGGCATTTTGCGTCACCTGGTGAGTATTTTTTGTTAATATTTTAGTGCTAAAAGTTACGAAACCTTTCTGCCCTATGGGTCAAGGAAAATAAAATGTTTTTCTTTCATAAGTAATGGATCAAGGAGCTCGTAAAGTGATGCACAGGGGCAACCCACTCGCCAAAGTGAATCGCAAGATCAACCAGATAAACAGATAAAGAAAGTGCAGAAGTGCATTGGGTTAGCGACTAGAATAGCCATTGGTATCCAATCCAATCCAACTGTATTTTTCAGATTGGGTGTCTGCTGCCCGCGGTAATATGAGTTTGGACAGGTCGGATTTACTACTAATTCAAGTTAATTGATTGCCATCGTTGTTCGCTCCGGTCTCCCGGTGGACCACCAAAGAGCCGCTTGGAGTGCGCGGGTCGACTCAAACAGATAGAAACGGCGAGGAGTTCAGGGATGCGATGAAAGTAAGTCGAGCGCCCCTTGAGCGGTACACCATATTCTGGGTGTTGCTGAGTTGCTGCCGTTCCCGCAGGCAGCGGCGGCATGGGTGATGCCCGAAAACGGCCTCTTTCTGGAGCCTCCCGGTGCTGTGAGGGCGGCGAAGAAGAAACGGGGGCCCCCCGAGGAGGACCGTCCGCGAGCGCCCGACGCCGGCTCCTGGGCACGCAGCTTCGCGCCCAGGGACAGAGTGAGTGATCGAATGCCTAGGTTTGGGAGTATTTACAACTGCTCGATCGTTGTTTTTATAGGCAGCATTTGCGATACAAGGTATGAGAAGGAGGCGAAAGCAAATTCTTCATTTTATTCTGTTTCAGGTTAAGAAAAGCGGGACAGGCCCCTCTCCATAAAGCCCTTCACTCTTTCCACTTAAATAGAGCAAATGCTGGAGAGGAGGCGGGTCCACTCGCCTCCTCTCAATCATTTGCTCTGCTAACTTCAACCACTGATCTCTATGGCAGTTTGCTGGATCGCGCTTCTCCACTAGGTCACTGCAGCCTTTGCTGCAGCGCGATTGTGGCCACCAAAAGTTCCGCGTCAACCATTTTAGGTCACCAGGAAGTTAGTTGGGCGAAGCGTTGCAGAGGCTGGGTGGCAGCTTGCTGGAGGACACGTTTTCGGCATGTTCGCTGTCATTCGCCAAAGAAGTTTCCCAAAAACTTTTTAAACAGCCGCAGTTGCTTTTGAGATACACTGAGAAATTTTGATGAAAGCGCAGTACCGCAAAAAGAGGACACAACTTGTCGAACACAATTCTCACGGCATGATCAAAGGGCATGCCTTGGCACGCCGAAGTGTTGCGTCTCTGCCTTCGCACGCTTGGATACCGATCAAGAATCGACGCCTGGTGAAGGGGAGGTGCTGCAATTTCACAAACTAATATTGAGTCTGTTTCACACACACTGGAACTCTGCGAGTTCTCTCCCAAAATGCGTCGCATTCGCGTGGTACCGCACGAAAAATCGGTCCTGAACGAACCTGTCGAGTGCAAACTGATGCTGTTGCCATCTACGTTCTGGTAAGAGTACCGACCTCAAACCGAAACTAGCAGCCCGGTATCGAAATGACAGGCGAGAACGTGAGACAGTGCGGTTGTGTTTATATTTGCGATGACTTAATTCAATTGCTGTGGAAATATTTACAAATGACATATATTTCCACCACAAGCTGACAAGAAAACAACTGTAAGAAATAACGAAAGTCGAGCAATCTTTCAATTCTTATAACTGTTTACACCGGAGAAACCGCCATTACTACTAATCATGCAGACGCTTAATCAGTTTTAAGCGTGAATGACAGAGAGGATTCAGTTTCAAACTAGTCCATTGAAATCTCCAGCAATACATTTCACGGCACCTTCAATTTCGATTCTTGGTTGGATACTGCTGGGTCCGCTTTTATTTCTAATGAGAGCGGTGAGATTGGAGAGCTTTCTCAAATAGAAATCAAGGGTGCAAAACAACTGGTGTAGGTAAATGTTAAGCATTGGAATTTTTTTCAGCCTGGGTTAAAACCACTGTGTTTAGTTTCTCGGCTGCTAATTGGATGCATTGCAAGTTCTGCTGGGAGAGGTTTATCGACAAATGTCGTTTGCCCGTACGTGAGTCCACAATCGGCCGTATTTTGGTGACAACTTTTCACCCGTACGCCCGTGAGAGAGCTCTTGCGTCCGCTGATGCGTTTGTCTCGAACATTCATTCGTCGGTAGATTTCAGCAAGTGTACGGCAGCAAAACGACTCAAAACTTACAAACGTAGGGGTTGTCAATTGCTTTCTTCATGAAATAGCAGAAAGTCACAATTCAAGCTCACGTTTGATCCTGCCTCTTATGGGACACGATTTCTAGCACGAAATTCACTGTTTTTGCGATTCAGCTTCGTGCGAATGGCACTTCATAGCAGACCAGTTGCGGACGAATCCCTTTTGTCTGCTCTTGCACCTCGCCTGAGCGATGCGCACACTCGATTCTCTCGGTGCAGCAAGTGCATGCACACGTGGACTGCCGGCATTGAAACAATCTCGGAGAGTGCAGCCACTCAGGAGTGCCGGCCGAAACAAACTTGCTCCACCCTGGGCATGGGCACGAGTGCAGTGAAACGAACTCGCTATAACTAAGTCATTCCATGTCATGGAAAGTTTCTGTCGGCTTTTATATTGAATAAACATTGATAATTAGGCTTCAAAATTTAAAACGAGCTATTGGTTAAATAATGTTTTCCCAAAAATACTTAATTTTGGGGGCAGAAGTCGAGCAACACTGTCCACGAAGTCGAATTTCTTCAAAGTTCGCCAAAAGTTTGAAAGTTTATCAAACCCAATGTTGGTCAAACCATTCGAACCTCGGGGTTTGACATAAGTTAGCGACATCCCCTATGGCGTTACCCACATCAAACAAAATGTCAAAGTGAGTGTAGATGGATGGATGCTAGTGGTTGTACCCTCCATATCAGGTAATAGCTTTCACCACCTACACTAAAACTTTTCGTCTCCTCCTCTAAAAATTTTTACCTGAAATTTCTTGCCCCGTTAAACCGTGTAACCCATTAGTTTTGTACGTAATTTCACACTTAACTAAATTTTTTCTACCAATCTTCTAATCTCCTTTTTCTTACTGTAATGCCTCTTATAGTGTCACCTTTGTCCAATCTGACTGCAACATTTCATTCTCAAAGCTTTATGTGGGAAGTTTCGGTTTCAGTGCCTGGCTCATGCTTTCATGCGCTTAATTTCAGAAATATTTGTCTAAAAAATCTGCAGGACATTCGGCAGTACATCGAGTGTTAAGAAAAGTGAGGGAGTGCATTTTGAGAAGCCTGCCTGTGCATTTGATATGGCTGGTGGATTCTTTTCTCCAAAGGACGAGCTTGCTGTGAACCGAAAGAAAGTTCAGGAAGTGGAAACTTGGCTCCAGTCAAACCTCAGGGAAGGAGCTAAGGTAAGAGTCCTTCTTAAAGCATGAACAAAGTAATAGCTCCGTTTTGCAAGTGCCGTAACCTGCCCGCCGCTATGCTGAAAGGGCACTGGAAGCTATGCGCATGTTAAACCAGTCAACTGCCGGTCTTACGCACCACCTTTCGTTGACATGTCCTATCGGGTCTTCGTCGTTTCGTTGTAGCCCTTTCCCGAGTTTCTCACGTGACATTGCGGTGTTGCGTGCCGAAACAGTGCGATTTCACAATTTTCCGCTAAATTGAAAGGGAAAATTGCGACGTCACGTAACAGTGTAGCTGCACGTCACACAACCACCACATCATGTGACTGTGTCATGTTACGTTCCACCATGTTGTCGCGTGACATTGCAACGTAATGCAGCGAAACCAACACGAGCAAGAATCGTCCATGGTGGAAACATCTCCGCTAATTCCAATAGCGAGTGATGTTCTTTAAAAACGCCATCAAGCGCTATTGGAAGCACGCGACAAGATCTAGTGGTGCCATGGTGCGGCTCCTAACAGAAGCATTTTGCATGGACCACGTCCAGACTGGCATAGACATCCTTCATAGCAGCCAACCTTAGTTTCTGACCAATGTCGGTTTACCCAACTAGAGTGCCATACAAAACGTTCAAGGTCATGGTTGGCGCTAACTTTTTTTACACTGTACCTGAAAATTGAGAGCACAGATTCCCCCCTGCGGTCATTTTAGTCCCAGTATGTCTACTCGATCCGCCACTGAGTGAACAGCAATCTTATGATAAGAGGAGCGAGAACTACTTCTCGCGTAAATTTTGTTGATTACTGTCACTGGTGAATATCGTCCTGCAGTGATTTCCGGATTGTCGATCGTACAAGTGCTTCGTAGAGGCAAATAATATTGCAGATAAACGAAAAAACATGAGGGTCTGTTTCCGTCGTTGCCACCTACAACTGCAGGATACGCGATTGTGCCTTTACTCCGGAGTGAGATCAAGAAACACGGCCGTGAGAGGGCACAGACGTGGGGCCAAGATGCTGTGGGGAATTGGACAAAGTCGGAGCAGGCAGTGTTTCACCATAGGACGTAATGTGGACGCCGTCACTGATGGCGCCGCCAACCAGCTGCCGAGGCAAAGCAGCGCACCCGCTTTAGGTGTCGTATGCTCCCAACTGCGCCTTTGTTGCGATTGACGGAATGTCGAAGCCCACGCAGTCTTTTTTCTCTTTCGACATTGGATGGAGTTCACACCCATGCTCCCTGGTTACGACGCAGGGCGCCCCCCTGCTGCTGCTTTGCGGCCCTGCCGGGGCGGGCAAGACCACAACGGTGCTCTGCCTGGCGGGGCAGCTGGGCCTCACCCTGCACGAGTGGGCCAGTCCAGCCAAGACAGGTGCAGAACCCCTAGGTCACGCAATGGGCTTTAAACGCTTTGCTGAAGAACCGTTGTTGGAGTACACTGGCGCCATTTGGTTTTCCCACACAGCAGATAGATTGGACAAGCTGGAAAGACTTGCGTTAAAGGCTGTCAGATTCATTTTTCAAAAAAGACCAGACACCCCCCATCCCCCCCATCCCTAAATTTTTTAGAGCACAGCTCTTAGGGGCCCGTTTCCGGCTTGAGCGGCGTCGCCGTCGCCGTCGGCGTAACCGCGCGGTGCATCATGGGAAATGTCCCATAATGCACCGCGCGAGCCCCCCACCGGGGTCACGTGACCTCGTGGGGGGGCACGTGACCCCCCCCGAGGTCACGTGGCTCCCCTGAGGTCACGTGACCCCCTCCCCGAGGTCACGTGACCCCCGAGGTCACGTGACCCCCGCCGATGTCGCGTGACCCCCCGATGACGTCATTGTCACTGATGACGTCACCGGCATCCACATCGTCATCGTCATCATCACTGATGACGTCATCATCACTGATGGCGTCATCAGTGACGTAACTGATGTCATCACCGGCATCCACATCGTCATCATCACTGATGAGGTCATCATCACTGATGACGTCACCAGCATCCACATCGTCATCGTCATCATCACTGATGACGTCACCGGCATCCACATCGTCATCGTCATCATCACTGATGACGTCACCGGCATCCACATCGTCATCGTCATCATCACTGATGACATCACCGGCATCCACATCGTCATCGTCATCATCACTGATGACGTCACCGGCATCCGCATCGTCATCATCACTGATGACGTTACCGACATCCGCATCGTCATCATCACTGATGACGTCATCAGTGACGTCACTGATGTCGTCACCGGCATCCACATCGTCATCGTCATCATCACTGATGACGTCATCAGCGACGTCACTGATGACGTCACCGACATTCGCATCGTCATCCTCATCATCACTGGTGAAGTCACCAGTGACGTCACTAATGACGTCATCGGTACCCGCATCGTCATCGTCACTGATGACGTCATCAGTGACGTCAGTGATGACATCATCGGCATTGGGGGTCACGTGACCCCCAAGGTCACGTGACCCCCCCTGGTTAGTTCAACCCCCCTGTGCCCTTCCCTCCTCCTCCTCAAGAGCTGCGCTCTAATTCGGCGTTACAGGGAGTTGTAAGCGGCTTTCGCTTTTTTTAGTTGCCTGGATAGGATGTCACAAAATAAGGGTATGTCACAGAATCAGCTTTCTCCAGAGGAAAAAATTTTCAATGCAATATTTACACGACCAGACTTATTTCGAGTTAGGAGCGTTTCCAAGTCATGCTTTTGTTTCAAGACGTTGACCCCGGAATAGAGGCATGTTTTGGAATTACTCGAAGGAGTCTTGCAGCATATATATTGCACTTAGTATCATATTTTTTTGGTGGTGTGGAAAGTTTATTTGGTGTTATATTTGGTGTTAAAAGTGTTTTTGGGAATTCAGTGTCCGTTTCAAGAGCCGTCTGTTATTCCCCAAGCGGTGGGGGAAGCTTTGGTACCATATCCTGTTTGCATCTGGGTCTTTGGGGAAGCTTTGCTAGAGTATGCTAGCACCATTTGGTTTCCTCACAGGGCAGAAAGATTGAAAAAACTGGAAGGCACACAAAAAGGGGCTGTTAGATTCATCCTGAATACATTCAGAAAATGGACTCCTATAAGCACAATGCTTATACAAGCCAGCATTCAGATGTTAGATGTAGGGGGGGGGGGACGATAAATGGAATCAAATATTTGTATTCCTTCTTAGACGGCAGAGAAAAATGTGTCACCTTTTCGTTCACCGCATCGTCCAGGATCATGCACACCAGTTTAGTTGACCAATACAGATTTATACAAAATGTTTTTTAATGCTAATTTTTTCCACGGCCGATTTAAGACTAAATTTACTCAAAAACAATATAGTAGTTATGCTTCCTTCGATCAAAAAGTTTACTGTTGCACCAAATAGTTTATTTTCTTAAAATGCTTTTCATGTGCTTTTTTTTCTTCCTCCGCATCTCAAGAAAGTGCTATCGCAGACAATGCAGGTTTCTCAAAAAGTTCTGTTTCAAACTGTTCGACAAAGTGCGAAGCTTATGTCCCATTCTTTAGACTCTATGACAAATTGAGAGATAATGAAAGGTTGTGGAGACTACAGGTGTAGAAAAAGGCCGGATTGGGTGTTGCAGCTCATGCTCACGAAAAGGGGTAAGGATTCTACCACTTCTGCTTTCACTCGAGAGCCCTAATGTTGCTAAAATGAAAATTACACTAACTTGATCATGCTGACAAAGATGGGGGAACACAGTATGTATCAAAATGTGTTGTGATTGAGCTGGGCACATGCGATATGCGTGTGACGTCAGGAGGTCACATGATTGTGATATGACACAATGTCATGTGACGTCGAATAATGTTATAGTGACGTCATGACAACTTTACGACAGCGTGATGTCATGTTAACATGTTAACATCATGATGACGTCATTACGATTTTGTGCGACGTCATGATGACGTCACGGTGTTACGTGACATCACAGTCTTTATGACAGTTCTTTGTAACGGTTGTTTATTATGGTCCTCTCATAGAAGTTGACTGATCAAACACATTCTGCATTAAAAAAAAAGCCAAGATCAAGCATATGCACAAGAAGCTTTTGATCGCTCAGGCCCTGGACCCTGGTTTGCTATCAGCAAAGCACAATTGTTTCACAATCTTGAGATGGCAAGTCCGAATTTTGCCAGGGAACTGAAGTCTTTTTATATGGTTCTCAACGGTCATAACACTTTTCGGTGTTGTTACAGCTTGCTGCTACAGCTGGCCGTTACGGTCGGCTGTTACAGCCAAACGTTACAGAACTCCGTAGAAATCGGCCAATAAAATGCATTCTGCGTTAAAACCTCCAATGCCTTTGCACTTTGCCTTGTGACCGTAGAGTGGGCCCCGAGGATGCAGGGGCCCGTGGAGGCCTTCGAGGCCTTCCTGTTCCAGTGCAGCCGCTACCGGCCTCTCGTCCCAAACCGCTCCGGCCGCTCCGGCTGCCCTCTCATCCTAGTCGAGGTGAGGCTCGCCCGAAGGACGCTTGGCCCCGCAGCCGCGGTTCCTGGAACGTGTCCCCTGACGGTGTGTGTGTCGCGTCCTCGTCCGTGATCCCTCAATTTCCGCCTGAACGAATCATAGAAGTGTCGCGCAATCACCCGCCTCCATCTAGGTTGTGGCAAAGCCTGGAAGGTGGAAGTGGCAGACGCCCGTTCTGCCGCTGGTTGCTTCCAGCTCGACGTAAGCGCGGAAACTACGGCAATTGGGAGCTGGGGTGCGGCGACGACGGTGTCCATTGGTACTCCTATGACCTGTGTTGACCTACGACCTATGACCTGTGTTGCGACATCCGACGGCAGGACACGCCGGCTTGTGCGGCGCCACTTGTTGCCACTTTGGGACCACTTTCAATGGACGGGCAGTACGGGACACCAAATGCACTGGTCAAAGACACATTCTAATCATCATAGCCATGATGCCTCGAACGTGTCTTCGATGGTTCTGTTCGGCACCCTATACCTCCCACGCATCAGGAGTGGTGCCAGAGCGGCGACGGATTCGCGCCGCAGAGAACGGCGTGCGAAGCCATGTCTTGTCGGTACCCTGGCAGGAACACACGTTTATTGTGCAACAAACGAGTACAGAAATCACCCGGGCCCGCAGAAGCATACGTGTGCTCGTGGGCAGGACGCCATTGTAATGGATGGAAACGGCGTTCCTACTCTTACACAGAACGACGCACCGGCATGCTTCCGGCAAAAAAGCAGTTTCGAGTCCCAAAAAGTTACGGATGAAATCCAACCTGCATGTTACCAAACCCGACAAGTTACAAACTTTGTAAACTTAAACTTGCAAAGCACAAGACACTTACACAGAACGAAATACCAACTTAATGACAGCGAAGAAGTTGAGCGAATGCGAGGGGCGCTGTCGTTGCGTCATTCCGACTCGCGTCTGCTTTGGTTTATTTCGACCGTCTCGCGTCGCGACCCGTAGCAGAACGGGCATCTATCGCATCCACCGACGCCACTGCAGCGCCGTCCGGATCGCAGCCGGCAGCAGCATGACACTTTTCTGACGTCGCCGGGTGGAAAACGCAAAGACTGGAGACGTGTTCCAGGTGCCATACTTGTGGTGAATTACGTGGTGTTGCTCAACGTGTGACCGCAACGGGTTGTTGCTCTGGCTATGAGAGAGCATTTGGGGCTCCTCCCAAACCGAAGATTCCACGGACACCTTGGCAGATCTCATCGTGTAATTTGAGCTGCGTTTAAAAACTGATGCGTGTCAGTGACATCTGGAGGTGAGAATTTTGTAGCTGTTCCGTGAGGGTTTCACGATGCATTGGGTTACTTCGTGAAACCCTCGTGGAGGCGGTGTGGGGGAAACTAGTTAAGCGTCAAATGACAGTGCACGGGGTGTTCTGGTGCGTTGCGGCTTGGATAGAATGAAACTGCGTTATTTTCTAATTTTTAGGAGTAGGCATGTGTAAATACATAGTAGATGTTAATTTCGAAGCGAATTCAAAGTTAATTGTGGTTTGGGCCAAATATTCTCTAATCGAATATCGAATGTTTTCTCCGAGCATTTCACTACTGCACCATTTTTAAATAAAAACTGCAGCTGAACTCGTAAAGTTAATTTTCGAGCTAACTGTATTTTTTGGACTGGCCTCTGAAAGGCCAATGTCTACATTGGGATGGCAACTAAACTGCAAATTTTACGCTGAATTATACCTATAGAGATGTCAAACTACTACGCCTAATTGAGCAGATTTATAAATTTTTTTCGCAGATATTCTTTCTTAAACTTCGAATTTGAGAAAAGAAAAAAAAGAATCGTAAATGATGAAAGCATGTCGTCAGGCCATCTCTACCTAAAATATACTCTCGCATAATAGCCGCAGTTTAATTTTGAAATTTTTACTGCAGTGAGATATCAGCATTCGCAAAGTTTCCGGGTGTATGTGTGCATCATCCTGTTTTGAAAGTGGGCTTTTCTTCTAAGCACGCGTCTGCTGTATCTGTATTTCTTAAAGTGGTCATTGCGGCAGGTTAGCCCCCCCGCCAAGCGTGCTCCTCACCAAGCACCGGTGCACTGAGGAGAGGCAACACTCGTGGAATCGATCTCCGCGGGTTTTGCTTCTCCGCAGTGCAGCGACGCTCGGTAAGAAGCGTGCTTAGCGGGGCTGGCCCAGAGCCGCATATTTAGACTTTGGCCGTTCGTTGGGAAGTATAGCAGACAAATGAGGAGGTGCCATTGGCCGAAAGCGGACTGGGCACGTTCCAGGGCGTCTTCAGAAATTCGAATGTGGCCAAACAGAAGCCGGAAATAATACCCTGGCGGTGGTCGCGAGAAACAAACTTGAGAAGTGCGTTGAAGTGACTCTCGGTGACTGAAAATATGGTGCACGTGATATTTCAATCACGGTCATCCAAAATCATGGTGGAAGAGTGCGACTAGAGAAACGATCGACATAATCCGTACGCCGAGGGCCAGGAATCTACCGTCCTAGTGGTCACACTGTGCGAGCGAAACAGCGTTGAGCGGCACATTAGTTTCTTACATCTTTCTGCATGATCATGATCGAAACATCACATGCACCCTATTTTCAACCGGCAAGGGTTACTACACTTCACTCTTACGTGCTTATTAAAACTATATACAAACATATACCTTTGATTATAACAGTTTCTCGCTACCACCGCTAGGGAATTCTTTTAGGCTGCTGGTTGGCCGAGAGAGCATGCCGAGCCCATTTTCTGCGTCTGGTGCACGCCCTGGCTCTGCCCGCGCCTCCCACATACCAAACTCTCTGTATACACGGCTCTGGGCTGGCTCGCTACGACAAACACTTCGAAAAATACAAATAGCACGTTATTCGAATCTACTATCCAAATAGTCGCACAATCCCTTTGGGGAGCCTTTTCGAGAAGAAGCCCGCACCATTCGGCCTTGGAATATGGAGAATTGGGTTAAGAGTGCACGACCTCATCAGCTGTGTTTGAACCGTGGCAGCCGTTTTTCTGGATAGCGCTAGCGAGGGCTACAGCCACTGACAAAATGAGAACGGCAGAACGTGTCTTTCGAACGGCCGGCCTCCGGCACGCACTCCATGCGTTGCACCCTGTTTTGGTCGATAGTGCGCACTCAAAGCGCACGAGGCGCCGAGGCGTTGTTGAAGGTACGAAGCTTGAGCTAGAGGTGGGACAACTGAAGCTCGTGCCTGCCATCCTCACCTTGACTATGGCAGCCTTGGGCAAGCCTGTGCTTAAAATTACACGAGTCAGCTCCTTGTTCATAGAGCCAGGCATCTTGCATGGCACGCTAGGATGGAGTTCCTTACGGTTCTCTGTAGCACAAGTGCACACTCTGTGCTCTTGCACTCGGCACCGATTTATGGTCGCGTTGGCTGGCATATTTTACTGGGAATGATATAATTGCCGTTGCTTTCGCGTCCTTGAATCAATCTATAATTCTTGTTGTAACAACGACAGTTGCTCGTGCAGACTTCGTCGCGCATCATTGCGGACTACGGCAGAAGCTAGAGCCCTCCAGCTGGGCAATTGACCCGAGTGGCGTCCTCTGTTGCAGGACCTGCCCAACGCCTTCCTGAGGGACGCAGACGCCTTCCACCAGGTGCTCAGGTGGAGACTCTTGGTGACCTTCTGGGGGCCTAAGGCCCGTTCATGCGTTTGCGTACGACTGGGTTTTAAAGATCTATTGCATCGAGAGAACATGCCGACAAGCTGGCACCATCTATGAAGTGACCTTGCAACCACATTTGACTAGAGTGAAGATCTTGCGGTATTTGAGAGATGTATGCGCTACCTACGAAAAAGGGTTGTTTCTAACCTTGCCAAAAGTCTTTTGAGCCAAGAAAGAAAGCATGATGCTCAAGAAATAGGAAACATGCGGTTCCCACGAGCATTCCACAGCTACTCGAGAGATGACGCCAGAGTGCGCTCCCGTTGCAAGAGATCCCAAAGTTTTGAGGCACCTGGTTGTAAGCAGTGGCAAGTCTGTAGACCAGCTTTTAGGCATCTTTCATTTGCACCCTGCACATGTCTCAAGATTCGGGTTAAAAAAACTAGGCTCTTGCCATACCTTTCTGGGGCCTCTCAGATATGTACGGTTATTATAACTGCTGTATTGTCCCGAGAGATGCCTTGCCCCCAAAAGATAACCCGCCCCCTATTTTTGGCACGATTTGATATTTTTTCAAAAACACCGAAAGATAGCCCACTTCTAGTATAATCGCAAGGCCTTGCGTCCAATGGTGACTTCGGCAGAAATGGCGTTGCTTAGAGCCACGGAGGGGGAATGAGCGAACGTTGCCAACTGGGAAGGACGGTCGTCTTTGGTTTGTCGCCCCTCCCTGCAATCACAAGTTTTGCGGGTTACAAAGTCTAAAAATAGCATTCTTTAGCTTTTTTTTATCCCACGTGAAAGTTGACTAATTTCTTGTTTTCACGAGATTTGCTTTCTGTTTTAGGGGGGCTATCTCTTGGGTTGTTACGGTTGGCCGTAGGTTTTCCAGGGGTTATTTATCAGGAAAATCTACAAATGTTTCTTGGTGTTCGTTCGTTCTTACAAAATCGGTGTATTTCGGTGGCTTGTTTCGTACGAACGCCAAAAACGGCAGTTATCTGTGAAAACTCGTAAAAAAACTAGGAGTTTGAATTCGATCAACATTTTTTATACACCCTTGTAACGCTTCACACTTATCATAATGTGACAGTAGTTGCGAACCACAGGCAACAAGATTGAAGCGGGGCCAAAGACCGAGTATACTCTTTAACGTAACCGTCCGGAGCTTTTCGCTTTTTTTGCATCGTGCTACTCTTCCACTTCGTGCGATCTAAAATTTAATTGTTCTCAAACAAAGTGTTTCTACCACAAGGAAGGCAAATTGCTCTTGCTTCTTTCGCAAGATTCAACCAGTGTAGTTTCAAATACTTGCGTACAGCTCTGGCCAGGAGAGAACAAAAACATTGTAACAAGATTAAAGAAAACAGCGTAAAAACAACACAAAGACAAGTGAAAGCAAACACACTGCACTGTTCGACTTGTAATTGTCCTTGTGTCCTTTTTTGCTCTGTTTTAGTTCTTTCGATCGTGCACTGACTCGCCCAACTATGCACCCTGCTGCGTTAAGACAATCCGCGGTGACCGACCAACTGACTTAACTTTCACGTGACCGCCATATGAGTTTTCTGATTCTATTGATTCGGGACCTGTAGAGTGCTTCACCCTAGGTAAGAGTACAAACCTGACAAACACCTGAAAAGAGAGAGTTTCGCCGAAAATAGAAAAAGTGCCCAGCAAACAATTTTCGAAATCTGCATTTTTTTTGGTTTTAGCGACTATTTTTGGCACTGGTGGTTCAACCTGGGTTGGTCGCAGGAGCAGTGGTGACATTGTGGTCGTTCTCAAGCCTGTCGACTAGGATTATCGAAAGCTTAAAAAAATGCAGTGCACGGCCTATCATGATCGCACCTCTTGGTCTGCGACTAGTTCTTCGGCATTCTACTCTACCGATGCTGTAACCCCATTGGCTGCGGAGCGATGATAAGATGTTCGGGACTCGACTTGCCCCGCGCTTCTTTGGCTGCTAGACCCTGCCGTCTGAAATTCATAAAGAAAGTGGGGTGGGCCATGTCTCGGTGGGTGAGCACAAAACTTTTAGAAAAAGTAAAAAAAAAACGCCCCCTTTTCTGTGGGTATCTAGCATGACTGCACAGGAGGTACATCAAACTCAGAACTCTGATTAGTCTTGTTGTTTTATACGAGAAATGCTAACGAAAGAATGTTTCACTGCCTGCACACGTGCGATAAACAATGCCGATCGGCTATACAGCGCAAATGCTCGTTCCATGAAAGCACGCTTCTAAAACCGCTGTGTTCCCTTCGTTAGGTTCCCTAGCCATTTGCTCATCCATAGATTAAAAAATAATTGGAGTAAGAAATATGAGTCTACAAGAAAATAAAAAACCAATTGGGCGCAACGAGTGAGTAAACAGGCGAATGAAGTGATGAAGAGCAATGCTGGGGAAGCGGGAAACCCGGCGATCGCGTTGGCAAATATTTTGGCGTCGGGCCAAGTCGGGCGCCTTGTAAATCGCAAGAACCAGACTCCTGCGCAACTTTCTTGTTTGGTGCATACATGCGTACGTCTGTGCACGGCGTGCTATTGACACGGGTTGGGGCGGCATTGCTGCGTGGCGTGGACGGCACCACGAACATGGAGTTCGAAATGGGGCGCTCTACAAACTTCTGTGGCCTGTGTTCCAGCAAATTTTTATTTACCCATTGGCTTTGTCTGGAACATTGCACAACCTTATCAACTGTGGTCGTGTCGTTCTAGGACAATGATTGGGTATTCATGGTGACCCTATTTTTGTGGAGACGGACTTGGACGCTGCAGTAGTTTACGCTCTGCAGTAGTTTGCTGACCTCGAGATGAGGTACTGCTTCTGTTATAGTTCCAATCTTTTTTTTTTTTTCCGAGCAAACATTTTTGTAAGCAAAACAAAGTTTAATTTTTTTATCTCCATTGTTTTCATTTCACACGCATGCACTCTGACTTTGGTGTCGCAGAAATCGAGGAGGAAATATGTAAATAAAGTGAAGCGTCTTTCCATTCTTCGTTTTACTTTGTTACAGACGTCCTCCAACCCCAAGATTCAAGTAGGATGAATATTCGTGGATTGGGGGGGAGTCCACGTTGGGGTACCTGTAGGGGTGGGCGATGTTTCGGGATATTACGATATATTGCTGGGCGTTTATGGAGGAGTTGACGACAAATTCAGCTGCCATGCGGAGAAACGGGGTTCATACTCCATTTACCATTTTCTGTCTGTGACAATATCTGCGCTTGAGCCAAACAGACAGCACACACGTGGCTCCATCCCAGGAGGTACTGGAGGACCTGCCGTACGCCCCTGGTGTTCGTGGTCAGCGAGTCTTCGGACAACCTCGAGTACCGCCTCTTTCCCAGGGAGCTCGTCGCGGAGCTGGGCGTCTCCAAGATTGCGTGAGTGCATCGAGTCCTTTCGGCGGCCTTTCGAAGCGCCGGGAGCAGAGGTCCTCATCGAGGCAGTTTCGACACTTCGCTCCGACTCAATGCACACGGCAGCGGCGGCCTCCAGTTATGCCATGGTGCCCGGAACATGGCACCGACCGGCATGTTTACCACATCCTAAAAAGTTGTCCCTCGATTTCTGCCCGACGGCCCACAGAAGCTTCGGCGGCCGGGGGTTGGGACTAGTAATGGGCCTAACTTTTGCCGAATCAAAAATTGGGCGCCGAATGTTGAGATTCGGCAAAGCTGAAATTTTGTCAGACTTTTCAAAAGATTCAGCAAAGATTCGTGAAAAATACATTGTTACCAGACTTAACGTTGATATTTAGTTTTTTCCACCGAAAAAAGGTTTTATGTGTTTTGTTTCTTAAATGCAACATGTAATGCATGTTGACACAGTTAATTACTAAATGAGGCGATATTCTACAAGATAATTGTATCAATGTTGTTTTTGTTTTTACTGGCAATTTTAATGACTGCTCGCAGAAGTGGCGTGACAACGAGCTTGGGCAGTAGCGGGTGCAGTCATGAATCACGCTACGAGAGTTTCGGTTTTGAGGCATCATCACTGCAAGCCACTGATCTCTCTGCAAGAGTGTGTACTTTTTTAAAAGGAAGAAAATAACACTGCATTCTAGCTATCTCTGGGAATCACCGTTTTTTGCGCAAAAAAAAAATCTAATGGTTGCTGAGCCTCCACCAGAAGAGATAACAATATTATTGTAAATATGCATGTTTTTGGAATTGAGTTACTTGACGTCAGCTTTGCATGAAAGTGTGTGTCCCATATTCGCAACGTCTCATTTTTAACATTTAAAATGCCAGTTTCTGGTGTTAGGACACACACAAACGTTTCGTAAGATAGGGAGAGTTAGGAACGTTGAATGTGCAATATCGAGCATGATAGTTGTTTTTAGTTTTATGCAGATACATGGGGGGGAAAATCGCAAAATAATGCTAATTGAAAAAGCAATACTATTTTGTTTTGGCACACACTACTTGCAAGCCGAAAACAGGATTGTTTTAATTGTGAGGAGTGCTTTAAACTATTTGTCAGTCAATGTTTCAACTACCTCGTTGCATCACTGGAAAGGTCAAATGAAAATCACGTCATCCAGAATGTCCCGTATCATTTGTCGCTTGCGCAGTGGACTGTGTGAATAACTGGTCGGTCTTCTGTTCTTGAGGCAGAAAATTTAGAAGAGAACCACACTCACTCACAAACGCACAGTTACCGTGTTGCCTACTCCACACCTCGCCGTAACCGCTGGTTGCACTACACTGTACAACGGTAACTGCACGACTGCACGGCATCCATTTGCAATCCATGGCCCTGTCGCATTCTTGCGCGTGCGCTGACATTTGTCGAATTTTTGCTGTTGCATTCGCGCGTGCACAGACATTTGTCGAATCTTTGCCGAACTTTCCTTCAAAAGTTTGGCATTTGCCAAACTTTGCCGAATCGGAAGTTCGGCAGATTCGGTGCATCACTAGTTAGGACGCCACAACAATGGCAACACTCGCATTTGCTCAAACGTTTGGTCGCGACTTTCACGCCCAACTGCCGGGGTCGCAACATCCGACTGATAGACGAGCCAAGTTTTGTAATGTCCTTCGTTGCCACTTCGGAACCACTTTCGACGCATGGGCAGAATAGGACGCCTTACACACCGGTCTGAGGTGCGTTCTGGGCACCATCGTTTTGCCGCCGAAAAATTGTCTGGCTCCACGGTTATGCTCGAAGAAAGCCTCCCATGGGATGACCGAAAGGGGTGCCTGACACTAAATTCCTTCGCTCCTAATACTGAATTTAAGTGACCATTTTTCTCGCTAAGGGTCGGCAGTTTCAGTCGCCGATGGGAAGAGTGTGGCAGGGAGCAGTTTCATTTCTCCTGCCTTCCGCACCTTTGACAACGCTTCGGTGTCTCGTGAGCATGGAGAATGCACGCGCAGGCAAAGCACGACGAAAGGCAGTGTGCGCACGCCTGTGTTCGTACTAGGTGCCCTTCCATTCTCATGTTGTGACTATGGTTGCTTTGCCACCAACCCAATTAAAGGGTTTTATGCGGGAAACCTTACCGTTGGGTACCCCGTGTTTCTACCGCCCTCGCATTGATACACGAGCGGCCAAATTTCGATGCGGATAGACTTTTTGCTGTTATACAATCCGTTTGGTGTTTGTTGGGTTGTGCGGTTCTCCCTAGAGGCACCGAATGGGCTACACCCCGGCGTAATGACTCTTGCAACCGCCTCATTAAATGCTTCAAATCATTGTTGCCGGTTATCCGTGGTAAAATATCCGAAATTAGTGGAGCCGCTTTTCGTCGTGCTGAAATGTTTACAGAGCAAAGCGACGTCGCCCGAGCTTCTTAACCTCCCGTCTAGAGCTCGGGAGATTGCATTTTCTAATCTTAACTATCGCTGATGGACCACTTTTGAAAATTGCCACTTCAAGAGGTTCCAGTAGGAAAATACTTGAGCATAAGCTCGAGCGAGCGAAGTCACTTGTTCGACCGGGAAAGCTAGATCCTGCTGGCTCCATCGAGCCACAGTGGCCCAGATTCTGCTCCCCCAAGTTCCCTTTTCCAACTGTGGCTCATGTTTTTTACCCCCAAGTTCGTTCGAAGACGCTTCTCCTCTCTCCTTTTTGATGCGGGCATTGTCTCGTCTCGCAAATCCTCGAACCTCGTTTTCTGCCAGATGGAACTAGTTATTTCTAAGATGGCGGATTGTGCGCACTCTGCTTTAGGCATTAAAGTGGCAACACCCGCGAGACAGTCAGGAGTGGGGTGTGGACACTCATGGTGTAGCTTGCTTAGCGATCCTGGTTGTTCCAAATGCAACGAAATCTTTCAGCTTCAACCCGGTGGCTCCGACATCCATGTCCAAGGTGCTGGCCGCAGTTGTGGACAAAGCGACGGTGAGCCGGCTTTGGAGACGTTTGTGTTACCGGTAGGACGTGCGTCTTCTCGCATCGCAGGCCAGGTACAAGGTCAGCCACCTGCCCACCCCCGACGACCTGGAGCAGATTGCGGCGTCCAGTGCCGGGGACGTACGCAACGCCATCAACGCCCTGCAGTTCTTCTGCTCGGCGGAACAAGGTGGGGCCGCGTCCCAAACTGTGCCGCCAGCTCTGCTCCAAGTACAATAATAATGGCCGTAACAGTGATATTTTTACAACGATAGCCTGTTATGGGCTCCCGCCACCTCTCGAAACGGTGTCTGTCACTGTTATGGTTGCATTTGTCGTTGTCGGGCGTAGTCTGTCGTCGAGATTGCCAAATGCTCGAAAGAGATCGTCGGTTGTTGCGGTGCTCTCGGGATTCAATCCCGGGTCTGTGGCATGCGAAGTGGCGCGTTACCACGGGGCTACGCTGCAGCTTTGACAACTCTCCTTATATAGTGTATTCATGGAACACACGCGTGCACACGAGTCTCGTGTAGTGCCGGATTAAAATTAAACTTCGATTAAAATTGAAATTAAAATTTCAATTTTAATCGAAGTTAGTTGTTGAAACTAACTTTGATTGTGGCACAAGCCGCTGCATGATTAAAAGGGTTCGGCCATATCCATTCATCCAATACCACTTAGAAGACAAGGACTGCTCATTTCATTATTAATAATGGATCCCCAAGCTGCCCCGAGTGGCAAACGCGCCGAAGCTCGATGTGAGTACGACGCAAAGCGGCAGACACGTGCGTCTTGGCGCCGCCGCGGGCTAGCGTTGCACTTCTTGTGGGACGCCGAAAGATGCGCCAACGCGTCTCGCCGTTCATTTCAGGGAGAACAACGAGGTGCATGCTTGTGAGAATTAAGCCACGAGACTTCGGTCGTCAAGACCCCCTGGTTTGTGAAGGCGACAATAATGCCCAACGACTTCGCCGTGACATGTCGCAGCTACCGCTGTGACTGTATTGTTTGTCAGCTAGTTTAAAAAATTATCAAAATGACCACGTCGGTCTTTGGTACGATGCTCCTAAACGAGGAACGAAGAAGCAAGAACGATGAAGTGTGCGTGTTTTCTTTCTTTGTGACCTAACTCAAATGAGCACGTGGGCACATTGCGACTGTGTAACTTTTGATGGTGCAGCTCCTCGTCTCCCCTAATGGCCCACTCCATTCTGCCGGCAGGACCAGCGGGTCCCATGCAGCCAGCCGCAGCCAAGAAACCCCGCAGGAGGCGCAAACCCCGGGATGGGCCCCAAGGGGAGGCCGGTGGGGCGGCCCCTGCGGGAAGCAGAGACTGCTCTCTGCAGCTCTTCCACTCGCTCGGCAAGATGCTCTACTGCAAACGTGAGGCTCGACACTGGTGTATACGGTGACGCTTCGGTAATTGCTTTCGAGCCGCCGTCACGAAGTAGGCATCCCATTTGGCTGTTCCAGCGAAGTTTTTGCGTCATTTATGGAATCATCTACCTGCATCACTTAGGGTATGTCAATTCTCGATTGTGCTGTTTTTTGTTAAGTGTTGCAAACCGTGCATTCCCCTTCGTTCAACTGTTCCGTATTTTCCACGGTTATTTTGTCCGTTCTCTCACCACTTTTACAGCAGAGCTGTTAAGGGCTAGATTCCCCAGGATCGTGTCCGTGTATGTTGACACAAACCTACCTGGACAGCTACCGCCATCTATAAGTGACGGCGGCAAGCACACAACCTGTATGGTTTCCGCCGTCGCTCGTAGATGGCGGCAATTTTTCCAGCTATAATAGAAGAATGGATAGTTGGGTGCATTGGTGGGAATTCATCGTAGGAAACAGCGCGAAAAACAGACGACGGCGAAAAAGAAGCACACAGTGTATCGACTACAGCTCCGCTGGTCTTCCTTCTTCACGAGAGTGAAAAGGCTGAACGTTTTTTCTGTAATGCCTCTGGCCCTGAGGATAAAATAAATAAATTAATTAATAAATATGTACACATCCGTCCCCCCCCCCCCCCCAAAAGAAAAAACAGCCGTAATGTGATTTGTTCGTACTAACGAGACAGAAATGTGTGTATTTACCCAGTTTTTCCCCGAAAATGTTGTCTACATGGCAGTGTCCATATTAGCGGGGTCCACATTAATCAAATGTGGCTGTATACAGTCGACTCGCTTTAATTCTACGTCAGTTAATTTGACTTATCGTTTAATTCCACCCTGTTCAAAGGTCCTGGCAAGAGCTGATACATGTTTATAGAAAAAAAAAAAACTCATTGTTTCGATTTTAAAATATAAAATATTGGTCAATTCGACTTGGAGAAATCCGGTGGTGGGCGAATTAAAAGCACAATTGGCCGTGCGTGACGCACAAAAACGGGCCTCTTTTTTTCCGAATTACGCGGTGGGCAAGTTACAAGCGTGATTGGCCGCACCCAACGGCAAAAAAGCCCGTTTTCAAATTTTGAAGCACATGCTGAGACACGGGACATGGCCGGGTCTCAACAGAAAACAACCCTTGCAAGACCGCTGCGGAGCAGCAAACGCTGCTCCGCAACGGTGTTGCAATGGCACCGGTCGCTGCCACCGTACCAAACGTGCGAAGGACGTACACAGCCATTACCACCGCCGTGCTGCGGTACGCGGTGGCTCATTATAAGAATGTTAGCCCACCTGATCTAAAGCGCTGGATATTCAGAATTTCGCGCGCATCTTTTAATTCGATTTTCGGATAATTCGACCCAATTCCGCAGATCGAATTAATGGAAGTCGACTGTACCATTCATTCATGAGTTCAATTCTTTGTTTATTTTATGTGTCATCGCACCGTTCTGTGTTGGGGCTGAGTCACTTGCCTTTTTTGTGTGGATGTAGTTCACAACCCTGTTTAGACACATCGGGCAAACTGTCAACCACCCAGAGTAGGTCGTTTGCTACTTCGCAACTCATCGTGTCTCGTAGCTTCAACCCTCGCTTGTTATTGGCTGTTGTTGCAATGGAAAACAGATTAAAGCTAGAGAAGCCGAGAGACTCGTGACGATTTCTTCGCTGGTCATCATTCACGGTGGATGAGCGTGCATATGTATATTGTGATTGCAATATATATGGAAAAACGTTTCAATATTCTCACCAACGAATCGAACGAGGAATACACACCCTGCGGCGAATTTGTGCAGTTGAGGTTCATACCCATAGCAAAAAATGCATCCGAGTCGCTGCGTCGTAAATTTTGCAAAAGAGATAAGCAACTCGTACATTGGAAAACACTTTGGATCGATTCCTCGGTGTTACCGCTTTCCCCGTGGCCAGGCGATCCGAGCAGGATGGCAGACTCTGACCGCCTGCCCAAGCACATGGCCCACCTGGAGAAGCCTCCGGCCACGGAAGTTCCGGAGGTGGGTGCTTCTATCCCCTCTCCTGAGCAGGGACCCCGGAACCGGGGGGGGGCAACGGGGGCTTGAGCACCAGCTGACATTTTCCAGGGGGTGCTGGGCAGTATGATGAGCCCCCGTGCGTTTGGCTCGAGGCATACTCAACAATGCTGCACACCCCTCCCCACTCCCCTCCGTGTTCCTGTTGTTGCTCAGCTCCGCCAAGCCACATACTTGGCTAAGGGCAAGCACGTGGCTCTGTTTTTGTTACGGGTGGCTACCCATTCAATCACAACACGACATTCGCCCACGAAATTCTAGAAAAAAAAAATGAAGTAAAGCAGAGTGTCAGTAAACCGCGGACAACGCGGCAGCTTAAAAAAAAAATGGAGGGAGGAAAAAAAAAGAAGAAAAAGAGCCGGCGCCTGCGGCCTGCATAGCAGTACAGTCAGGGGGTACTGGGGCCCTCCCATACTCCACTCGCGTGTTGGCCATGCGGGGGAACGCGCAGCGCACTGTTTTTGTCCAGCCGGCCAGCCGGCTTCTTCGTTTTGCTTCTATTTTGGGCAACGACGCCCAAGAAAAAAAAAGTACAAAAATCTTTTCCTAGCTATTTTTTTTTTTGCAACTGCGTTTTTGTTGTTGTGTTTGTTGTTGTTTTGGGGGTCTAAGTAACCACGAAGGTCGGGTAATTGCTTCCGTGTGGAGAGCCGGTCGCAGGGCGGGGAGACGATCTGCGCGAGAAGAAAGCCCTTCTTGAACGGGGGACTGCCTACAGATGTAGCAAGTTGAGGGGGAAAAGTTTCCCAAACTCCCAAGGCTCCTGCCTTGGGAGTTTGGGCCTTAGCAAGCAACACAGGTTGTAAGGGGAGACATCGCACTGCAGTCTGTGTTGAAGCCCTGCTACCACGGTGGTCGTCGGAGACATGAAATAATCACGGCATTCTTGCCTGTATTTTTGTGTCTGGTTTCCGAAACACCATTTGGCTCTTGCCGAGCCAGCCTGCTATGTTCAGGCGGGCACACTACTATACACTCAGACGGTTTTACACTATTTTCAAAGACGACCATAAAAACTGCAAACATGCTGAAATGAAAAAAAATTTACCGCATCTCCACGTGGTGAATGATGTTGATTGGGGCGAAGCTCTGGTGGTGCTTGTCTGCGTAGACGCTGAGCCGCAGCATGCCAAGCTTTCCGTTCCTTTACATCCATGTCAGAACGCGAATGTGTATGGGACGTTGTTATATACGCATTTGAGCATTTGACCGCAGCGCCCTCTCGTCTATAAACGTTGAGCCAATGCATGCAAAGTTTAACGCGATTATATACGCATTTGACCGCAGCGCCCTCTCCTGTATAGACATTGAGCGGCTACATGCAACGTTTCATCCATGACATCCTCAGCTCTTGAGTTACTACCAAATCTCAGAGCCCCCTACTCGTCCCGCAGTCATGGCGGAGTGGTTAAGGCGATGGACTCGAAATCCATCGAGGTCTTCCTGCACAGGTTGGAATCCTCTCGACTAATATTTTTTTGCCCTACACGAGCACGTGAGCTCACGAGCACGAGCACCAACAAGATCGATGTGAGCACGGACGGCGGACGGACAAGGCTAGACCCTAAGGAGCTTCGCCCCTAAAACAAAAAAAAAAAAAAAAAAAAAGGCATCGCCAGTGAAGGTGCTGGAACGAGAGGGATGTTTTTTTCCTCGTCTCTAGCAGCTCATCTGCTTCCTCTTCCCCAGCCTTCCTTCTCCTCGCCCTGTCATTCCACTGAAACTGCGGTTGTAGATCTGTCATTGAAATCCGCGGACGGTTTCTTTGGACATCTGAACATCAGAGGATGTTTTTTGTTTTTTTTTCAACAAGTGCAAGGCTAAAAAAAACAATATGTCAAGTTTTACATTTTTAATCATTATGGCGACCGAAAGGACGCTCCTTGATACGTGGTTGCGGGGACCCAAGAAATTGGCAGTTTGTCAGGGGGAGCAGCCACCGGAAATATCCGAAAATATCGGCCAGACAGCAGCGGACCGTATCGTACCAAGAGTCACCCAGAATTTACGAAAATCTGGTAGGTTTTGTTTTAATTTTGTGTATGCGCATGCGTAGCAAAGTAAGAAGGGGTTGTGAAATCTTAGGTCGCGTGAACTGCATTGCAGGGAGTCCAGGGATTTCATGATGTTTCGTTGGCCCTATGAAATAACTGCATAAAACAGTTTTGCAATAGATGGCGAAGGTATTTAGCACACAGACGTAGTTAGATAGTAGAAGTAATCTGTAAAATTTTATAGAAATAGTTCAAGTAAACAAAAAAAAAACTTTTTTTTAAATTTTGCGTGTAAACACCAAATAATATTTTAAGCCACTGTGGCGTTAATTCTTTGCAAAATGAAGGCAATGTTATGTATTATTGTATTTTATTTTTATTCCATCCATTTTTTCAGTCATAAACGCCTCAGTTGCCCAAAAAAGTATTTGATAGTTTCACGAAAAAGAGATTCTGCGGAAATTTACCCATAGAAAAATGCTTCTTTTCTTTCACTAAAAAGGTTTATGTTTTCATTCTTCAAAAAATAAAATAAAATGAATTCACCATTTTTGGGTACCTCTGTACTAAATCAGGGACTCTGCTAAATTGTAGCACGCTATGTTAACACGCTAATTTGCGCGGTCACTTCAAGGGGCTAACGAAACATTGTACGTGAACTCCCGGTAAAGTATGTCAGATCCCCTGACCGCTTTTGGTGGCATTTTAAACCAACGACGGGCATCTGGCACGCCCCAGCGGAGGACTGAGGATTAATTTCGACCACCTGGGGATCTTTTGACGTGCAACCAAAAGCTCGGGCACCTTCTCTGCAGTCTGCAATAAGCCTCCGTCAGATTGCGGGAATCCGAACCCGCCACCCGGGGATCCGTAGGCGGCGCTTTGCCTCAAAGCCACCGAGACGGCTGGCTTTTGGATTCAATTTCCAAAAGCATTGCAATGTGGTGATGTGCTCTAAAGAAAGTCGCATTTCTCTTAATGTATAAAAATATAAAAATAATTGTGTGTTAACATTTCACTGCTTTGTGACGAGAATTTTGGATTAATGTAGGGACACACGGTATACGAAATGATAATTAACCTTCTATAAACAGTGAAATCTTAGTAATAACTGTTTTTTTTTTTCAATTTTAATTCCCCCTCCCCCTTTCCCTCCCCCCACACACACACACTTCACCCTTTATTTTAACCGCTAGCCCCCCCACGTAAAATACACTTCCGGGGTCGCTGCTCCTGAGTCCTCCACTAGATACTTTTCAAAACCCCGTCAAGCGGCATTGGCGGTCGCCATTTCTCGGGCACGAAACATACAGTTAGGTCCGAGTTTTTGCCGAACACCCTTGCACCACCGGTTTTTTATACGAGCCGAGCCGAGTCGGTGCCAGATGTTAACACGGCCCTCACGTCCAATTTCATGCATTCCGCGGCGAGCGAGTCTCGTTGACGCACGAAGAAACGACTGTGGACCCAGGCGGCAACCTTCCTTGGAGAGGGTAGCCAAAAGCTCGTGCCATGCCTTAAGAACCGTATAGATCTCTGCGATAATTATGTAGAGCAGTAGCTAAAGTATGCGTCTATATTTTGTGTAGACTCGAAGGTTTTTTATTAGTCTTGTTTTTTTTTAACAAGTTTATCAAAAGTTGGAAAAAAACAGCCCTCGTAAGTCTCCCTGGTTATTCGTAGGATTAAGTAACCATATTTTCTGGCATACAGCCGCATTTACATGAATGCGAGCTAGTCGCATCAAAACCAGTTGTTGCATTCAATGCGGTCACGTAAACGGCATAATGCACTAGGAAAGTGCATCCCATCCAAGTTGCTAAACGGAGGTGGATCGAGGTGGCGAATGTGCATTCATTCGGCCGATGTAAATGGAGGTCACATCGCATTCTGGAATGGGAAGGATTATGGGAGGGCGCTTGCTGCGGGAGCAAGTGAATGACCGAGGACATGGCGGCAGCCAACCTCGGCAGCGGCGGCGGCAGAGAGCGGTATCACGTGGTCGCCGGCAGCTTTCTCCTGAGGAGAAATGCTAGCTTTTATTGCTATCGTAAGTGAGCGGAATATAGCCGAGCTGCTCTTTGGGGGCAACCCTCGTTCGAGTCTCGCGATTTACGGCTTGCGCGTCTAAGGGACTCCCTAGAGGCTTCGGAGAAAGCAAGAACGGCGCCGAGAGCTCCGGGCACTGCATGGTACTACGTGGTACCGCAGAACGAGCAAGCTCCTACTTCGGTGCCGTTCCTGCCTGCGCCGGAGCCTTTCGTCTTTGGAGTGTGGTCGTGGTTGGCATGGCGAAGCGAGGTGCAGTGGCATCCTCAGAGCGGTTGGAAACAATCTTGCTCGCCAGGGCGTGCGCATGCACGTCGCCTCTGTTCCCGAAGGGACCGGTGGCCCTGCCCGGAGCCCAAAGCGCTTAGGTTTTTATGTTTCTTTTGTCTCATAACTTCTTGCGCAGCATCGAAGGCAGCGGGCACAATCTTTTTGCTCATCGAAAGCGTCTAAAGGGCCTCTGCGTGTGAAGCACCGGAAAACGTGGTCGCGTGCTGTGGCTGATGCGGGAAGGAAGCTTCAACTAGAAGACTTGATGCATAAGACTTGATGCGCATCCATGTAAACGTTTAGGCGTCAGCTTAATTGAAAGGACGATTCGAGTCAAAGCGCTGATTTTGCATTAATGTAAACGTGGCTTATAGGTCACACCCCCAAAAAATGGCTGTTTTCAGAAAAAGTGGATATATAAGTTGCACCTATATATTTTTCCGGATGACGCACTGAAACTGCAGTGAAAAGTCCGCACGTGTGTAGTATGATCAAAATATATGTGCAAGCAAGTGCAAGTTTCATCATTCTCGTCAATGAATCAAAAAGAAATATGACCCCCATGGCAGATTTGCATGGTTAAGGTCCATACTTAGAAAAAAAAAACATATAAGCGGCACTGTTGTATCAGACGTGCAAACGAAAATTTTCTAAAAGATCCACAACTTGTGTACCATCAAATATGGTACATATTTTTTTATTTTTTCTTCCGGTTGGGTTTGTCATATCAGTGCCGAGCATTTCCCCTCCCCGGCACCAGGAGGTGTTTGGGCGCACGCAGGTGTCGGCGGACATGTTCAGCCTGTTCCTGCACCACAATGCTGCACGCTTCTACGCGGACGTGCACACGGCTGCCCTCTGCACGGACTGGTTCAGCCAGGCAGACTTCTTTCTCTCTGAGTGGAGCGTGAGTTTTCTATTTGTGTTGGATGCTGATGCTGGCCTCAAATAGAGCAACTGTATGTGCTCCGCTCGCGAAGCAGGGTATCGCAATGGTCTAAAATTTTTTACTTCAAGTTTTGGGGGAGAAGCAAACTTCGCTTTTGCGGGAGATGCGACGGGCAGAGCGACAGGCACGATGAATTTACAATGCATGCACCGTCCTGCATCTCCCTAATCTCCTGGAAGCACGAATGCATGGAATGGCCGTCGTGGTTTTCGTGCCGTCCACTTGCTTGTGTCTGCCTCGAAAATGTGCTCGCGTTATGAAAATAATGCAGTTACGCAAACCTAAGTGGCACGCACAATGTCCAAAGGTTCAAGAAGCTTGCTGTTTGTCAGACTTCAGGGCAACATCTACATTTCACGAGCGCAAAGAGAAACATACTACCCGTCCTAAACCCCGACGCTCCGGAAGGCAGCTTCCCCGCGAGTGCCGTTGTCAGATATGGTGTATGTGACCCCTTCTCTTCCAACGAGGAGTTGGCGGCAAAAGGAAAAGGAAGGCGATACTCTGGCTCTGCCATTTAGTTACTCTAGCCTCCATCAACAGAGAGCTCCCCCTAGAACTGTCGTAGGCACTTTCTCTACAAATGTGTGTCTCAAACGGTCCGTGGGTTTGGAGGCAGATTGAGTCTGCGTACCCGCATTGCGGTACCTGGAGCCTCGTCTCTGACTGGCGTGTTTGCGACCTTCTCAATTTGGGTTTCTCGATTTCCGCCCGATGACATCACACAAGTGTCGGACCATCGAGCGTCGCGGTTCTGGTGGCGGAGCAGCAGCGGGAGCGAACGTATCGGGCGTCTGTTCTGCTGTGGCTCCTTGTCTGCTCTGCAGTTAATGGGAGCTTCTGCAGAGACGAGTTGGGAAGCCGCAACAACGGCGACACTGGAATTTGCTCGTCATTTTCACCAGGCTGGCTCCCGTGGCATTTTTCGATGTTACTTCGAGGCAACTTTTGATGCACAGGCAGTATAGGATGCAAAACATGCCACTTAGAGACTTATTCCAGGCACCGTTTGGGCATTCCAAGTACAGTAAACTTTCGTTAGTTTGACCTTGGCTAATTCGACTTTTCGTTTAGTTCGATAGTGTTGAAAAGTCCCGGCAAGTGCCCATACTTTTCAATAGGAGGAAAGGTTTGATAGTTCGAACTTGGGAAGACTCCGCATCAGATAATTCGTCCCGGGCGAATGCGCGCAGGCTCTTGTTGCACGGCACCACGGCATAAAAACCACCAATGTACGGCGAATGTACGTTGGTGATCTGCCGAACGTGTGCAGATATGCGCCTGCTCCTTTACGCCGTTGAGATGGACCGTAGCGAATGACACGAACCAGCCAAACCAATCTGGCGTGGAGTAGCAAGGAGAACATAGCACGTGCGGGCGCGGAGACAACACGCGCTTTCAAAGCGCTTTTCTTTGGCATCGTCTACGGTCCATCTTGCACGCCAAAAAACGCAAATTCTTTTTCTTTTTTCTTTTTTTTTTTTTGTTGCTGGTTGCTTGCTTGGCGCCAAAGTGTTGCTTGCTTGGCGCCAAAGTTGGCTCGTAAAACTATCTCAGCGCGCGCTTTCAAAGCGCTTTTCTGTAGCTTGTGTGCGGTCCATCTTGCATGCCTAAAGCGCGGGTTCTCTTTTCCCTTTTTCTTTTGTTATTTTTCTTTGTTGCCAACGGTCTGGCTGCCCGACGCCAAAATTGGTTCGTCAGGCTTTCTTTTTTTTATTTATATATATATATTTTTTTTTTTGTAGTGGCGATTTTTTGGCGACGTAACGTTTAGTTATGTTGCTGTCCGGAGCATGCTTTTGGACACGAGTTTTAAGCACAGACGAAAGCAGACCATCCGTAAAGTACTTTGGACAATAAAAGGAACTTTAATTTTAAATGTTTTCCTGTCCTTTTTTTAATTCAATCATTCGGATAAATTTCACCAGATTTAAAGATCCCGTCGAGGTCGAATTAACGAAAGTTTACTGTATATTCTTCTTTGTTGCTCTTAACCCTCTTCATGAGCGACACTGAGCTGAACTGGAGAGCCTAGATAAGAAGAGCAACTCAAACCACAGCCAGCATTTGCAATTCAACGGCAGACGCCCCTCGCGCAGATTGCGCGCATGTGTTGCATTGTCGTGGGGTGAGGAGGAAAGCGGAAAAGGATGCGGAGACGATTGCAGACGATCGACGCTTTTGACTCCGCCTCGCATCTCGTATTGCAAACGTGGTCTGTTATCCACTTGAGCTGTTGGAAGCACTCTGCAGTTTATAGGCACACTGAGCTGAGCTGGCCCCTGTGCTGCCCCCTGGTGCAGGCGGAGGGCAGGATGGTCCCGTTTGCGGTGTCCCTGTGCACGCGGGGCCTCATGTGGGACCTGAGGAGGCCCCCCTCTGGCCGGGGCTGGCTGCCCCTCGAGAAGCCCCAGTGGGGGCTCACCGCCGCGCAGGTCAGAAACACCCCCTCAATCCAATGCATCGCGAGAGCCGGCGCTCGAGTTGTTGAAGTGTCCAACAGAGGGCACTCAAGTCCCAAAAATTCCTTATGTGCCTGAATACGACATTTATGTGAAACAAATAACTCCCCCCTTCAAAAAAGAAAAAAGTTACATTTTGTTTTAAGTTTGGATGGTATGAGCTGATGGGGGGTCAGTTAAACAGCATCAAAATTGTGCAAGTCACTGGGCCTTTCATGCACGTGATTGGTTCAGCAATAAAAGAGCACATACAGAAGTGTGACAAACACAATGTTTTTGTGTTTTGGATGCTGTTTGGTTGGTCCCATTAGCTCATAGCATTGGCTGCTTCTGGAGCTCATTTAGAACGAAGTTCATATGCTTCTATTCATGCTTCTATTTTGAGATCGGCATCTCGAAATATATAAGCATGTTACGGAGTCATTCCTAACTCAAAATGAGTCTCGTAACTGAAAACTAACATCTTTCTTTTGTGTAAAAGTTTTGTTTAGGCTTTTTTTACTTGTTGATGTGGCAATGTCGGTAAAGTTCCCCCCGTTTTGTTGCATTGAAATTTCGCCACACCAAGTTTCGGTGTCTAGTAGGCTTTCGCGAATATGGTAGATCTTTTGTTTGAAGCTAGTGCAAAGGGAATACAGTGCAATCTACTTCTAACAATAATGAGAAAAACCCTAAAATTCAATTGTTATAGCCAATTATTGTTGCATATGGGCTAGAAACTGATTGTTTCTAGTTTTGAAACTCTAGAAACTGATATGAGCAGTACATCTTTATATCCGGTATCTTTGTAAGTGGATTGCACTGTGGTGTTTTTGGAGGGCGCTTTTTGATTTGAATGGCGCTTTTTGATTTGAATATCGATTGGAAACTTGTGGATGATGTTTGTTTACACTCTTTGCACAGGTGAGGAAGAAACTCTTTGAAGTGAAGAATGCCTTCAGAGGTAAGGCTCTTTCTAAGGGCAGCTTTTCTGCTAGATGCCCTTTTGCCTTGTGTCCTTGTGTCTGTTTTCTTTTATCCTTTGGAAAATACCGCACTGTCTTCAAACCTGCTATCTCCTTGTCCCACGATCGTCGGGAAAACATTTGTCATGTGACGCTCTATACTTTTGAGTGCTTGATTGTGTGGCCCAAGATGCTTGCATGCCGCATTTGCACACTGCAAGGAATCTGTCCAAAATACTATCGTAAAATCCATAGCAAGCACCCGCTCAAAATTAAGATATAATCATGTAAAACTGGAGAATGGGTCAACAATATGTAAAGATATGTCCTCTGTGTATTTTGGGAATGTTACAAAATTCAGGAGTGGTCGTTTAAAGGAGCTGTGCAACAGTTTCAGTGCTGTGCTTAAATAATTTGGGAGCTTGTGTCTCGACCTTTCTGAAGCAAAAAACAAAAAAACGCTTTTGCCTGCACGTCCTAGTTTTTATTTCAAAAATGTACAGAAAATGAGGTATTCGGCACCTCTCAACTCCTTCACCATCTTCCGAGTCACGTGCGCTGTGACGTCAATGGGGGTCGCGCGGGGTTCCGGTGAAGCTTTCTTTAAAGCTATCAGTGAGCAGCGAGAACTCATCCGCTCGCGACCGCGTGACCACGTGCTGGCGGGCGCAGCGCGAAAAATATGGTGAAAGGAGGAAAGTCTCATCCAGGTCCGGCCATCCCCGTTCGGCTCTGTCCCCCTCCCCCTCCAGCTTCTGGCGGCTGTTCGCGGTAGCAGATAGGGCTGACGGTTTTGTTGACCTTGGATAGATGGCGCCACTAAAACTCCGTGTAATAAAAGCTTTGTCGATGATACCAGAGTTTTGACGCATTTATATTTATGTTGGAACGACAAGATTTATAGATAAGTTACCTTTTGTCGAGATGGTATTCGCACAACTTGCTATCTTTCTACAAGACCCCGATTGACATCATGCCGCGTGTTTCTCATGGCCGCCACTCACGGCTGCAGGTCAGGGAATATTCTAAGTTTTGCCTCGCGATTACGCGGCAGAATTGCAACATTTCGAAGAAAGGAGGTGTGTTTTCTGTCTTTTGTGACAAGATGAACAATGTCAAAAGTAGAAGATGCAAATTCTTTTAACTTTAAAATCGTTTCACAGCTCCTTTAATGTGGAATGGGCGGATGCTCGGTATTTTGCAGCAACTTTATTTTTATGTACGCAGAAAATACATAAACTGCTAATGAATGTAGCAGCAGCAGTTGGAATAAGATGCCAGAGCTTAAGAACTTAACAGTAGCTGGCTCAAAGGTTACGAGTGATTTCTGGAAATTCTCAGTTAGGAAATACATAGGTAAACAAATCTCCCGCTAATAACAAACCAGTTTCTCGTTGAAATTTTGAAGAAATGTCTTCTAACATTTGTTTTGGGAAGACACAGTGACGTCATGCGATACTGTAATGTCACATGATGTCACATGGTCAGATCAGTGACACCATGGCACGGCACTGACACATCATTTGATATGAGATCATGTGACACCACGATGTCAGTGTTACGAGACAAGACCTGACGTCACGTCACATGGTTACGTGACATTGTGCAACGCCATGGCACGACATTGTGACATCACGTCATGTGACACTGATGTCAGGCGACCGCTCATAATACTGCGAGGCCACGTGACCTCACAGTATTATGTGATGCTGCGACAGCTTATAGTAACAAACCCTCACATTGTGCCTTTCAGTGGGCTCCTTGGTGTGCCCGCAAAAGGAGGAATGCGAAAGGCCCTGTAAATGCTATGCATTTAGAATATTTGACTTTGAGAAATGTCTTTGCTGTCACGCTATCGCATTGCCGTGCCTGATCTGCGAGCAATCTTGACTGGCCGTCCTGCCTGAACCTTCATGATCTGCAGTATGGAACGAATAAATAAGTAGTAAATAATAAAAACAGGAAGCTCAAGTTAACAGTCACTACAAACTACAGTAAACCTTAGTTGAGCGAACTTCAAGGGACCCATGGAAATAGTTCCCCTGAAACTTCACTGAACTGAATATATTCACTAGAAAATAGTGCAGCATAGGGCACGACATACATCGAGTCAAAAGTGTGAAATGCAATTTATGGAGTCATGTATATGAAGTGCATAACAGTTTTGTTGCTGCCTTTCTCATTTTGAAAAAAATCCGTAATTTTCATTTGCATTGTTGCTTTTAAAGCGCATGAAGTAACAAAGCTGTCCAGAGAGTCTCTGTCTTTTTGCACTTCCTCTGGCACAGCTTGTTGCTGGGACGAAGCCATACCGCAATGTCATCCTCCACTGGCTCGAACTATCCCGTGCAGAGTTGTTTCCTGTTGGGATTGAACGCAGATTCTTCAAGCTTTGACTTTTGCTTCACTATCGTTGACAACATTTTTGATGGAATCCCATAGTCCTCCACAACGTCAACTTGCCTTTGACCGTTGTCCAGATGCCGAAGGATTTTAAGCTTGTTTGATAGAGACGTTTCTGTTTCGTCGTACTCATTACGAAAGTGGGCGCCGAACTGCCGTCATGCCGTTGTTACTCAAGACTAAGGTGGCCGAACGTAACCGATGACAAAGAAAAAACAGACGCACCACGTGGTTCGTTTTCGTCTACCGCACCACCGCTTTGCCTCGGCGGTGCTGTAAACGCCAGCGATGATACGCCGCCGCTGCAGAGGCGGTGGCGGCGGGGCAGCGGGAATTGGCTACGCCATCACTGCAGAGCACAAAACTTTGTTGAACTGATTGCAGAGCACAAAACTTTGTTGAACTGATTGCAAAAATAATCCTGGGTCCACCAATCAAGTTCGTTGAGCTGAAATCTTCGCTATTCCGAAATTTATTAATTTGTTTAACTGAAACATTTTTCCATAGAATGTATGGGAAAACTGCCGGGGATTTTTTAAAAGTTTGGTATTCTGAAATATTCGTTAAACCGACGTTTGCTCAAGTGAGAGTTTACTGTACATGCAAACTATGGACACCAGTGGATTTCTGGATATGGAGAAATGGAGGTTTTTTGTGTTTGATTTTGTTAGTGCCGAATTTGGATGCCAAGCTCAATCGAAATGACCAAATTGGTGAAATAGGCTGGTTGGAGTGCAGCGACCGCTTGTATTTGGTCATGCTTCCACGAGGAATTACAAGGCCGCGCAAGTTTGCGATATTGTGCGGGATTTGAAAGAAGCCGATGTCGAATTAACGAGGTGCCAACTTGCCGGTGTAACCAACCAATACCTCGAGTGGGTTCGATCCACCTGGCCCAGACTGCGCATAAATTCATGCGGCCCGAATTTGCAAACTGACACCGTGCTTTTGACATAGGCTTGGGCGCAGCATGATCAGTCTCGCTTTTTTTACCATTAATCTTAATCACCATCATTATCATTATCGTGATTTGCGCAGGCTGCCATAGCACGGGCTCGGAGTTGCAGCTGGATCTGATTCCTTTCCTCGCTCTGCTTCGTGCGGGAGACCTGAGCCCAAGTGAGTCTGAGCTTTGCGTTTGGGCAATCGGAAAGTCGCACGCTTTTCGAAGGTTCCAGGTTTGATTGGTTCCAATGCTACCGGCGTGAACATTGCAAACTCTTCAAGGTCCGAGTTCAACAAATTGGAACTTTGTACATAAAAACGCAAAAGGTAGAGACTGCCGGTATCTCCTGTTTTTCTCTTACAAATAAACAACTGCCATAAAACCTACTGATTTGGCAACAAGTCCTCATTCAAAACAGTAGCTTAAGCAGTACTAACAATTGGTGGCATCTCTGTCTGAGTAAAATGTAGGAAAGTGTCGATGCGGGGTTTGTGCTAACTGTGTCGCACAATGAACATTCCTATAGGTTTTGCATTGTGTTCGGACATGAAAGCTTCATCTCAGATAATGCCTTTGTTTGTACATCACGCATTTAAAACTATATTTGAGCCTTCCAGTTTCCAGACAAGTGTCGAGGTTTCTTGAACCTGTGGTAGATGCGGTAGATTGGGAAGCCCGAAGCTAAGTCAATCAGACCCCACCAACAAATTGCTACCATTCATGACCTATAGCTACTTTGAGAAATGCTCTTTCTTACTTTATGTTTTCTGGGAACCATAATTATGTGCTTGTTTCGTCTCTATGTTTTCTTTATTGTATATTCTATTTCCCTCTTTAATGTTAATGACCTTGAAGGTGAACAAACATATAAATAAATAAACACTCCTGATTGGTTGTACCAGTTGACTCAGCAGGTTAGAAAGTTTGAGTGACATGAAACAGCTTTCAGATCGACTCGATCTCAAATGCTAGGAGACCTCTTCCACTGCTAGTTTTGACCAAGCTCCACGAACAAGCACCATGTTATCTGCAGGTATGAGGGCCATGGTAGACGAAATTGGGATTCTGGACGTTGGGGCCACAAATCGGTAAGTTGGGCTACCTTTCTAGTTTTGATCAACCTTTAGAAACTGAGAAATTGTCAGGAAATTTGGGAAAAGCATCATGATAGTGAGAAAACGTTGCGAGTTACAGATTACCTTATTGCAAGTTCTGTCGAGCACACATGCCTTGAGTACCCGGACAGAACCTTTTGGTGTGCAGGTAGTTCCAACAAATAGCGAAGCACCATGAGGACTCCAAGTTAGTCTCATTCTTTTGGGATTTGCAGGCAGTCAGCATCTACAGTGACACACTGTCATTACAATTATCAAGCTTCTGGACCTACTTTCTCCAAATTAGTTTGGAAGAATAATCGGGACTTGGCTATAGAAGTCTGGGACTTCAGGAGTGTCATTGCACTGGACAACATTCATTGTTTGTGGCCACCGAGTGTCTTGCATTAATGCAACTTACCGGCCCCAAATTAAAGTGCATCTCCTGCAAAAGCACCCATTTCTCACAACTGAACTTTGTTATCAGTTGTCTGCATTTATGCCATGTCATCTCCGTGTAACTCGAAGCTGTTTGGCGACGCATGCTAAAAATTAGGGGCATGCAAGTAGTGATTCAAATTGAATAGCGCAGAGTCGTCTCTATTTTCAGTGCTGTTATGAGAACCGGTTGCCTTTGCTATTCATTGCACTATGAAGGCTATGAATTATGTCGCAATATTCTATTCGAACCACAATTCTCGCATCTTTTTCTAATAATAGCACGTCTGTTTTATGACGTTTCTTACAGGAAAAAGAACGAAATGCTCGCAGAACGGGACTGGATAGACGAGCGAGCCGAAAACTCTGTAGATTTCAGCGGAAGCAGCATGGAAGAGCTCCCCGAATTCCCAGACGACAAAGACGATGAAATGGTCATCGAAGAGTTTGACGATTGAATTTTTGTTGTCGTAAAATACAAGCGTGGACGAACCGCCAATGAACTGGACTAGTCGTTTCCACTGATAAACTGGGTAATGCAAAAATAAATGCTTACCATGAAATCCCGTGAGGGTGCCCTCCCCCAAAAAATCGCTCATCTTGTTTTCCTGGCTAAATATCAGTAACATAAAAATTCTGAAACATCGCCCACCCCCGGTTCCTGTGACATACCACGCGAATGTCCAACAGGGATCGCATCAACCGCACGATCTGCGGTGCCGGTACGTGTGACAAGTGAGTTTGCAGCAGGATCCCGTGTTTTTGTCCACGATCTGCGCGCGCGATATCGGTTCCAGTGGCATGCAAGTTTGTAGCCGGTTTCCGTGTGTTCATCACACCGTGAAACACGAATCTGTTGCATAAGCAGTGTGCGGTATCCTTTCCTGTGACACAGGAGTCTGTGGCGTATTCCCGCATGTTTATCGCATTGTGAAATGCGAATTAGCCGTGTCCGCGACCTACGGTATCAGTTAATGTGTCACGTGGTTTGTAGCGGGTGCCCTTCTGTTCATCATTAATTTTTTATAGTTTTGCTGTCTCATCCCCAAGCATCGGCCACTACCCACTTCATGTTTTTCACCATATTCACGGGTGGTGACCAAAAGAACAATAAATAAACAGGAAGAAATAAACGTTTAATGTGGCGAACTTGTGCCAAAAATGAAAGGGTACAAAAAATAATAACAGAGCGTCGCGGGCGTCGTAGTTGGCGTAACAGCAGAGTCGAACGCTGGGGCGAGACTGACTCTGCTCGCCTTGCGGAGCCTCTTATGTACCCTCGTGGGTTTCTGGATCGTTCGGCGTAGAACTTTCGGTGCATAGAATATTCGGAACTAGATCAGACGAGAATGCTCTCGAACTTACGGGAAAGCCAAATTGAAAGAATAAATAAAAGGACAGTCCGCTGACTGGAATCGAACCTACACCTACCGCGCAAAAGTCAAGCGCGGTAACCACTCGGCCACGCGCGCGCGCACTTGCTCGCCGACGCGCGTGGCAATATATCTCTTCGTTCTGGGTTGACACCCTTAGGGGATTTTACGGTAGTTACGTTTTGTTTAAACTCACTCTGGCCTATGTATCCCGCAATGAGAAAAACAGCGCACAAGTATGAAGGCAGAAAAGAAACATTGCATCTATTGTTCATTAATTTATTTATATATGTATTTATGTATTCATAATCACTCATAGGCTCATGCAGAGCATTCATGAAAGGGGGACAAAAATATAAAACAATTCGAGATATAAACAGAAGCTCAAGCACAAAAATAAAAAAAAAGTCCCAACGATGCTTAAGACGGGGAAAGAAAATCAACAAAGATAATGCTTACAATGTATATATATATATACATGCAGCACAATAAATAAATGTTACATTTGAAATACAGGCAGAAAAACAGATTGAAAGATTAAAAGTCTGTGAAAGGATGGAAATACGGTAGATATAAAGCTGAGATAAAGTATTACTAGTAGGGTAGTAAACCCAGCTTTTTACTTTACTTGCTATATATGTATCGCAGTTGTTGGGCTAAAAAAAACAAAGTAATTTTTTTTATTTTAGGCCCACTCTTGCAAAGGATTCATGTCCGGTTTGCATTCAAGTCTGTGGGAAAAATTGGGAGGGAGGCAAAAGGGCTATTTGGAGGGACGCTCCTCTCCTGTGGTACAAAAAGTAGTGAACCCTGCTGGTTACACATGTGTCCAAACGTTCGAGCAACTACTGGTGGTGTTGAAGGAATGAAAGTGTGGAATATGCAGAAACAGAAACGAAGACACACAGGTGCAAGCTTTCAGCTTGTCACATTTATTTCGGAACATCGGAACTGTGCTCCAGCCAACTTGGTGTGTCTTCTGCACATCCTGGAGGCTGGGAGGCTCAGACAGCCACCCTGGAACCGTCCACGCATAGAACACCTTGGGTGTCTGGGCTTATTTTCAGGAAGGGAGGACCTAATCGTAATAATAATTTATTTTTTGTTGTATATGCATACGCCACAAGGAAGGCTCGAGGTACACCAAAGCACTTGTTACGAGTTGAAAATGCGAAAGTATACACATCATTCTTCTGCTCCCTTATTTCGTCTGCACCGTATTTGCGTCGACATCAGAGTGCGCCCTTTCCTTGCCACTCTGACATTGGACATTTCGTGTTACGGGTGCGATGACGGACACACAGCTCCGTGGGGTGGCAGTCGTTGAAACTGATGCGCAGCGGCCAATGGGAGGTTCGTCGACACGTTCCAGCCAATTGGACCAAAGCCGAAATCCATCAGCTTTACACGGCTCCTTTGGGATCGGGGAAACTAGGTGCCATTGTCTAGGCTTTTCACATGGTTTTGGTTTCATAGCTGGGAGCTGGCTTCACTTGGAGAAGGATTTAAGGTGCCATTTGGCGCGGCTTCAAAGCTGATGACGTCGGCTTGCTCCATGGGACAGTTAGCGCTTTTGCAATAAAATACAATCAACACATCAACATGCTGCAAGTTAGTTACATGTAGGGGTGTCGCGAACCGACCGCGGTTCGAGTTCGACCAGGTTCGACTTTTTCGAACTTTTAGTGGAAAGTTCGTCGAACCTTGTATTGAGGTTCGACTCGTGTGCGCATGCGCGACAGGCTGGCCAGTTGGCTTCGGATTGGATGGTAATGGCTAAGAGATGAATGAAGTGCAGCGCTGATTGGCGATTTCAGTCAATACAGTACTAAAAATTAAGTTATTAACTTCTTCAGTGATTAGAATTAAGTTTCTTTTAATTGCAGCTGTTCACAAAATAAAATAAACCTTTGCATAAAAACAAATTCTCCAAACCTAGACATGCTTGCATCAAGGTCTGGCCACACTGTCCACAAAGTCGAACCGGTCGAATCTGGTGAAAAGTTCGAAGGTTCGTCGAACCGGTTCGACCCGATCGAACCTCGAAAGTTCAACCAAAAAATCTGGTTCGACAAAAGTTTGCGACACCCCTAGTTACGTGGGTTAGAGAGGAACTCAGTAGTTGGGTAACTCCGGTACATTTTCTCAATTTTAGGGTTACAACTGTTTTAGTGAAGGTGTAATTCTTTAATATTTTTTTTCTATTCATTGTGTAGTTTTGTAGACATCTTGATCTTGAAGTTTTGTTTCGGGGGTTTACGTCGAAACCGAAACTACCAGCACGAGCATGATGGCAAAGCTTGTAATCAGCGGCGCGGCCATCGTGTGACGCAAAGTTTGTACGTACAGAGGTACCGCAAAACGTGCGACTGGCCTAGTCTCAGGAGCCGTCCCGACCAGTCAGGCAAGATGCTACGGCTGTTTTACTGCTTCGCTTCCTATATCAAACATCTGTAGCATATATTAATACTCATTCATAAAGTTGACGGTTGAAAAGCGGGTTTGCCACGAGCGCAGGTTCAGAACGAGCCCCCACTTATCTTCTGAAAAGAACAACAATCGTGGTGGCATGCAATGTACGTTGCAGACGCCTTGGAGAAGCTAATCGTACGCTCGTGCTGAGCAGGTACGGACTAAACTATGGTCGCCAGTGAATACCACCTTTGGCGCCTCAAGGTAACCTCCTCGAGTACGAACATGACATTGGGGCACAAGGTTGCTTGACAAACAGCCATCCCTTTGAATGGCCGCCGAGAAGCTAGTGGTCGTGTTTTTAATAACTGTTCTAGAGTGGATCGCGGTTTCCCACTGGTGTAATAGTTTAAACAGTGCACGTAGTTAGTCTCGGTAAAGCGATAGCAGTCATTTATTTTGGTTTAACTTTTGACCGGAGTTATTCTTTAACTGTTTACCACATGGTGGGTCATATGTAGCCACATACCAAAAAAGAATTTACAGGTTATTTTACGAAACACGGGCAAAATTGCTATCGCCAAAAGTTTGTGTAACACAGCACAAAAAAAAAAAAGGGTCAATGTCATATTTGTTTTTGCCAGGGGCCTCTAAACTTTACGGCTAAGAGGCTGAATTGGGGATCCAATGTTGCCTCTGAGGGCCGGAAAAAAAAAAAAAAAAGAAACGTTTACAATTTCCTATAACGCAGAATTAGAGCGCAGCTTTTGAGGAGGAGGGGGGAGGGTATGCCTTTCTTCCTCATGCATACCCTCTCCTCCCCTGCCCCCCCCTCCTTTCCTCTTCCTCCTCCTCCTTGAGGTTTTTCGATTTTGCGATATACCATGCTAAACAACCTGAGAAATATATATTTATAGGTATATACATATATTATGGTATTCTTGCTCACCGCTTGCCCAGAGAAAGAAAATATAGTTCTCACATCTGGAAGCTCCACTCTGTCTAAGTTCTGCTGGTGCCAGGAAGCAGGAAAGTAGGAGCAAGGCGGTAGAACGAGACAGCATTAGAGTCAATACTTTGAAGAAGCACGTAATACTCTTGATGTCATTCTACTTGCTGTAGGCTCTGTCGAAGACTGCTCGGCGTTTTTGATTTCCTCGACATTAGTCTTGAGCGTGCTACCCCGAGATGACACATCAGGACAGCGAGTGCACGTCCCTCGTGACCTTTGTGATGTCACTCGCGAAGGTCGTGTCTTTCGTGGTGTCGCGTGTGACATTATTATGGGGAATGTCCCATAATGCAATGCGCGGGTCACTGGTGACCTTCATGACGTCACTTGTGACATCACACGTGATGTCACGTGTGACGTTATGCGCATGCAAGTGACATGACACGCGTGTGACGCGCTTGCTGTCATGCGCGGGTCACGAGTGACCCACGCTTGGCATTATGAGACGTCATTACGGGAAACGTCCCATAGTGCAACGCACGGGTCGCGAGTGAGACCCGCGCGTTGCATTATGGGACGTTTCCCATAATGAACCGTGCAGTTACGCCGAAACGTCCCATAATGTGTCGGCGTGACAGCTGGCTGTCACGGGAATTAATCGGTGAATAAATTTGATATATTGCGCTCGGCTCCTTATTTTCTAAACTCATCTCGAAGATTCAACCTAGAATGTTTGGGAGTTAGCTAGGGCGAGACTGACTAGGCAAGCTCATTCAGGCCTCCTTTTGAACTCAGGGTAAGAATAAGCACGAAACATCTGATGCACGGAAGAGCATTTCTTCTCCGTCATTCACGCGGCATTATTTCCCCCTTTAAAAGTGCAACGCCTCGATGCAACCTTAAGTAAATTAACACAAAGTTAAACCAGCAATCAGTAAACTGCAGGGTCATCTGAATCATAAATAGACCTCCGTCCTATTGAGTGTAGAATGGCTTGAGTCAAATGATGTGAACCACCTCAGGTCGTGGTCGGCGTCATGATGACACTTACATTCTGTTGGGCACCACTTCGTAGTTGAGCTCTCCGAGGTGACAAAGTACCTTGGCGAATTCTGGCACAAGTTCGCCAAGGCGATGAAGTGGTACTTTGTCGCCTCGAGGAGCTCAACTACGAAGTGCTGACCCACGGAATGCAAGCATCATCACAACGCTGACCACGACCCGAGGTGCTGCAAACTACAGTTTTAATAGTTTGTCGCCGAGGCCGCGGCGACGGATGGGTGTCCACACCCACACCCTATCTCCGGGCTGGAAGTGAACGTCTTCACGACAAAGGTTCCCAAGCAACGCATAGGTGGATGGCCAATCTTTGACCACTGATCGATTGGCAGTCAGTTTTGTATGGCCAGTCTTCGGTAACCGAATGGGCAATGCTCTAAATCTGTCCTTGTACGACTACAGCCGTTCAGTGAACTTGCATTCAGCTTATGGATGGCCGTGTAGTGTCCGTTGACCAGCCTTACTCGGGCTGGTGGAAAGTCGATTGCAGGACGTCCATTTCATTGTTTTGTATGGCCAAATAAATGCATTTGGCTAAACTTTTGCGGAAATAGGGCTGCTTAACTTGGACCTTGGCGAGGCCATCTTCGGTAACCGATCATCGGGCCGATGTATAAATTAAAGCTTGTGCGAGCATGCTCGGTCTTGGCGATCGACAGCTGGGGGGCACTTTCCGCCTCATTGTGCAGATTGTGGGTGCCAGACCGACTTCCATCACGTCATGATTGCTGGAAGGAGGTAGACCAGATGACTAGGGAAATTTTAGAGGCCTACATGATCAAAAAGAAGGGACTGGGCAATGTGTAAGCCACACGTCGGTCCTTCTACATAGCAAAGAGATCTGTTATCTGGATACATGCTGAATCGGCCATGATGGTGTGGAAGGCTGTTGTTTACTTCTGTGTCTATTTTCAATAAAAACTTCAGTTGCGAGAAAGCGCATCAGGCCATTCAATTTTAGCCAGAGCCAGGCCATTCAGCTTCGGCCGTATTCAGGCCGTTCAATTGCGGTCAGTGACGGGCCTTTTTATTGTGGCCAGAATGAGGCCATTCAAATGTGGTCAGAGCCAAGCCGTTCAGGTTGGCCGCAGTCAAGCCATTCAAATGTGGCCAGAGTCAGGCCATTCACTTTCGGCTGCTGTCAAGCCACTAATTTCTGGCCAGAGTAGGGCTGCTCTAATGAGGTCAGAGTGAGGTCAATAAGGACAGCCGTGAATCATAGCCACTGACAGTTATTTTGGTGCAGCGAGGACTTCAATGATAATTTGCAACCTTTATTCTTCCAGTCATTCCTTATCCCTAGTCTCTTGACTTGCTAGGGCGTCGACGGTTTGTGCGTCCTCCGTCACGGTCGCCTGATGAAGAAAGCCACCTCTTGGCGACAGCAGCAACAGTTGAGCGGTCAGCCATGTTGAACTTGGGCTTCAGTGCAGCTGAAAAGAGAAACATAACATGACTGCATGACCCAGATATGGAAACATACTATCAAATAAATACTTTATTTATAAGCAGTCTCAGGGTTGAAGGATATTAAGGACACAAATGGCGATATAGCATCTAGGAATAAATAGAGGTGTGCAATATTTCCCTACTTAGAATAATTAGCAAATAGCTTTTGCTATTTGTTTTGCAGGTCACATTTGCTGTTTGAAGTATGACAGTCGCTCGAATGTTGGAAAGCTATAAATAATGTCTCATACTTCTCAGGTTTCTCATGTCAAGCTTACGACCTACTCTATAGACTGTTTTATCGTGGGTAGCGCCATTCTGAATACTGTAGTGCCATCTAGCAAGCATCAGGTTCTGCGGCCAAGCTTTGCCAAGCTAGCCTCAGGGGTAAAGGCGGAAGCAGACCGTGTGTGTACATCTTCCCTGTCCGCGTCTTTTTGCACTGTTTTACCCTTTTAAAATGCAAAACCAGCTAGCCCAACTCACCACTGTGCTACAAACAGTAGGCGCTGTCATCGGTGGTCCAGAAGGAAAGAATGAGAAAGATAGCAGACGATAGGTCAGGCATGTTCATTTCGCTGCAACAAGTTAGAGTTGACTAATCGCATGTCAGCTTTGATGTTTTTATACAATGCATGACACTGGTACTTGTTTTCTTACAAGGCAAAGCTGGCAAGGCACTAGGTGCATACCTTGCAAGTTATGTTCTACTGCTTTTTTGCATTTATTACGGCGTCACAGGCGATCTGGGCCAACTGGAACTATCAATGTCTGCATTTATGCCCCGCCTTTCCTAAGCAGCCACAATGCATGGGACCTTTTCCTCTAGATCAGGGGTGGCCAAACCGCGGCTCGCGGGCCGCATGCGGCTCTTTGCTGGTCACGGTGCGGCTCGCGGATCCCTTGTAAAGAGACCTCCCCCCTCACCCCTTTCTGCGTTTCCCCAGGAAAATGGAAAGGATTTCAGAATAAAGGACAGCGTGCAATTTGGCAGCCTTGTGCCAAACCGCACGCTGGCTGTGCGCGTTGGCTGTGCGTGCCATGCGGCTGCACTTTTGATCGCTTCCGCAACTTCCCACTTGCAGTGATGTGATTGGCCTAAGCCATTTTGGAGCACCTTTTGGAGCAGCCAAAACGATGTTTTGGAGCAGCAAAAGTGGCTTTTGGAGCAGCCAGAACAGTGTTTCGGAGCAGCAAAAGTGGTTTTTGGAGCAGATATTCTTAGAAAAATAAAAATATTTGTTTTAAGTGCTGGACGAAGAAAGGGCACTTCACTCGCCGCAATAAACAAATTATGGTCAAGTTCAACCACCTGGGTGTCTCAACATGTAACTGAAATGCCAATGACATGACACATTTTGCAATGCTTCAGTTAAATTATACATATATATGTACCGTTATTGATAAATAAGAACCAATCTGCACATATTAAAATTTAATTGAAAATGACCACGTTATTAGTAAATAAGCTGGTCTATTAGGAAATAAGCTAGTAGGTTGACTACCGTAGTTATATAATATAATAAATGGAAGCAGTCTCCGACTGATGAAACACGTAACTACTGTAGTCCAATGCGAAATTGTACACAAGACGAAGGTGCTTTTCTTTTTTCTTTTCGAAACTTTTTAGTACAAGGCTGCTGCAAGCCTCGCTTTGCCTTTGACTAGTAATGAATTCCCACTTTCAATGTCTCCAATGAGACATTGAGACATCTCACAAGTGAACAGTGCTGTGGCCGTTGCCGAGCGATTCCGAAAAACCGCTTGCCACCGTTTAACTGGTTCCCGACGTGCCAGACCTTCGTCAAAAGTAAGCAAACGTAAAGCAATGGGTTGCAAGTGTCCCGGCTGGTGCCTCTGTCGTGCAGTCATGTTCGCATGCACATGAGGGCAACTTCGGCAGGCTTGCATTTGCACGTGCTTCGTCGCGTGAGCGGAGATGGCTGTTCGATCGAAACAGACACCATGCCACTCCGCTCCGTCGCCAACTGGTTCCCAAAATTGTATGCAAAATGTAATTGTCCAGCATACGACAAAAAAAAGTCCAGCGGCAAGTGCTTGCCAGGCCGGCAGGCGAGGTACAAGCTAAACACATAGAGAAAAAGAACCTGAGCGAGTCAGGTCAAAACAATACATCGCAAGTCAGGGTCAAAAATGTACTTGGAGCGCTTTGTACAACGACTGAAGCACTGAAGCGTCAACACACGCCCACGTCTATCGTTGAAATTGTTTTTATAAAGACGCAAGACGAGACCACGGTGTAGGAGAGACACATGAACGACGAGCGCGTGAAACGAGAGGTGGCGGGAAAAACTATGCAAGACCGGATGGACGATTGATACAGGGTGCTTATTGTTGGCCGGCCGCTTGCGCTACCTAGCTCATGCATGCTAAGTTACGGTACTCAGTTTAGTTTCGGTTTTGAAAGACGACCAAAATTGATCTTTTGGCGCAGGCTTGGCGCAGTTCACCCATATTTTGGCAAAATGTAGCAGGATGTAGCAGGGTTCGCCCCTTGGCGCAGTTTGGCACAATTGGCGCAGCAATCACATCACTGCACTTGCAGCTGCAATTCGCGTGGGGTTTGGCTTGGCCTGGCCAGGCCTGGTTGCTTGGCAGCTTAATCTAGGCTCGCTGAGCCAAATTTAAAGTATGTTATTATGCAAGGGAAGAAAAATGCAAAAAATGGACAAGTTGCAATGACCTCTGAGTTGGAGCAAAAAGAGCAGATCTGGAAATTCATCTTTGCTATCAGTTTCCACCATAGTTCCTGCGTTGCCACTTCACTTGTGCTAAGCCCATGTTGTCCACTGGCCACAGAGATAGCGGCCGCCCACCATGACCAAGGTGTCTTTCACATATTTTTTAACTTTTTTAAATAAGGGAAGTGGACATTTGATATGCCCTTTGAGAAGCTGCAAGGAAAATAAGCTTTCCATATTCAAAATATTGGTGGAACTTACCAAGCACAAGTTCCAGGATGTTCCTATAATCAAGTAAGGCCTCCTTGGCACCGTGGGACCCTGCCCAGCTACAGCACTTTGCCACAGAATTGCTGATGAGCAGGCCAAGAACGGCCCTGGCTGCAGCCTTGTGGTCCTTGCCACCATTTTGGCGGAAATAGGTCGCCTGGTGAAGTAAAAACGATTTGCAAGTATGATTACATGTTCATTGCAACATTATTAGGTATAGTTGGGCTAGACTTTCTGCCATGAAACAGAGCACACTTGCTCTCTAATCAAATTAACAATTTCTATAAAATCATCAAGTACAAGTTGCTGAATATCTCTGAGGCTCTATAGAGCACTCCACCAAGGGTTGTCGTCGAAGTCGTCAAAAGGGGAACTGCCCCATGCCCATACTTCGGACGAAGACGGCAATGTTGCAGGCGCTACGCTGCGTGTGCCAACATACGCGGAAATGTCATGTTTCATGGCATTCGGGGGTTTGCATATGCCCCAGACGGCATTGCTGACTTGCTTCTGAATGTTGCGGCCCACGAAAGGGAATTGCCAATTAATCTTCTAAAAGATGTAAAGCGAAAATACAATTTTATCAGTGCCTTTACTGCACCACTTTTTTTTCTTTTTATCTCTTTATAGGCTTTTTTCCCTCTTGACCTAGCAGGTTATTAGCCTCGAAGTAATTATAGAAGTTACACATAATTTTGTCACACGGGGCCGAGCCCCAAAGTCGTAAATATTGTTTCCTGGATTATATGAATCATACAACGCTTTTGCACAGTCCCCTAAAAGTCGTATAATCAGTGTTCCACTGTATGTGTTGAAAAATTCAAGAACTATGGCCCAGCAGAAACCATTTTCTTTACCCCAAGTCACACATGCTTTGCAAAGGCAGATTTCGGTTTGTTCAGACACAAATATCAAAGGAAATGCCAAAGTACAAAGTAATAGATAGTTCTGATTGTCAGACATCATTGAGTTAACCCTTACTATTTGAACAAGGCTCCTCTATCAGGGTGGTGTGAAAGTTGCAAGCTGCTTGAGTAGCACTCAAGAAAATTCAGACAGGTGTAGAAATAGTGTTCAACTGCATATTCCGCTGTTCTTTCCCAGTGCCAAAATCGATTCCTCATTTTATTATGTCCAACACAGTTGAATTGCATAATAGTTGTTTAATTTCACAGAAATGTGACTTAGTCATGAGACAATGTTCTAACAAAATGTTCAGTTCGGCTAGTTGGTTCATGACTGGATAGAAGTGCCGAAGGACAGGGACAAAGTGAAAGAGGTAACGACAACACAGAGCGCTCTGTGTTGTTGTTACCTCTTTCCTTTCAACAATGTTCTAATATATCTAGGATAGCTGGCTGTACTGCTTGCACTAGGCAAATTATCGAGATACACCAATGTTTAGAAATACGGTCGCCGACCGATTTTTCAGACACGTCCGATTATTTGGACATTTTCGCCAAACCGTCACTCACCCCACAAAGTTAATGTATAACATTGACTGAAATTTCAGACGTCATTAAGCTTATTGTTCAATATTTTGAACATAATTTGCATGATTTCCTCAGTTTACAGCCACAAAAAAGCCGCCGCGAGCTTAGTCATCGCCATTTTGGTTTTGATTTTGCCCCGTAGCCTCGATACCACGTCCTACGCAATAAACAAGCTGGGTTGAGGCTATAGTAGGGTCGTCTGCCCATTCTTATGGCTCTTCCAGTTCTTCTCGTGCTCCGTGTTTTTCGAGTGTGACTGCGAGAAGAGCGGCCAGCTGCCGTTCTTGAGGTCTTTGAGCGCTAAGGTTTTTTGCCGATAGGCTTAGTATTGAAGCAAGCTTGGTGGACTAAACCTTGTCTACAAATGGTGCCATATGGTGCCAACTTCAACGTCACTGTGTGTGCCAACGAAGGTGCCAACAAAGCGCAGCACGTGATCAAACAGATCAACAATTGAGTAAAAAGTGAACAATATAAAGCGGAAGTTGCACGAGAACTTAAAATCGACATCGAGCAAGTGGAAAGTGGCCAATATGCAGCGGAATATGCGTGGAACTTTGATATTTTGGCTGAAATCAAATTTTTGGACCGCTCGAATATTCGGACCATTTCGGGGTCCCTCCGAGTTCGAAAAATCAGTCGGTGATGCATTGGCAAAGACAGATCCTTTAAAAATGCACCCTGTGCAGCAGAACCCCGATGAATGTGTTGCTAAATTGCTAGACGTACAGATTTAACTATTTGATTACAAATACCATTTGATCGAGCTTCTCTTTCTTCTTAAGGTATGTGTTGAGCGCTTTCATCTCTGCGGGACTGCTGGCAGGCAGGGTAGGGCAATCGTCCGGCAGCACAGGAACGAGAACACCTTGAGCCGCTTGATCCCTGAGTGCATTCACTCGCGCCAGCAGGTTCGCCTGGTTGCTGAGGACCCGCTCAAAGAAAGCTGAAACACACATTTCTTTTTACCCACCTGGAGAGCAACAAAAATCACAAGAATGCATCATCTACGCAGTGGCGTCACAAGAGGGGGGGGGGGGTAGCGGCGGGCCACCGCCCTGGGTGCCGCTGACCCTCGCGGCACCACTGCATCTATGTATCATCTGTCACCCAATGTATCACCTATCTATTAATGTGAAATATTGTAACATAAAGCACAGTTTGTGAGAACAATTAAAATTTTATATCAGCTTGGGCACTACTTTAGAAAGAGCTTCTAACTGAATCAGAAAATAAAATCTTGCTTTGGTTGCTTCTGAAATTATATCACCGGAAGAAAAAGAAATTGTGTTAGAACACTTGTATTTTTGAACAATCTCAGGAGGCACAGTAACACTACCATAGAATCCCAAGCAAGCACCTCAGAAACAAGCATATGAGATAACCACGAAAAAGTGAGGACAGGCACACGTTAGGTCCGAGAGCACAAAAGCAGAAGGGGCACGGGGCATCTGGTAGGGCAGCACTTTGATGTGACGAAATGGTAGAGGAGGAGCACAGGGGTCTGGCAGAACCCTTAATTGTTAAAGCAGCAGTGCCGCTCTCATTAAGCCTGCTTCGTGCTGCCACCCTCGCACGAAGCTTTACCATTTTGCAACGACACAGATAAAATTTTACTGCATTGTAGTCTTCTCAGAGAACCAACTGACGTGGAAGAGCACATCGGTTAGCTTAATGGGCTCAGAAGTTTGCTAGGGTGGCTGCTATGTCCTTCACCTGCATGTATTTCAAGTGTTTCAAAAGTAGGTGGTGCATGCTTACTGCAGCATGGGTGCATGCTCAGTTTTTTACGGAACACCTTTTCGCCTCAGTTATGAAAACCTCCCAGCACCCCAATTTGCACACATGCAATGCACTCCCTGATTAGTGCAAGAATAGAGCTGTAAAAGGATATTGCACCTCATATACAGTAAAACCTCGTTATAACAAAACGGGATATAACAAACTAAGGGATATAACAAAGCAATCATAATTCCCCTTGCTTGCTAATAGTGGGAAGAAATGGACATTGGCTATAACAAACTAATGGTTATAACGAAATAATTATGACCGCTCCTTCAACTTTGTTATAACGAGGTTTTACTGTAGCTTATAAAATCAAAACCGGTTATAACGTAGTCAACGGGAATCGGAAATCACTTCGCTATATCCGCTATTTTATTATAACCGACTTCGGTTATAACAAAGTGCAAAAGGGGAATGGGAAATTATGATCCCTTTGCTACATCCGCTATCTTGTTATAACCAACTTCGTTATAACCGGTCTCGACAGTATCATACAGAGCAAACGAGTGAAGTGAAACATGATCGGACAATGTTAGCAGAAAATCTTTGGTAAATTCTTGCTGTTTCCATTTAGATGTTCTATGACCAATAAAAAGATGCAACAGCTTTCACTTTGGGGATCAGAACTGTGTTGAAGTGTTTATAGGGTATAGGTTTTCTCACCATCTTGGCGATCAGTCAAATCTTGCCACATCTCCTTCATGAGTGACTTCATACTTGAAGCACCTGCAAAATTATTTTGGAGTTATATAGGATAAATCCCTCTGATAACATGAATAGATCCATAATACAGTAAAACCCCAATTATATGACTTTCAGGGGACTGCGCAAAAGCATCATAAAGTCCATGAATCCCATAATTTGACTTTCCTGAAAAAACTATTATTATGACTTCAAAGCTTGGCCATGCAGGATAAAAACATGTGGAACTTCTTAGATTACACCGAAGCTAATAGTCGGCGGGCTAGAAGAATAAAGCCCTCAAATAAATAAAACTTGAAGCGTGGTGCGGTAAACGAGGTGATAACGCTTTATTTTCAGCTTACCTAACTTTTAGAAAAGTGACCAGTAATTTCCTTTTGAGGGCTGCAACCTCTAGAAGTTAGTGAGCAACGCCATCAAGGGCTTATGCAGACCGTCAAATGTTTTTGAAATGTGACATTTTGTGAATATCGGCACACGCAGCTTGGCACTTGTGACACCTCCCCCTTCGTCCGAACTGTCACGACATTGCATAGTTCTTTTTTTGGCGACTTCATCTCATCGAGTGACACTGCGTCGTGAATGGCAATGCAGCAGTTGGCGTCTGAGGTGGTTTTCACTGTCGGCACTGTTGCGATCGTGATGATGCCTCTTATCTCTGCGTCGGCTGCGCTTTGTCACGAATACAACTATACGCTGGCGGTGTGAAGTACATATTTGTATCATTTTGCTTTTCTTCTACTTTAAATGTTAGAATTGACGAATAAGCTATTTTGTTTTTGTCGCTTTGATTAAGGGAAAACGCCGGTCTTGGAGTTTTTTCTTTCCTTTTTTATGACCAAATGAAACTGCACAAGCTTGTTCAACTTTTTGTGCTGATTTCAAATACTTGGTCATTTTTTCAGTCAGTAGAATTGTCCTCAAGATAATTAAAACTTGTCTGCCTTTGTTTGGAGGAACAATAGGGGAAAAAGACTGCTCAACAAAATATCCTCTTTCAACATATGGATACTACGAAGTTTAGAGACCCATGTGGCGGGTTCCAATCCCGTCCGAGGTACCCGCAATCTGACAGAGGCTTATTGCAAAGAAGGCGCCGTGTAATTGAGCTTTCGATTGCAAGTCAAAACCACCTGGACCCCCTGGTTGGACCACCTGGGGATCTCAGGTGGTCCAAATTAATCCTCAGCCCTCCACTAGGGGCATGCCCCATGCCCGTCATTGGTTTGACACGTCAAACCCCCAAATTTGACTTTTGATTTTGAATATCAGAGAATACAATGTTGTGAGTACTCTTAAGATTAACCCATTATTAGTGATTCTACCACAGATTGAGGCTCGGTACACAATGTGCGGCTAACAAATAATAAAACAAAATATCAATTGAAAAATTGGATAGACCCATATTAAAAAATCGGCTCCCAACATTGTATGCTTCACACATTTAGCTACACATTTCAAGAAAGGTTATATTTCTGACTGCTGTAGATGCTGAGATATCCCTCCAGCAAACTTTCAACTAGTCCAAAAATTGTGTTTTATGAAAACGGCATTTTAGAGTCAACTTCAATGCGCATTCAGCCCGCATAGACACTATAAATTGATTTATAACTCAGATATCCATCCACAGAATTAGAAACCTGGCAGATTCAGAAGAACAATAGCTGTAGAGATCAACATCGCCATTTTCAAAAGAATTAAGTTTTAGGAATTCTTTGGCTCCAAGAACCTAAACCCATTTTGGCACATGTGTGGCACAATTCTTAGCAAAAAAAACATTTTGGCGCAAGATGAAGCCAGTGATAGAAGCGGCAGTTGACATTTTGTAGCAGGCGTCATAGCAGGCAAAACATTGGTTTGGAGCAGTCACTGATACTTTCGGAGCAGATGCCATCATCTGTTAGCACATCGCATCGCTAAATGAGTTCATCTTTGATACTGGACCATATGTGTTACCTTTTGCAGTGTAGCATGTGTGTGTTGGCTGCGTATAGATCTTTCCATCACTGATCACTCGGGCAAAAAATGCTGAATCACTGAGCTGTGGACATATGAATAGCAGTTGATATACCGCGCAACAGAGCAACGGCACATGCTCAGAAGGCGTTCTGCAGCCCGGCAGATAAAGATGGCAGCACACAGAAGGAAATTTTTGCAAAGGTCTACAGCAGAGGTCTCAAACACGTGACTGCATGCGGCCCACATAGCTCTTGTCAGCGGCCCACTCCTTAAGTTCCAGTCTGTGCCCCCCCCCCCCCCCCCTTCCGCATCCCCTTTTCTCTTTCCTCAAGTGTATCAATCTTCGAATCCTTGTATCAAATTTAGAAAAAGAGATAAGACAAGGTCACAGGGGGGAACAAAAGTCATGTTTGAGGCTTTGTTCCCCTTTTCTGGTCTGAGGGAAACTCTATGGAAGTCACAGTCACACAATGTGCAAACAGGACATAGCGACGTCACTGCAACCAAAGAGTTATAATTCAGATACTCTCGAAACACTAGTTTGGAGATACTTCCGGATCTTCTTCGGTCTGCCCGACATTTCCACATATTGGCGCTGGTGTCATGTCCTGTTGCGATGTCTTTCAGTATTGCTATAGTTTTGCTACAACAGCTCTGATGTAAACAACGAAGCTCTCTGGTGGATGTTGCTATGTTGTTGGTGAAGCCATCTACGAAGTGCAAAATTTAAGACGAGAAGCGACTCATTCAAGAGCGGTGGGAACTCGCCTACTTCTTTACAGAATCGCGGGACAAAGTGTCGTGTTTGATTTGCCAGCAGGCCATTTCTGTGGCTAAGGAGCATAACGTCCGAGGACATTTCGGTTCATGCCATGGCAAGAAGTATGATACGCTTGCTGGAAAAATCCGTGAGGACACGATTTTTCAACTTAAGACGTTGCTGGGAAAGCAGCAAGACCTGTTTCAGAAAGCCGGCCTGACAAGCGACAAAAACAGTAAGAGCGAGCTTCATTGTCTCCGAGCTTATTGCCACATACTCAAAACCGTTCAGCGAAGGCTTGTTCATCAAAAAGTGCCTCCTAGAAGTTTTTGACGCTGTATGTCCAACCATGAAGAAGTCCTTTGAGAAAATAAGCTTTTCGACAAACACTGTGGCTGAAAGTATTAAAGAGATCAGTAATGACACTGAAAAATCATTGATGACCCCCCAAACAAGCAATGGACGCCGATCGGCTTGATGTCCAGAACGCTCTCCGAAGGTTCTGCCCTTTAAAATATTTTTTTCAGGCGTTAAAAAATGAAAGCCATTCGGCACAAGGTCTGGAATGTATGAATTCATCTACGCCTCATCCGCACCGAATCTACCAGGGACAACGAGCCATCATGTCATTGCCAAGAGTACAGTTTCAAAAACTTGGATCCTTCCCTTGAAGCAAGAAGGAACGAATTATGACGACTAATCATCAGTTTCCCAACGATCTCGACGTACTAACAATAGTACCCAGATTTGATTCTTCTCAAATCTGCAAGCTTCTCAAATGTCAATGTATTACACTAAGGAAGATAGATGCATTAAAAAAGGTATGAACAAAAATTTTTTTTTTTAAACCGGTACATTACATTTTTTGTGATACGAATAGATAGGGCACGAAAGAAACAAAGCATTCTTTTTAGAAACAATCTAGTTCAGAAAAGGTTTCATTTACAATGAGTACTAAAAAATAGATAAAAAATTAATGGTTGCGGAACATTTCAGTTGGGAGAAGGCTGTTCTCCCCTCGCACTTTTACAGCCGGTAGTTTTTTTAGCCTGTATACGTATATAAGTCCTGTAAAACGCCTGCAAAAACCAGCTCATCTATCGAGAAAAATGTCTCCCCAAGTTTTATGAGCCTACCAAGCTCAAGACTTTAATATTATGAACTGCCAAAAGAACCACCCCAAATATCATGAAAACCTACACTTGTGCAAGTAACGCCGCTCCTTAGCAGCGTCGAAACCAGACTGAAGCGAAAGTTTGCTGTTCTTTCGATCGACAGCTGCATGGGAACAACCTTGACTACCATTTATTCAATTATTGATTTGCATTTCTTTTTTTTTCTTGGCGGAATGTTTCTAATTTGAGATCAACCTATCAGCAACGCAAAAAAAAAACAAAAAAAACCTGGAATAATACTGTCACGGGTGGTGACCAAAAACAATAGATGAACAGGAAGAAATCAACGTTTAATGTGGCGAACTTGTGCCAAAAATAAAAGAGTACAAAAGATAATAACAAAGCGTCGCGGGCGTCGAAGTCGGCGAAACCGCAGGATCGAGCGCTTGGGCGAGACTGACTGCAGATCGCCACGCGGAGCCCCTTATGTACACGTGTGGGCTTCTGGAATAATCGGCGTGGAAGGTTCGGCGTGTAGAACATTCCGACCTCGAACAAGCAACACGGTTCTTGAATTTACCAGAACATTACTTTACAGAGTCAACAAAAAATGTGCCTCCGCATCCAGGAATCGAACCCTGGCTTTCAGCTTGGAAAGCAAGCGCGATAACCGTTAGGCCACGCACGTGCTGCCTACTTGGCCAGCTGCGCGCGCGGCATTACTCCCTCCTTTAAAAAAGTGCATCGTCCCGATGCAACCCAAAAACAAAACAAAGCAAAAAAGGACGGTAAACTAAAGAGTCATTTGGAACACCTAGGGTCCACAGTCCTATCGAGCGTAGTACGGCTTCAGTCGCACGACGTGGACGACTTCCGGTCGTGGAGGGCAGCGTGAGGAAGTCCGTGTTCCGTCGGGCATCACCTCGTAGTTCAGATCCCCGAGTCGACGAAGCACTTTGTAGGGTCCAAAGTAGCGCTTCAGGAGTTTCTCGCTGAGACCACGGCGGCGGATCGGTGTCCACACCCACACCCTGTCTCCGGGCTGGAAGTGGACGTCCCGACGACGAAGGTTGTAGCGGCCAGTGTCGACACGTTGTTGGGCTTGAATACGGTGTCTGGCGAGCTGGCGGACTTCTTCTGCCCGTTGGGCAACCACCTGGGCGTCGTCGCTTCCGTCGACAGCCGGTTCG